TTTCTTAGAAACTTTATATTATAAGACCGATCAGCTTGACCCTTTTGCTCTGCGTAGGGATGTTGCTTCGCTCTGCATTTTCAACCGCATTTATCACGGGGAGTATTCTGAGGAATTGTTCGGTTTAGCAGATGCTGCTTTTCGTCATCGTACAGCGCGATGGCAATGAGATACGTTACGGAGCTGTCAAAAACTCGTGCTTGGACCGCCAAACTCAGGAAGACACGTTAAGATGTTAGCGCTCATTATAGTCACTTTTTCATTTAAGAGGCGGTTTATAAGCTTTCATACTCGGTTGCATATTAAAATGAAAAGCGGCTACAAGTTAACCGCCAGTGCGTAAGAGCGTTTACTTTGGGCTGCATATATAGTCTTTAGATTAGAACTCAACAACCACCAACTGGCCCCCCGTGAGATCATGGCAAATTCTCACTATTCCATCCATAGTTAAGGCCTGCACTCCAGCTGTGGAAAAATTAATAGGCTGATGATGATAATAATAAAATAAATTACTGCTGAATCAATAGGTACTATTCTTTTATAAAATTCACTATGTTACTGCCATCTGTCGATGACAGGAAAATTTATTACATCGCTTTACCCTGCCATCTGTTGTTGAGTAGCACAACTAACTACACTATTGCTTTTAGCAATGTTTATCTGCCAAAAACGGATGAAATAGTGATGTTAACATTTACAAACAAAATGATGAAATTAAATTGAATGTTCATTCATATAATGATAGTTTAATTTTATATTGCATGAGAGACATTATTGTCTAGAGCTAGCTAGCGCTGAGTAAGTTTTAAATAGTTTTTTTTTTATTTTCAATAACATGGAAATGTGTGCCGTTAAAGTTGTCAGTTTTAGACGAGTTACGGGATCTATCTCAAAATCTAAACTAGTTAAGAATGTTAAATTTTGGTATACGATGTCCCATATGCTGATTTTAAACAAGGATACTTAAAACGCTGATCATAATATTGTAACGTTTAATGTTTGGAAGTTGTGGCAAAAAAAAAACAAACAAATGACTTTTCCTTTAATGGTTTGTTGAGATCTCCCATACAACAGACAAAGCTGAAAAAATTAGGGGCGGCAAAATTGACTTAGGGTCAGCCGTAAATTACGTCACTAAAGAGCGGCAAAATTTCTAGATCGGGCCCTGGTTTCAGGTCACCCATAGTGACTAACTATTGCGAAAGTTGCCTAACTTCCACGATCGCAGACAGAACGCGCACGTCGATCTTCTCACTACGCCATCATGTTGCTACTTATTGATTACCTAGTATTTATTTTTCCGATGAAACTTTCAAATGTGATAGTATTGGCTACGATATTATTTAGCTACCTGCACTCCATAATAAGAAAGGTTTATTTTTGATGACTCTATCTTTAGAACTTTCATTCTAATGGCCGCCAATAATCATAGAAATGACCTCAACTAACCATAAAATAAATATGCTCAAAATGTGTAAAGCCTATAACATCAAGTCTACACGTAAGCACTGTGCCAAAAATCTAGGTATGCTCACTGATGGAGATATTCCTGTTTTTGTGATGGAACAAAAGACCACAAAAGGCATTCGTCTGCATTTCTTGGCTCGGGATTTAAAAAAACAGCTAATTACAAATTCTGCTCAATATTTGGTAATATTGAAGTAAAAAGAGACGTAAATTCTTCTATGATAAAGATCAACTCTGAGGCCCAGCTATTTTGGTTATTGATATAAAAACATTAATATATTTTTTCTACACTTATGTAAGCAACAAACATACAGATAAAGTAATAGATAGGGATTCGATATTCTTATCAGTCTTACACACTACATTTTATAATATTATGTAAATGAATGATTTGTATAAGAACCTATTTATTATAACTCATCCGAATGGTTAGTTCTCTAAAAACGATTAATAAAATAGACGAATACAAAATAACTCTAACATCATGTTGCGATATTGAAGATCTTAATAAACAGATACAGATAAAATAAAAAGACTTCACAGTAGTCACACAGAATATTAGAAGCATTTATAAAAATATTGAAGACTTGCAAATTACGTTAGCGAACATAAAAAATGATATGGATGTCCTAATCTTAAAAGAATGCTGGCTTGACTCTAATAAACCTGTCCTGAAAATATAAAATTACGTCATATTGCAGTACCCAATATCTTAACCAAAACGATGGATATAATTTTATATTTTTAAGCATGTAACTGCTTGATGTTTAAATCTAAAGAAAATAAACTAGAAAAAAATCCACGTGGACTAGGCAGCAGACGGGACTCGAACCCGCACCCTTCGCAATCCAGGCGAATGCACTGACCAATCATGCCACCGCGGCCCTACAGCCGCGTCGAAATTCTTCTAGCCATTCTTAAGCTGCAAGGCAGCGGCATTTCTTCGCATTGTAGGTAACCCACAATGTCAAAGGTAACCCACAATGCAGTGCGATGCGCGCTTGGAAACGGTCGTGCACCATTGTGCAGTAAGAATTATTATTCACGTCTCACACGGCAACAGCCGTTGTGCGATAGCTATGAGTTCCGAACAACTCATAGTTAATGAGTTGTTGGCGTTTATCCAAAATGCCATTGACACTATGGACGAGATCAGCATTCTGCAGATCTGCAAGTCGAACTTCAAGGAGGATGAGGTTTGCAGTGGCAAGGTGCTGTTGTTCCGGTCTGTCGGGAAGGCCGACAAGATGCCATCACGGCGGAGGGATGGTACTGAGAAGAGTGTGCAAGACATCATCACTCTGCTGAAGGAAACCGATAAAGACGACGTGCCTACATTCGTGGCGAAGGAGCTGCACAAGCTGTCCCCCGTCACGTTCGACCACGTCGACGTCACCAGGCTGTTGAAGGATATTAACTTCCCGAAAGCAAGCTTGGCCGATGTAGTAAAAAAGTTAGAGGACTCAAACTACACCATCGGTGAGTTGCGGGCTCACGTAGCGTTATTCAGTAACGCTGCCGGTGCAAGTAGGTCACCCGAGGCCTCTAACGTGAACACACATCGCGGGGCGGACAATGCATCCGTCGGCAGTATAGAGTCGGTGCCTACGAGTGCGTCACCGGCCGCCGTCACCGCGCGCGATTTCGCGCGCCCCGCCGTCGTTGCCCGCCCGTCTGCTTCGCCGGATAAGTCACGTGCATGAACGTCTACGCCGCAACGTGCTTACGCAGCTGCTGCCGCCAGCCAAGCAAAAGAGAAGAGTAGCAATCCCTGTGTCAAACGTGTTACTCCGGCTGCATCATAAAATCAGATTTGCGACGAAGAGGGATTCATCAAGGTGGAAAGGAAGAAGAAGAAGCCCGCTCGCCGCAATTTGTGTGGTGTTGCCCCGACTGGACCGAATTACCTGCTGCGTCCTGCAATACCGACGACGCCGCTATACGTGTCCCGACTGCATTACTCTACGAAGGAAGAGGAGATCGTGGAGTACCTGCGGATTAAGACCAAGTTCTCCCTTAGAGTCGTATGGTTGGAGTTCCGTCACAATGTGAATTTTAATTAATTTGTGGTGAGGGTGCCGACTGAACATCTGGCGACTTTCATGAAGGAGGATCTTTGGCCGAAAGGTGTTCCGGCGCTTCCGAGGTCGGTTATCTGACACCACTTTGCGTCACACGTCGCCGTCTATACGTGTTAGTTAGGTGTTTACTAACATAGTTAATAATTTTATTTACTAATAACAATGTTTTATATCTGTATATATGTTAGACTATAAGGTATTTATCTATGGGCCTATGTAACCTGATTATAAATAAATAAAATAAAATAAAAAAATAAACATTCGAAAGAAGAAATAGCAATTATAGTTATAATTTTAGTTTTCGGGGTTCGAGTCCCGTCTGCTGCCTGGTCGCGTGGAATTTTTTCTAGTTATATTTTCTTTACAAAACGATGGAGTTACAATATACATTAAAAGTGGCCATTAACATGAAGTACAAGAAGTTGAACTAAGACATGCATCGTGCTTACAAATAGAAATTAGAAACACTAGATTATATACAGGTTGCCATCTACTTTAAACCCAGACGAATTTATTGAATCACTGCGTATACATTTAGATAAAATTAAATATAAAAGAAATATTGTTATAGCCGGAGACATCAATATTAATTTTATTGGCTCAAACAAAATCATCTAACCCTTAACACTAAGAAAACAAATAATATTTACATTTCAATGAGTAATCGAACCCAATTTCGAACTTAAAATCCATAGTTGCGGTAATTATCATCATAACTGTACATGTCCCAAAATAGAGATAGTAGGTTCTACAAAATACGTCGGAGAGATCATTGACCAACGGTTCTCCTGGCATCCTCATCTTGAAGTAATTAATAACAGAATACAAAAGATGATATGGATTTTTAAGTCTCTTGGATATATCGCCAAAAACTAATTATTGAACCAGGTATACACAGGTATGCCCTTGCTCAATCAGTCCTGAAATATTGTATTTTATAGCATCTTTTTAAAAGCACCACCCCATATTGGTAAATGGGGTGGTGCTTCAAAAATGAAATTTTTAGAGTTAGGACGTGGCCAACGATCACTGTTAAAGATAATGTACAATAAACCCTACATATTTTCAACAGAAAATATTAACTCTTTGTGCAAGCTCCTAAGTGTTGAAAGGCTATCCACCACTTTTAGGGATCTTACTTAAGTGCTTTACTGATCTATTCTAAAGAAAAGAGTAAAAGAGTTGCTTAAAGCTTGAAATTTATGAGCGTTTAAATAATGCCATATCTACTGAATCTTCTATTTAGTGCAAATATTATTATTTTAAAGGAAAGCAACATAATTTTTAAGTTGTACTGAACTTATAATTATTCTAACTGCAATAATTATGATGTTAAATCAGTTTTCAATATCACCTACTACCTACTACTATTTTAATACATAGAAACCGTAACATGACATTGTGTTTACATTATATATCGATAATTCTGTAATCGATTGTCAGAACTAAATTCAATTAACAATCGAATACAAACAACACTATTTTCGCTCAATCGCTCTCTCGCTGTCATTTTGCTTCTTCATTCAAAACAGTGACTTGACACTTGTTTGTAAATCAAATCAATACCTACGCAATTTTGTTAGCGAAGTGGAAGTTGTCGGGTAGTAATTATTCATCTACAGTGACGGAACAAAACTGGACGAAGTGAAATAATTTCAAGAATTGAATATCGCAACCGTCAGCAATGACGAACACACTGTGTGTTTGTCTTGTAATCGCAATCTTTTGTTGTACAAGTAAGTTTTAACACCTTCATGTAATCAGTATGTACCAATGTAATTAATTTCGTCCTTGTGTTGTTTACTTGTATTTTTTCATGTACGATAGTCCTCATAAGTAGTAGATACTTAATTTGTCTTAGTTGATAATGTTGTTTTAAATTCAAACTAATCATAAAGTTTCATTTTTGCACATTTTCATTGAAATACTCAGAAACCGTCTAATTATGTAGGTACTTACATAAATTATTTCTTAGGTTTAAATGGTCATGTTTCAATTGTTTATTAAATAAAACTGGTATGAAACTCGGCCTTTGCTGCTTAAATACCTATAATAGATAATTAATCAAATTTAAAATTATATTTAAATTTATTTGTGTATGAAGTTCTTGTGTTAAATAAAGATCTAAGTAATCATTGTAGCTAGATGACTCATATTCAATTTACTTACATGAACCACAAATACAAGTTAAAAACTTGCTTTATATAACAACCTACTTGTAGAGCTGTTGTTTCAATAGTAAATTTATTGTGTACCTATAAATTCACCATCATTTAGTAACAAGTTTTATTCTATTATAGTTAATCCAAATATTAATGTATTGTTTGCCAAGACTTCCGCATTTTAGGTTCTGTGAATATCTTAATTATCTTCTATAAACATGTTTATTGATGTTTTTTGCAACAGTTTTTTGTAATTTAGTTTTGGTTGTTCTTTATCTTACCAGTGATATAGGTATATGAAATGGAGATAAATGCTCGTTTGAGAAGAAAAACCTTCAACACCTATACTTTGTTCGCAGATCTGTCGTCAGCTCGACAAGTACCAAAAGAATGTTCAAAGGGACCTAGTTATTGGTGTCAAAATCTCAAGTAAGTTTATACACATTTTTCACTGTATATTTATAATTAATTAACTATATATTAATTGAATTCAATTTAAAAACAACTGTCCTGCTTGTCAAAGTTATTTTATTATTGTTAGTAACAAGATAGTGCACTTGACTAATTTCAATTCTTTCAATTAGGCATATATTTAAGTATTTACATACTTGTAACTTAATTGTAGTAGCACTATGAGATTTGTTATTAGTCAATTAGATTTACAGCTAATAAATAATAACAAAGATATAAATTAGTCATTATTGATCATAATGAATACATGAACAAAGTTAAAACTTTTAAGAAACTTCCTCGAACTAATAGACTGATTCACACAGTATCTGATGTAGGCCATCAAAGCTACATATTTGCATATTGTAAAATCCAAAATTACTTTGGATTTGAAAAAGGTCTTTTATAATTTAAATCTAATAATATATAACTTCTATGTAGTAGTTATTTAATATTAATTACCTATCTGTTTTTATTTAGGGTTGTCATTTGTCTTGAGTTTCCCTTGATTCGTTAATTATAATGGTGCCCTTTAAACTATTGTTTTTACCCTGTACTAAAATAAAAAATATCGCAAATTAGCAGTTCCATTAATAAGATAAATAAAAATTTATTAAAAATGTTAACAATATTAAATTTTGCTTTGGTGTGCTCAATCTTACTCAAAAATTTAAGGCCTTTTAAATTATTTTGTTTTTTCCTGCTAGCTCATGATAGTCCCCCTTGTACCGAATGTGTTCTTTATGCTTGTTAAAGAGGATCTAATAAACATTAAAATAAAAGTGTAAAATACTTAATGACCGTTATTATATAATAACATTGTGCCATCCCTGATACAAATAGGGTTTGCTTGTGGCTTATAAATTAATAATGTCATGGTGATTCATTCTTGTAAACTGTACTTGAAGTTTCCTCCTTATTATGATTGTGAACACATTTCAATTGGATTAATAGGTTTCTAAAGTGATGATTCATGTATGACAGGAGCGGAGCTGAATGTGGAGCCGTGGGACATTGCATCGGTACTGTTTGGGAAAAGCATAATTTCGAAATCAGCAGGAATGATGTGTCCGACAAATTCGTCAGAATGTTCCGGCAGTTGAAGGACGTGAAGGATCTTATCAATCAGGTGCGTTTTCGTGATGAATATACAACAGACAGACAGACAGAAATAATGCTCATCCTGCAAGTGGTTTAGTTGGTATTTGATGGCTTCTGATGCGATTTCAATAACAAAAAGTTTTAAGAAAAAATACCTGATTGACATTAATTATTTAATTTAATATTTCTAAACAAAGAATTTGATACATGATACAAGGAAATAAGAGCTATTTTTAAATGCAACGGTACATTACATAATTTTACTGACATTGAGATAGCACTGATTAAACTGATTAAATAAAAATAAAAATAACTGAAATTGATTTATTTGCATATTTGTAACAAACTACTTTCAGGGTGTGTATTATTCTATTCAGGGTCTGTTACACGTTGTAGATTTCGTGTTTGTTTTCGTTGTTCGGGGTGCAGTAGTATTCGTTCATACTTACTTTTAATGGGTGACATACCCAACCTTATTAAGCACGTTTCTGAGCCTCAAGCTTTATAAGTGTTTATTAACAGCAAACTATCTGCAATTGTACGACTAACATGGACACATTTGGTACATTCTTTGTCCTCGTCGAAAAAAAAGGATAGCATTAAATGTGATTTTTATTTTATTTTTATTTTTTATTTTATTTTGTAAGGAATAACAAACAGTTGTACAATTTGTGTTACATAAAGATTTACAGAATTTTTATTACTAATTATACAACCAGCAACGTTATCCACAGATTACTATTAAAGAGTAATGTGCTATGCTATACACTAATATCTTTGTGAGATGTGAGTAGTTACTGGCAAAGAATCACAAAAATGAAAATTACAAAAAAAAAAGGACAAATATCAAATACCTGAGGAGTTCAAGAACTTGGTGTGACAATTAGTTCATAAATGTTAGTCTTGAAGGAGGTCGTCGGGGCTGAGAAAATATCAATTTCGTGGGAACTCATGTGTTCATTAAAAGTGTTCATGATCCTATTCAGTGGGGCACGGAGACCCGCGTTAGTATTGACATTATCGGGACAAAACGGTTTGTACGGGTACATTTCGCGGATGCGCTGAGAACCGCTGGGTATTCTGATCTTGACATCGCAGGTTAAATCATTACAATCATATTTATTGTGTAAGATATTATGTAAGCAAGAGATGTCAAAAAGAGTTCTCCGCTGCTCCAGACGTGGTATTGAAAATTTTTGTAATAGATTATCATAAGATAATTTACATCGACAACATTTATAACTTACGCGCTTGAGAAATTTGCGCTGTACTGACTCTAGATTGTTTTTGTATTTGGTGTAAAATGGGTTCCAGATAACAGTAGCATATTCAAGCTGTGATCTAACTAGTGCCTTGTAAAGATGCAGAAAGGAGTCTGATTTTTTGAATTGTTGGCAGCTACGCATAATAAAACCATACATCTGATACGCTTTGGAAATGACGTGATTTATGTGTTCGTGCAAATGCAGTTCTGAGTCTAGGAGTATTCCAAGGTCACGTATAAGATTCACTTTCTCCAGTATTTTGTTATTTAGGGTGTAATTGAAATTAATAATATTTTTCTTCTTTGTAGTAGTTATAATTTTACATTTGGCAATACTTAAATACATTTTATTTCTGATGCAATAATCGCTAAATCGGTCAAGGTCGTTTTGAAGCAAGTGAGTGTCATTTGTACATCTGATTTGTTTGTAAATTTTTAGATCATCAGCGTAAAGCAGGATGTCACTGTGTAAGAAGCATTTATCAATATCATTAATGAATAAAACAAATAGCAAAGGTCCCAATATAGAGCCCTGAGCTACCCCAGACGTAGCCGTTATGGCACCAGACATATGACCGTTGATCACTACCCTCTGAGTTCTATTGACAATATAAGAGTGAAACCATCGTAATAGGTTGCCACGTATTCCATTAAATGCTAACTTCTGCAGAAGCAGCAGATGATCCACTTTATCAAAAGCCTTGCAGAAGTCTGTGTATATAGTATCAACCTGTACGCGTTGGTCCATACTAGTAAATAAGTAGTTAGTGTACACCAAGAGGTTAGTTGTTGTCGAACGTTGTTTGACGAACCCATGCTGCTGAGGTATTATAATATTGTGTAAGTCAGCGTAAATAGCGTCATGCACTAGCCTTTCTAAGATCTTAGACACGACAGGCAGCAGTGATATTGGACGATAGTTCGTTATATCGTCTTTTGGACCAGCTTTATGTACGGGTGTTATGTTAGCAGCTTTCCAAATATTGGGGACAACACCTTCCGATAAACACTTATTGTAAATTATAGTAAGAGGAACACTAATGCTGTTTGCTGTGAGTTTGAGAAATAGAGGTGGAATTTTGTCTGGACCTGAGCCCTTGGTGATATCTAATGATTTTAATTTTGCTATTATTTGGTAATTAGAAAAACTTGGAATTGAAGTTAACAGGTTACTATTCATACTATCAGTGTGCCGAGAATTGGCATCAAAATTAGAAGCAGTACTTACTTCATAGACAGACCCAAAATAACAACTAAAGAAATTGCAAATTGTCGAAGGGTCATCAGACTCTTTGTGATTATACTTCATAACGCGCGGGAAACCCCACTCATTATGTCTGTGCACAAACGCCCAAAAGTGTTTTAAGTCGTCACGTATACTATTTTCTACGGAGCAAATGTAATTATTAAAGCATTCTCCAGAATGCTTTTTGAAGCGTCTACGATACAGGGAAAATTGTTCGTAGTCTGCAATGTTTCCGAACTTTTTCCACCTCACCCAGGCTTTGTTTTTGTCTTTATACATGTGTATCAGAGGCTTGGTAAACCATATGGGATATTCAGTAGATTTTTGCTGTCTAAGAGGAACATTTTTGGCAACGATTTCATAAATGTGTTCGTAAAAGATATCGACTGCTTCTTCCGCGGCCAATTCACCAAGAAGTTGGCACCAATCGATGGTTTGAATGTCATCATTAATTGTGATTCTGATAAAGAATTATAAAACCGAATGCGTCAGCTGTTTATCGTTTTTGCGCAAGTCGTAAATATTTGATATGTAGGATAGCAACATTTCAGTAGTACAGCATACTGTTTGGGGTATTATTTTATTGTTCATTGAATTCTGAAAAATTAAAAAACAGCCTTTGCTGAGATTTTTCCGGTTTTCAGTACAAGGTCTCCGGTCGTAGATTTACGAACCGATGGCGTAGCTTCTAAACATTCATGAGCGCTTGTAGCAGCCTAAACTGAATAAATGATTTTGATTATTATGATTATCGTCTACGCTATAACCAAACATTTTCCATGTCTTTAAAATAAAGTAAAATTAAAATACATATAATTATTATTTGCTCATAAAACAAAACAACTGTTCTAACAAACACAGTACATGCCTACATACATAGGCATGTACGATATCAGTGACGTCAACAGTTAAATAATAATGAACTGGTTACATTACACTACAATTTGTAGTAAGAAGCAAGAAAAATTTCATTAGAGACTGCAATCGAACATTTAAAAGTGTTCCGACATCATACTCAGTCAGAATTTATGAATTAAATAAACTCCGTTATTATGTTAAGTGCCAACTTACACTGATAGATAACCTTTATGACCAATCCAAGTACGTTTAAATGGTTCGTGAGCTCGTTAAGTTATACTGGTTGTTATCAGCTGATTTCTTTGTTGTTCACATAATTTTGAATCGTATTTAAAACAAATTAAAGAAAGAAAATCTTATCTATCTGTTCTTGAACATCTGACATTTTAAGAATTTAGTCATTTTCGCCAATCCTCTTGTTGAAATCAGTTTATTTATATAATATTAGGTACTGGGGCAAGCAGAATAACGTCGATGGTCGGTTTACCTTAGAATTAGGGATCTATTCCCAGTCATTTATTGTGAAACTTCTATTACATCGCATCAATTTTATCGTTCACAGTTTGCATGTCGAATAAATTTAATTATTGTTAATAAAAAAGTCTCACATTATAACAAGCATTTGTGGTTCAGTGGTGGAAAGAGCACCTTCTACGCGGCGGCCTGATTTCGAATCTCAGTCGAAGAAAAACTTTTTTTTATTAATGATTTTACAAGTTTCCCTTGCATAAATAAAACAACACCATTTTTTTCTCAAAATTAATTTTAAGTAAATAACAAACAATACCTGAGAGTTATTTTGTTTAATTTTTGCTCATTTTGGGATCCCCTTAAAACTATAGTGACAATATGTCATTTAAGCTAATTTCTATCCCATGTATGAAATTAAAGTGAAATCGGAAGGAAAAACGTTACACAATCAAGTAGTGGCTTATTTATTTCTGCAGAGGAACTTAAATAACTTTGAACCATGTGTTATCCACATTTCCAGTCCAGTTTTCCAAAAAAAGATTCATTAATTTCATTAAATTCTGTAAGTGAATGTTGCAGTCCCTGAGCAATGTGGAGTCAATATAGTTAAGCATCGATGATACGGGGCGAATTTACAAGCTACAAGCCAGCGAGTTCGCTGGCTTGTAGCTTGTAAATTCGCCCCGTATCATCGAGTAGCAGATGGTGAAAAAGCCGATGACATGGGGCGAGTTTACAAGCTGCTAGTAAACTTGCTGGCTTCTAGCTTGAAACTCGCCCCGTGTCATCGAGGCTTTACGCATTTTTATTTCCGTGTAAGATCTATGTACTCATAGTCTATAATACGGTTATAGAAAGATTCTCAGTAATGAATTTAGTGTTGAGCATAGTTACAAAGGGATGTCGCTTATATAGCACATAGCGAAATCCCTTTCTTACTGTACTCAAATAAAGATCAACACTTAGTTTTCATTCTGTAATACGGGCCTTAGTGTCTATTATAGTTGGGTCGGCCGACCTCTGTCACTCAACAAATTTGCTTCAGACCCTCGGATCTTCGAAGATCCATTCAACAGCTGTAATAAAGATTACCTACCCTTGGTATAGGACCAAAATGTTAGTAAAACTCATAAACTATTTCTAACGGCCAACTTCATTGCAGGAGTACTTAGGAACCCGCGTCAGTTCAGAATGCCACGACGTGCCTTACCAAGAAGTGGCAAAAATATGCAAAGAAAACACAGCGCAGCTACAGGAGTATTTACATCACGTCCTAGTGTCTGAGACGTCGCCTGAAACGATGTGTCAGATCATCGGCATGTGCAACAATGGGAAACTTGACAAATTTGTGACCCACAAGGTGGGTTATCTAACTCTTATTCTCTTATAAAAGACTTAAATTGTTGCAGATTGAATAAGATAAGTGCTTTTTAGGGTTCTTACCCAAATGATGATAAACGGTAACCAATTAACATACCTCTGTTGTCTGACTTGAACGGAAACAGGCGTGAAGTTGAAATTAAGAATAAGGAAAAAAGTGTTAACACAGTAACTTGATAGTTCCAAACTCTGATTATATCTAAAAGTGATTGTTTTACATGCCATACTTACCTTTATTATATAGTACGGAATATATCGTAATACCTGTTATCCACAAAGAATTATCCATGTTAATACGATGTTTCTCTTTGCAGGAAAAGAAGTCTACTGAACCCAAAAAACATGGAAAACACAAAGGTATGAATAAACGCTGCATATAATTTTATTAATTTTTGTTTGTTTATGAGTACCTACTAACACACGATATCATACCATATTATTATCACAGCTAGCTGTTACTGATATTTGTAAATACATGTCACTAGTCACCCCTTCGCTTTGTTTCGCTGTACACTATATTTTTTTGTTTTATTTCCGCTTGTTTTATAAATACAAACTTTCCGAGAAACCGCGTTTAAATCCTTGGCGTGGTTAAGGAAAACTGCGTTAAAATTAGTATAAATTTTGAATTTATAAAGAAAACAAAAAAAGTTAAAAAAAACTTATTTAAACAAAGTAATAGTTTTTTTTTACTATTTTTGTATTCTTTATAAATTCAATTTTTATTCTATTACTGACTATATCAGTTTCACTTTTGAATAAAAAAAATATGGACGCCATTAATAATTTAAATATTTCCAGTTGAACTTGTGGGTGCAAATCGATGCACTTGGGGACCATCATACTGGTGCAGCAACTTCAGGTAAAACAAAAAATATTATTTTATTACATTTTTTTTCATAATTTAACTGTATCATTTTCATGTGAAAATAATGAAAAAAATTACTATAAAATTATTAGATAAATAATGTGAATAGTAAATAATGATATAAAATATTAATTACTGAAAATCTAAATTCTAGTAGTTATCTCTAATTTCGACAGTACAACAACTACGTGCACTCTGAATAAGGACTTTAATTAGTACAGATAAAATTCAATATACAATAACAAGTTATAGTCCAAACAGGATAACTTTGCAGAGTGAATAATCTGGTCACATACGCGAAAAACTTGGTCTGGCAGCCCTTTTAGGTCGTCATCCATAAATAACATTTATGGATGAAGTCATGTGAGAATCTTCAATCGAAGAAGGGAGGAAATTACAAACAGTACATAGGTATCTGTTCGAAATTGAGAAGTTACCTCGCTTCATCTCCCAAAGTACTCAACAGGTCTTCACCTGATTAAAGTGCAATGTAATAGTCCTGTATCGAAGCTGCCTAATATCACTGTTCAGTATTTGTTGTTTAAATACAAATTTTGCAATTTATATTTTGGTGCCTTAAATATGCTATCATTTACCAAATTTTCAAATTCTTGACAATTTACTATTTTCAGATAGACTCCGTAACAAAAATGGTCTATAAATGACGAACTAACTAAAAAAACTAACTATAACTTTGAGCTGCTGATATAATAACTAGGTACTAATATTGAGCGTTTACTGTGTGAACTTTGTAGTGAATAAAGAACTGGAAAGCCTGAATTGAACGGGCATTATAATTTCAAACCCCATCCCGACACGTAACAATATTCATATTCTACTCAACGAGCTGTAGACAATGGTGTATCACACGTATGGGACCCCCCATGAAAAAGCATTCTACATGAAATGCCAAAATTTCACTTCCTTAACTAATTCCGTTTATGATCCAAAATTCTCAAAAAATCGGCCCATAAATGTACGAACAACAAAAAATATAAACTTAATATTAGATATACAAATAATTTATTATAAGCATCAGGGATAGTTATTAAAACTATAATCAGTACTGCCATGTGCAGTTTTAATTTTTGCTACTGTCAAAAGTGATCTGCTTAAATTGTGGTGCGTGAGCATTGAGCACAATTCGCTTTAGTCACAATTGGACATTCAATAAAGATAAAACAATGCCTTCGATGATTTATAAAGTACATAAATAGTTCAAAATCAAATAACCAATGCCTCGGCAACACTGTAAAACTGTAAAAACTTTTTTTTCACAAATATCACGGTTTGTTGTGAATGTTTTAATGTAATCGCCATTTTGTTATCAAGAAAAGGACAATATTACAGCTCAGCCGTAAAGACTCGGAAGCGGACTCGCCGTTTCGCTTGCGCTGCGTTGAATTGTACAGTTCTGTCTCGCTCGCTCGATTGAATGTTTATATACAGACGTGTGCGTGTGTAAGAGTTGCTTATGTAGTTGAGTCGGATCATATTTTGTTTGACGCTAGTATGAGCGTACCGTATCTTCCCTTTTTGTTTTAATCTAAGGGTGCGACTGTATTACGATGCCTCTATAAAGACGTTACGAATAATAAGAATTATGCATTATTTTAACTAAATACTTTCCGTCGAAACGAAATAATTTTTATTGTCAAAGCTACAGTCGAAGTAAGCTATGTATAATTCTTATTACTCAATTTGGAACCTTTACAACAACTACGCCGAACATGATTTACAATGAATCTGAGTCAGGAATACAGCAAATAATCTGCAACTTGTGTTTCCGTTTGTCGAGCCGACGGCCGGTCATATAACACTATCGCGCATTTATCAAAAGGTCACCACGTTTCATATGCTACTGGGTGTCCACTATCAATAAACACTACAAAAGATCTGCGGCCATTAATACATACTTAATAGTGGATTCGTTGCACAAACAAAAATTAAAGTTTGTTTTACAATATTACACTATAGAAAGTATGATAGCAAGCCTGCCATCATAGTCGCGAATAATGTCATTTTTTAAATCATTTTTCAAATATTTAAAAATTAATTACCCAGAGGGGCGCTCCAATACGAGCGGAAAACCTGCTATGCCCTACCTCTCTTGTCTAATATAATAACTAAGTACCCATATTATTTTAGCGTAGGTCCAATCAAAATATTATCAGAAGCCAAATACAAATGCTGTTTATCAAATTCGAAGCATCATATTCTAGTTATGAAACAATAGCTTGTTGGACTATGTTCCTAGAAAATAATCAATTATTACTTATTATCACTAAATTCTGTAATCGAATTTGAACTTTAATCAAACCTTAACACAGAACTCAAAAATGCATTGGAAATTTTTCACAGTTGTATTTATGTTGAAGAGCTGCATGCGAGTAGGTACATCTTTTTTTAAAGACAGCCCAAATATTTATACTCTACTAGTGGCCCGCCCTCGCTTCGCTTCGGTGTAGAGCTGTAGTGTAGGTAGACTATAGGTTTTTGTTGCAAGGCTTGTATTATACACAATCAAGTTCTTTATATAATTATTTTTCTCGCCTTAAACCTTTCCTAGACCTCCACGAACATTCAAGACCAAGATAAGAGAAAACCGTTCAGCCGTTCTCGAGTTTTAGCGAGACTAACGAACAGTAATTGATCTTTATATATAGATTACACGTTCTGGGGCGTAATGGTGTGTAATTTACTCCTTTCCAATGATATTAAATAAACAAAATGTAGAGATTATAATATAGCTCCTTCCACAATTCCTTTCGCTTCTTTTATGAGCAGAGATTTGCTTATAATTATCACACATTGAAACTTTCTTCAACTTTGAAAGGATCATTGAGAGAGTTAAAGTAAGAAAATTAGACCACACAACCTTAGTTCGCTTTAGTTAAAAATGACCATAAGGAATTACATAATATTTAATTGTTAACTTTTCTTTTGAATGAATTACATTATTTTTTTAACAACTCTATCCTATAGCTACCTGTGTAGATGTGGATATACGTAAGTACACATATCAGCAAATTCATTTGAATGCGTTCAAAACAATACTTCTTTGTATAGCGACGACCGACGGACGCTTTGCTTTACTCAATAATCAGGTTGCATAACACAATACGCCAGTAGTTCCGAAACACCGTGTCTCAAACCGCAATTCTCAGGCCACTGTGTCAATAGCAATCTCTAATTACACGCACTAACTTTCTTGTAATCGGATTACTGTATAACCGTTAAATGTTTTGATATTTGGGTTATTTGAAGTGAAGATTTGGACATACTATTTACAGTTATTTGTATATAAAGATTTATGTAGAGGTATGCATTTGTGTTCACGCATGAATAGGAAAATAAAAAGTATGTAACGTAGAAGTACTAAGCAGAATTGCTTAGAATTTCTTAGCGGAGTTTTATTATACGAATGTTCTTGTATAATCTTTTAATTAAGCTATTGTTAATATCTCTTGCAATAACAGCTACAAAATAATAAAAGACTTTTAGTTGTTAATTATATTTTTATTTAAACATTTTGTTAAATGATTGTAGGTACTAATCATTTAACAAAATGTTCAAATAAAAAAAAAGTACCTGCCTTTGCTGTCCCTATTCAGGCTTTTTTCTCACAATTTATTGGATATCTACAGTTGAAACCATTTATAGATTCTGTCATATTATTATAACAAAAAATGTTTAAGAAATCTGAGATGATGTTTTTATGTAGACCAACTCGATAGTGCGATGGGTCTGCGATAGTGGAAGTTAAGCAACTGTCGCAGTGTCTGGTCATCGGATGGGTGGCCAAAAATGGTTTGTTTCAAACTTCTCCATGGTAGGCACGCTAAACCGTTGGGATGCATCTGCGGTCGTTAGCTTCCACCAATCCGCGTGATATCTCATGACACGATCTCCTTATTCCACCAATAGGGAAGGCCTGTACCCTAGCAGTCTGGAGATTAATTGATTGATAATGATTATTTTATTTCAAATGTTTCCTTTTTCTGTTGCTACGTACAGTACGGGACGGGAATGCAGCGCCACTAAACACTGCGTGAATGCCGTATGGTCCAAACAGCGTTACCCAGAAGACAATGACAGCGTATGCAAAATCTGCACGGATATGGTACAGAAAGCACGCGAGCAACTTCAAAGCAACGTAACGCAGGTAAGGCGATTTGTTTTGATGTTATAGTAATATAAGTTATTTACGGGATTGTTACCATGTACCTTGTTTTTAGCGAGTTTCCGATATTTCGGCACTGTTGCAAGCGCCATGATCACGGAGCAACTGAAGTAATTGCGGGTAGGCTGTTATTGGCAGACATATCGGTCTACCCTCCGACGAAGTCTTATTGCGTTCGTCTCACTATTCACTCGAAACTGTTCTCGACACATAACACTTACAGGATCGGATCGCGACACGACACTTTTTTGATAATTTCCGGTTTTACACATACGAACCACAGGACTCCAGACACTCGACAATTTAAACCCGTCCTCGCGATTGAAATTTTAATGTTTTCTTATTTCAATCGCTTCCCTGACCAATCTTTGTATGTAGTGGCGTTCTGTCGAGATAATCTGTGGGTGATGAAACTCAATCCAGTGGTTAGGACCAGAATCAATCAAATGTTCTGCGATGGCTGATTTCTGCGTATCGTTGTTCTTGATTGCTTTAATGTGTTCCCTCATTCGGCATGATACTGTTTGCTTGGTTTGGCCAATGTACGAACTGCCACAGCTGCAATCATCTTAGATACCAGGGACATTTGTGTGTGTTACTCAGATCTTTTACAGTATTTTCTGGAAAGGACAATGGGCATAACGCAACCAGCTCCGCCACCAATGTAATTAGTATGAATCGATAGATCTATGAAAAACTAGCCATTTTTATTATGACACTGAAAATAAATATCCTGGGAGTCAAAAGATATGACACCATAAAAAATAACCTGGTAGTCAATAGATATGATACATGGGCATATTTAAGTAGCTGAATAAATTCATTTTATAGTACCTTCATTTTATATTATTAGTAACCATAATAATATTAATGTTTTTATTAATTTTTGACCATCCTGCGCTTGCTCTTACCGAGATATTTCAAAACGGTTTAATGATGATGAAGGACTTGCAGTTGCAAATAGTCGACTCGTCTTACTTCGTTGTGATCGTGCGCTCCCTGCTACTTAATTGATTTTTATCTAACACGCTTTGAATATTGGAACATGATTATCGGTTTTGTCAATTTGTATGGGTGAACTGAAATTATGTGTTCTCCGAAGCGTGGACAAGTTTGTGTAATCTGTGGTCGCTCCGTTTTACAAATCTTCTATGTAAAACGGACAATTTACTATAACGAACAGAATGTTTAAAAAAAAACAACCCATGCGGTATCCCCGCATGGGTTGTTTTGAATTTACTCTAGCGCGGCAGAATAACATAAGGGGGCACCCTTGCACCTTGTGAAGTACTCCCATAATTCCTGAGCACCCTATGTAGAGTCGAACTAACTAACTAAATTAATTCCCTTGTTTCATTAATGTTTGTTCGTTATAGTACTTGCACACATTTAACTTAAAATAACTAAAGACCCCCGGGATGGAATTTGATGCGCTTTGGCACAGATGATCTTGTCTATAATACCTTTCAAACAAATGTAGTTTAAGCCGTGGCGGATGTGGGTGAGTGGGGTCCATACATTTTTGCCCAATGTCCTTTAACACCAAATGAGGAAATTAGGACTTAAGATGAAATTAATTTTAGTAGTAAAAATCGCTTAATAATATGTCATCTCCGTAAGTGGTGAAATTACTAATTGCCATTAACTTTAAAATATAAATTAAGAAATTGTCAATAAAATTAGGACTTAAGATGAAATTGATTTCAATATTAAAAATCGCTTAATAATAACGTAATTTACCAATCACCGTAAATGGTAAAATTACTAATTGTCATTAACTTTAGAATGTAAATTAAGAAATTATCCATGGTCATTTAACAATGGTCAATTCAATTACACATCTTACGCGGCACTTACTTCCTCGATAATACTTGCAATTAAACACAAAGCATTTACAAAAAACCGAATAAAGGACACTGTTTTGGATGGTCGTTGTTTCTGATTTCCATAAAGCAAGAATTTACACATTATCATGCAATATAATAAAAAAATCGCGGTTTCACGCTGCGGGACCTTTTCAAACGAAACTTATCTTTTATTTATGTAGATAAAGTTTAAAATGATGTCACACTGCTTTCAGTGCCATTTCGGTGTGAATCGGCCCTAACTGAAATGCCCTGGGTCTACAGAAGTTCTGACCTTAGCCTTGTCTTGTGTTCTCATTTACATTGAATACCTAGATATGAATGATATATAGAAAAATAAGAATTACAAACCGTCGTATTAATAACACGTAAAATACGTTGCTAATTAATCACATTGTTGCTAATTAACCAGGTCATTATTTGACATTGAAATTTTTCAATAAAACAAATTTTTACTAGCTACGAAAGTGGTGACATACTTGATTATATCACGTGCCAATAAAATAATGAATTGCAAATGATGACGTAAGACATTCTGTCCCACTCAAACGTGCTGTCCTAAGTAGCGTGTGAGAGCGAAAGAATAATTGTGTCGTCGGCATTTCAGATTCGTTTCTTTATTGGCACGAGATATAAGTATTCTCATTTTTGACATTTCTTACTTGATAAATTTCAGTATTAAATGAAAAATATTGATCAAATCGTTATTTAAGCAGAAGTAATGTCTATTACTTGTTTATAAATACGACGGTTAGCATAATTCGAATTACATTTTCATAGAAAACTTATAGAGACCTTTAAGATTAGTATATTTAAAATTTGTTTGGATACTTCTTTGTTTACTCTATTGTTTGATAAGTGCGTGCTTGGAGCCAGCGTGTCAATGAGTCGTTGACCGATAACCTTTAATGAGGTGTTAAGTAAGTTCTTTGTCCTGGTTAATCAGAGTTGGCGGCTTGGTCTGCACCAAGATAATACGCTGTGATTTAAAAGTTATTTCATAATATTTCTTATGGATCTATACGAATCTATTATATGTATATGGATTATGTAACAATTGTTACTTTTGAAAAAAAAGCATTTTTACTGCCGGATGTTTAAATCTAAAGAATAATTTACTAGAAAAAGTTCCACGCAGACCAGGCAGCAGACGGGACTCGAACCCACACCTTTCGCTATCCGGGCAAATGCACTGACCATTATGTTACCGCGGCTCTGATAACCGTGTTGTATTTTCTGTAGACCTTCTTAGGTTGAAATACAGCGCCATCTCATCGCATTGTAGGTAACCCACCATGTCAAATGAACACCATTACAAGTATTAAACATTTGAAAGAAGAAATACCAATTATTGTCATATTTTTTAAGCATTTTAACTGCCAGATGATGATAAAAAATATAACTATAATTGGTTACCTACAGTGCGATGAAATGGCGCTGCCTTGTAGCCTAAGAAGGGATAGAGAAAATTCGACACAGCCATTGGGGCTGCGGTAGCATAATGGTCAGTGCATTCGCCCGGATAGCGTAGGGTGCGGGTTCAAGATCCGTCTGATGCCTGGTCCGCGTGTATTTTTAGCAAAAAAAAATTTTTTTTATAAATGATTGCTAAGGCCTTCACTAAAAGGACTTTTGGTAAAATTTATAGATACTATCATAACTTGTCTGTTCGGGAAATACAATCGAAATTTTCACTATACTAACAATTAACTATACATATTTCTACAGTGCCGGATTTAAGTACTCCACAATTTTGTTGCCCCAGGGCCTCCATATTTCCCTGTATTTGTATAATAAATCAGGAACAAGAAATTCATTTCTTGTTGCTTTTCCTTAAAACACTGTCCTCGCAGTACTTTTGCAAACCGATTAGATACTTATTCGGCTTATAACTGTTTGTAACAACAGCGTACACTGAAACAACGATATTGAAGTTTAACTACTTATATAATAGTAAATACAGAGATTTATGGATGCAATGTAGGGAGTGTAAGGTCTTGTTACATACCGCTGTGGAGTTGCTAGGAATAGGTTGTGGTATTCATTTAATATTACACTTAATTACAGGAAGAACTGAAAGAGGTATTCGAAGGCTCTTGCAAGTTGATGCCCATCAAGATAATAGCCAAAGAATGCATGAAAGTGTCGGACGACTTTGTGCCCGAGCTGGTGGAGACACTGGCCTCGGAGATGAACCCTCAGGCCGTTTGTTCCGTCGCCGGCCTCTGCAATAACGCGAAGATTGATCGCCTGTTGGAATCACACGTAAGTATCTTTACGACATTATCGATTTCAGGAGCTATTTGACAATATGAAAAATAAAGTATCAATTTTGGTATGTGCATTTAACATGAATATTGGGAGCGATTTCAATATTTTGACAAATTATTAGTCAATAATATAATTGAAAATCATGAAATAGAAACTATTTTTGATATATTGCCACGTGACCGAAAATGCCTAGGATTGGCAGAGCCTAAAATGACGTCAACTGCTTTTAAACATCCCTACGAAGTGTCATTACTTTGTAGTATTTGATGTTTTAATAACAGCCGTGTGACGTCACATGCCTGTAAGACGCCATATTAACTAGAGAACAGAGAAACGTTTCTACGATTTGAAAACTAATATTTTCTTTACTGATTTTCACAACAGAATTATAAATAATAAATATCTGTTAGCATGTAAAAAAAAGACAATAAATTATATTACATATAAATAACGTAAATACATATAATTATAAATAACGTATTCATACGCGATAGCCCTCATTATTCTACCTTTAAACCATCCAAAATTACAAAGCGGTAAACGACAAGATATTTAATGTAACATTAAATGAGCGTTTAATAATATAGAAGCTATAAATACCAAAATAATTTAATGGTATATCATAAAGAAGTTATTTTAATGTTGTTAGTTTTCAGAGAGTTTCCAATAATGAGATTAAAAGTTAGTATAATTCAAGTGTTTTTACGATATTATAATTGTAAAATGTTAAAACATTTTGACATTTTGATGAATGATAAATAACATGTAAACGGAATTATCTATCACACTTTCATAATATATCATGAATAATGGACAGGAAACCGCTAAAGCTGATAAACTTGATATGTTATATATGAAAATTTGCACTGCGGTAACAATCCATTGAAGGTTATTGATAATTTCAAATTTACAGTATTATCCATTATTGGCTGTATTTCTCAATTTATATTTGAGGGGGAAAAAAATAAAAATTTGTCTCCAAACTACTATTTTCTTTGGAATATCAATATAATGAGACAGAAAGTTACTTTGATAAGATTTATTTGATACCCTGGTGTGCGACCATTAATAATAAATAACATAAACATTGCATAACATGAGCTGTTATATATTTACTAGAAATTTCCACATTATTTGCAATAATAAACTCTTTATATTGATAGAGGAAACTTGACCGTTCCATAAATAGATCTTGTTTTATAATAAACCCGATGATTGATAGCTTTGTTGATTAACACCTTATATCACAAAAAGAGCCTGAGCTGGATTTGAATTTATTCTCTAGTGAAAATGTAACGAGTAAAAATCCTATTAATATTATAAATGTGAAAGTTTGTATGCTTGTTACAACTCAATCACGAAAAAACTACTGAATTGATTTGGATGAAATTTGGTACGCATATATTTTATTACCTGGATTGATACATAGGATACTTTTTTATCCCGGAAAGATCTAAGGTTCCTGTGGAATTCTGAAAAAACTAAAGTTAACGCGGATGCAGTCGGTGACGCCGGAAGTAAGCACTGTAAGGCTTGTGTTATGGAATACCGGTTAGATATATTTGAAACGTATATAAGTAAATTTATATAGTAATATATATAAACGTCCATGACTAAGGTACAAATGCTTGTATTCATCATACTAACATTTGCCCCCGCCGGGATTCGACCCGGGATCTCGCGAGTAAGTGACACCATGAAACTCGGTGTATATACCACTCGGCCACAGAGTTCGTCAATAATAATTTTAGGTCATTATTTTACAATAAAGTTTATTTATTAATATATTTTTTCTCTTTGCAGGAAAGAAAAATTGAAGCAAAGAAAGCCGATACACACAAAGGTTCGTTAAACAATTTCCAAAAGCTTACAAAATCAAAATTTGACTATAATCTGTCGTTCATTCCGTATAAAGAATGACAAGGTCACACTTGCTTAAGTTAATTTAAGGATTAGGTTATCTAGGTAGAATGGTGCCCATGATTTTATTTCAACTTGCTCTAATCGATTTCAATATATTGTATATTCATTCTGTTTCAGCTCACCTCGTAGGCGCTTCCCATTGCACTTGGGGTCCGTCATACTGGTGCAGTAATTTCAGGTATTTAACCACATTTAATTTGTTAAAAGTAACTTTATAAACAGTTTGTAAAGATCTTCCGCCATCTGCCGGTGAGGCTTGAATCTATATTTTAAAAACATTTAAATTACAACAATTGAAAACAAAAAACAATTTACATTACTTTAATCCAGTAGTATGCTTGTGTAAAATATGATGGATAATTTATAATTTATACCTTAGATCTTTATTCATTCCATCAAAAAAAATATATACTTGCACTCAGAGAAGTCAATTAGCTTTTAAGTTTGACTAAAATTGATACTTTCATCACTTGATCTTTGTTTGTAATAAATGTAATACAATAAAATAGAATGAGTCTTTAAATAGCATTAAATTTATTTGTCGGCGTCCCTAAGCATGCCCTTTAAACTTTAAACCAAGTATAACCAAGACTATATAAGTGATTTATATCAATACAAACTATTTTCTACAATTTTCATAACATTTTCATTTTTTTTCAAAAATCAGCACGGGTCGAGAATGTTCAGCTACGAAGCACTGCGTGGAAAGAGTTTGGTCAAAGATGGACTTTCCCCAAGATAATGATAATATTTGCAAGATCTGTACTGATATGGTGACGCAGGCGCGAGACCAATTGCAAAGCAACGAAACCCAGGTAGGTGTTAAGTCAGTAGGCTTATTATTCATCATCAGCCTATTAATTATTAAAATAAATTAATAAAATAAAAAAATATATATTTATTGTTTGTTTGTTGTATGTTAAGAAACTCCAATGTCTCAGAGGTGGGCGGTAATAGTTGCGACACAGTTTTTATAACTAAAACAAATTATTATCATGCACATTTATTGTATTCACTATCTTTGTTACAATAAAATATATTTCATTTCATTTAAAAAAAAAATTCATTAATGTCCGCAATGCTAGGGCACAGGCCTTCCCTATGGATAGAATAGGGAGATTGGGCCATGACCCACCACGCGGGCCTAGTGAGGATTGGTGGGTGCTAACGACTGCAGATGCAGCCGGACCAACAGCTTAATGCCTTCCAAAGCACGGAGGAGCTCGAGATAATAAATTTTTGGCCACCCACCCAATGCCCGGCCACTGCAAAAGTTGCTTAATTTCCACAATCGCAACCGAACGCGCTAACTACTTACGCCAGCGAGCTCCTCTTGTTTATTATTATCAGAGGCCAAATTATTTAACATTTTCTCATTCCGCGAGTAGTCTATTAGGTTATCTATGTCACATTTCTCTAGCTTTGAATGAGATCATTGACTCCGCTTGGTGATTGGTTAAAAATATGTTTTACTTTTCATAATTCGAACGCGCTAACCAACGAGAGCTTCTTGATCTTGCAGTAAATGTAGAAATTTTCCAAAAGATACCTTTACTTGCCTTATTTCAAAACATGGACTAAAGTTAGTCTTGGTTTTGAAACCTAATGTTGTCTCTGCCTTTTTTTAGCAAACAAAAGTGACAGCATCAGTTTTAAAACTAGGTTTAACTTTAGTCTGAGTTTTGTAATTAGGCAGTACAACTTTAAATGGTTTTCACAGGAGGAGCTGAAGGAAGTATTCGAAGGCTCCTGCAAGCTGATACCTATAAAAGTGGTGGCCAAAGAATGTATTAAATTAGCCGATGACTTTGTACCTGAGTTGGTGGAAACTCTGGCATCGCAGATGAATCCTCAGGCCGTCTGTTCCGTAGCCGGCCTCTGCAATAACGCTAGGATCGATCAACTACTAGAAGCTTATGTGAGTATATTTCAAACTTCTACCTTCATCATTAGCAGCCTATTAATGTCCCCACTGCTAGGGCACAGGCATTCCCTATGGATGGAATAGGGAGATTGGCCAACAACCTACCACGCGGGCCCAGTAAGTAAAGAAAAGTTTACTAGAAAAAAATCCAATCCATACCATTATGCTACCGCATTATTTAGGGCTGCGGTAGCATAATGGTCAGTGCATTCGCCCGGAGAACGAAGGGTGCGGGTTCGAGTCCCGTCTGCTGCCTGGTCCGCGTGGAATTTTTTCTAGTAAACTTTTTAAATAATCTTTAATTTAATCTTTAGATTTAAGCTGTATATAGCTGAAAATCAGGTCAATTAACCTAAAACAGTCTGTTCCCTCGTGCAGCCTCAGCAACGTTAGAATCGAATGATATGTGGATAGCCGTTTTGATGCGTATTGGATTGCCTACCAGCACCTCTCAGACCGGTTAAGAATAATGTAGTGGAAGCCTTAAATTATAATTTTAATTACACTGTTAAAATAGATTTGTTGGATTTTCATATCAACACAGCCATTTCTGCATTGCATCGAATTTGTAAGACGGACAAAAATGTATTACCAGTGATGTCAGTTTGCAATTTTTATTATAAACCCACTGTGGCAAATATAATATGGGCTTTATATTACTAAATTATAACACTTATGGCTTGTTTTTATTTTTAAATTTGATTTTAACGTAATTCTAGCGTTTGAAATAGCTATTTGTTCTTATGATTCGCAACTTTGACAGTAGCAGCAGTAGAGCATGATACGAATATACGGCTGACAAATTTACAAATAGCTAACACATATAGCTACGTAGAGTACCAGTTATAACATAAAAATACGTCAAAGTATAATGTATTATATATTTGACGACCTCCGTGGCCGAGTGGTTTATACGCCGGGTTTCATGGTGTCGCCAACTCGAGAGGTCCCTGGTTCGAATCCCGATGGTGGCAGATGTTTGTGTGATGAATATGAGCATTTGTACTCCAGTCATGGATGTTTAATATGTATTTCTATATAAATATACTTATATATGTACAGTATATAATAAGGTTAGTCGACATCACAGGAGGCCGAAGAGCTGGCAGCTACCTCGGATAAAGAATTGGTCTAGCTATTCAAAGGGGGAACGCTGCCAGTATCTTCGGAAACTTGCCTAAAGGGACTCCTTTTAATAATGTATTTTAGTTATTATAAGGTTTTTAGTTATAAATATCTTACTATTTGTTCTTTAGTTACTAAAAATAAAATGATGTCAACTTTTAGTAAAAAAATATCCGTTACCCTAGTATCCCCTAACACAAGCCTACAGTGCTTACTTTGGGCTAGGCTAATTGATGTGATTGTTGGAAATAGTTATTTATTTATTTTATTTTATTTGTCCGTAGAGCGAGCAGTTGTCGCGCGTAGTAAGCTGCAGTAGTTGCAGACAAACTGTGGGCGTGGCGAGGAAGAAGTTCGACGCTGCATCCTATGAAGATTTCCTCCTTGGTCTGTTGCAAGTAAGTAGCAATGGGGTATTTGACAGTATTAAAAATAAAGTGGCAGGGGCATATATACTTAGAATGAATATTAAAAAAAAATGTAACTAGCTGTGGCCCGCGGTGTTATCCGCGATTTATTAGGGATATTTTCCCGCAGTAAAACGTAGCCTACATGTTTATCCAGTGTGTCAGCTAGCTCCATACCAAATTTTATTAAAATGGCTCCAGCCGCTTAGACGTGAATAAGTAACAAACATACACACTCACAAACTTTCGCCTTTATAATATTAGTGTGATTATTACTAAAAAAGCGTGTAAACGTTTACGTGACTGTAAACGTCTGGGATTGGCGGACCCTAAAATGATGTCATACATGGGTATACTTCCTGTCAAATTAACATTAGTTGTACCGTTTGACGCTTAAATGAAAGCCTGTCATACACAAATAAACATGCCTTATTACCCAGAGAAACGTTTCGGCGGCATATCTGAAAGCAGATTTTGTTTTTTACTGTGGTACACAACGGAATGACATATTTATATAATTTTATGGAGTCCTTAAACATTAATAGGAGATAAATAACGTAAGATTGTTTTTAAAAAGTTGACTAATACCTTATTAGTTGGGGACTTGTGGAATGAAGTCGGATTTCACTAATTAATAAAAAATAAGAAAAATTTATATTTATTGAGAGTGGTTCACAGTTTAAGTTTTGTAGCAATAACTAAATAATAATTGTTATACACAAGAGGATACATAACATTATCTGGTCGCTTAAAACAGCCATAGGTTAAGTTAAATCCAAAACTGACAATTTCTTCAATTCAGTTTGAGTTTTATCTTTATCGTTTTAAGTTTTACAATCTCTTATCTTGCTCTGTTGATGACTGAATATTTATACTGCATGGAATAGTCAGTTATTGGCAACGAATAAGAAATAATATGGAATCCGAACTGCGCTAAAAAGAGGTTCCACGCCAACTGCGATCAAGTGGGCAGGATGGAAAAACTGTGATCAACACACCTATCATGGGATTGGTTGGGATTTCCGTTTGACATTATTTTACCCAATAAATGGATAGCCGAATTCATTTGCAAATATTTGATTTGTCAAAGTATTTTGGTTTTTATATATACGTATCGCGTTAGTATTGATGTTTAGTTGTATGAGTTTGGAATCATGTTACTTGCTAGATGGCCTTTGCTAGAGAGTAATGCTTCCATATAATTTGTAATTCGTTAGTTATTGATGTAGTATTATATAAAAAATCATGTTTTAATGGTATATAAAATATAGGTAACTCGGTGAAATAAAGAATGTATTAGAAAACTACAGTGCTTGACAGATTTACCCACTGATAGCACGAAAAATTTCCTAACGAATAATTTATTTTATTTTGCTGAAAATAGATTGTAACTTAGTTATTGAATTCCATAATATATCGACTATTTGATTATTAAGTCTTTAAAGTTGAATATCGAGAAAAAACATTTATCCAAACAAAATCTTAATGTGTCGGTTGTTTTTGTTACATATTTTTTCGCTTTCCATACAGATGTAACTCATTTTCAATCCCATATTTTATTTAACGAAATTATATGAATAAATGAATATATTCTTTATTGGACTGAGACAGTTTTTCAGCAATGTAAGTAAACACAAATCTAAACACAAAAGGTGGCCTCATTGCTAAGGTATCAATCTACCAGGCAACATATATCTATTTATATCTTGAAATATATCTCTTTTTAAAGTCTAAAATCGCAACCTCATGTATCCTTACTTCCAGGTGTGCCGCAATATGGACTCTCTCTCCGATTCGTGTTCCATGCTAGTGTTCAAATACTACGAGAACATTCTGGCGGCTGTAAGGAAGGACTTAACGCCTCAAAGCGTTTGCCATCTGAGCGGGCAGTGCACCTACAAGTATCACACTCACGATAACTTCGCCTTCCCCGAGTGGGCGCTACGGGAGCAAGCTAAGGAGTAAGTTAATTTATTTATACAGTTATCTATAAAAGTTAGTAAACAGCTTCCGCTTGTGACTTTTTTTTAGAATCCCGCAGAAGTCTTAAAATTTTCTGGGATAAAAACTACTATATGTGTCGAATCTTAACGACCTCCGTGGCCGAGTGGTTTGAACGCCGGGTTTCATGGTGTCGCCGTCTCGAGAGGTCCCGGGTTCGAATCCCGGTGAGGGCAGATGTTTGTGTGATAAATACAAGCATTTGTACTCCAGCCATGGATGTTTAATATGTATTTCTATATGAATATACTTATATATGTACAGTATATGAATTCTATCCGTTACCCTAGTAACCCATAACACAAGCTTACAGTGCTTACTTTGAGGCTAGGCTAATTGGTGTGAGTGCTAGAAATATTTAATTATTTATTTATCTATCTAGGTAAAAAAAACATTATAAGCCGTTTAAGCGTGAAATAGTAACAAAAATCAATACAAACTTTTGCGTTGATAATATTAGAATTAAGAATAAATATTATAGCACAGCAACCTCGAGCCTCTCAACTCTACATTACGCCCTAGAGGTCTTAAACAGCGACATTGCAGTAGCTCATTAAACATCTGTAACCTCTCATTTATTAAACATCAAATGAACCTAAATTTGACAGATTCGTCTGGGAAAGTGCAAAATGTCTAAATGAAACGACATTATTTTCAAATTGAAGAAATCTGAAGTGAAACATATTTTAAATGGCTCATCTTATTTCGTCATAGGTATTCTATAGTGTAAGTTACTTATTGGTTCGATTTCTATTTGATTACTGAATTTTGTTCCAGCGATGTGCCTTGCGAATTCTGCGAGCAACTAATAAAGCACCTGCGTGATACCCTCATAGCCAACACTACGGAGCTTGAGTTCTACAAAGTACTTAAAGGTATAAATCTAAACATTACCTTAGTTAAGTTAAAAAATATTCATTTTCTGAAAATCGATTTATATTGGATGAATGGTGATGTTCTCACAGGGGTAAATAATTTACTTACTGGGAATGTTATTAAAATATTCGAGTTACTTCGTGTAACAACACCAATAATAATGAAAGGTAATAAAATGTTTGTAGTAATAAATGTTCACAATAAACTTTGAAGTTCAAACGTAATCAATTTGGAGGCGGCTATGATGATCCTTTCATAACTGAATGATAAGATTCTATAGCAACAATATCGACATTACAACATTAAACAAGTCTTCCAGCGTTTCTGTCTGTATGTCAGTGATGAAAACTAATGAACGTATTTTCATGCGGTTTTCACTAGCATTTATATGTATATAATCTATAGATTTTTTTTGATTATTTATATAATTATATATATTTTCAATAAATGTTTAAATAGCTAATAATCTCGAGCAATGTTAGGTTCCCGTGGGATTCTTAAAAAGGCGACGGCTACTTCATAATATAGTATAGCGAGAGCGGGTCAATAGTTATAAATTAAAGAAATTAAAAGAGAAAGCAACATAAATACATTTAAAATGAAACCCAAACAGCATCTTATCAAAAAAGCATACTAATCGGTAAATGAATATATGAATGATAAGTGAAAACGTCACGGAAAACTCACTAACTTGTTTGGAACTGAAACTGACTAATAATTGTCTAGATATGGATATCGTACTTGCAAAATCCAGACAGGGTCATATACCATGCTAAAATAATTGTTTAAGATCCTATACTCTATATGTGCAATTAAATAAATAAATATATCCTATAATTTTTATGTATTACAGGTCTCTGTAAGCAAACTGGCGAGTTCAAGGACGAATGCCTTCATTTAGCCGAGCAATACTATCCGATAGTCTACAAATTCCTTGTATCCGACTTACAACCTGAAGTTATTTGCAATATGATGGGTTTGTGCGGCAAGAAACTTGACAAAGATAGTCCCTTCGCTCCGTTATTGCCTAAAGAATTAGTCGTTAAAGCTGTAGCTCTGAAGGATAATGCTAAAGCTACAGAACTGATCGGAACTGATGAAGCGAACAGCTATACTACTGAGAAAGTGAGTTATTATTCACACTAATTTTATAACGGCGAAAGTTTGTGAGTATGTCAGTGTTATGTTTATTACTTCTTCGCGTCTAAAGGCTGGAGCGATTTTAATAAAATTTGGTATGGAGTTAGCGGACACCCTGGATTAACACATAGGCTACAATTTACTGCGGGAAATATCCCCAATAAACCGGGGATAACACCGCGGGGCACAGCTAGTAAATAAATATTTCTAACACACTCCAATTAGCCTAGTCCCAAAAGGATGCACTCTTAAGACTTGTGTTCTTGGATACTAGTGTAACTGATAGAGATACATAATGATACTTATTATATGTACATTATTGTAGCAATATGCCATGATTTAGCTACAAATATGATACATATAGTATACTTTTATAGATAAGAAGCCATGTCTTGTATTAATAAAAGCAAAAAAATGGGTGCTGTTCTCAAGCCCTGCCACCTTTGGAACCTCTTGGAACTAATGGTAATCTCTATTCGATTCTTAGATAAGACCGTAGCATTAGGGTCATTGATAGGCTGATGATGATATAAAAACTGTTCCGCCCACATAGCGGAAGGGCGCGGGTTCGAATCCTGTCTGATGCCTAGACAGAGTGGAGATTTTTCTCGTAACTTTCTTTAGATTTATAAATCTATCAGTTTAAAGCTTAAAAAACCGGCCAAGTGCGAGTCGGACTCGCGCACCGAGGGTTCCGCACAAACCTGTAGGTGTATTTACGGTTTTCGCAATTTTTACTTTATCTGTGCTATAAAACGTTGCTTCGTACCAAATTTCAAGATTCTGAGTTCACGGGAAGTACCCTGTAGGTTTTGATTTCCTTGCGAGTTTCGAAATTTGCGGATATTTGCGGCATAAACGGCTGTATCTTTTGATTGCGTTGGCTTAGAAGTTTGATTTTTTTCACAGCTCCAAGGGACAGTAGACCTGAGTATTTGATATAAATTTCAGCTTGATACCTCCGCTCGTTCCTAAGAAAAAGGGTCTTGATAGACGGACGGACGGACGGACAACAAAGTGATCCAATAGGGGTTCCAATAAGGGTTAAAAAACGGAACCCAAAAAACAGTATAACTGAATATTATCACCCAATTCCATCCGGTCCTTGTAGCATGAACACCACAAATTAGCATTTTATCACGCTTTTTATTGTTATCATAGTAATTTGACAATTGAGCGTGATAAAAATGAGATATATGTATATCATATCGCGGTGCTTATGCTATGCAGAAGTGAAGTAATTTATAAACGACTAGCTGTCTCAGCGAACTTCGTACCGCCATACAAAAATAGCGGTTGGTGGTAGAATAGTGAACATTTTGGGTTGTATGTATTTTTGTATGATGTATCATAAAATTATCTCCAGAAAAACAAAATATAGGTGGACCGGACCACCCTTAACATTTAGGGTGATGAAAAATAGATGTGTTCGATTCTCAGATCTACTGAATATGCATATAAAATTTCACGAAAATCGGTGGAGCCCTTTCGGAGTAGTTCAATTACGCACACCGTGACACGATAATTTTATATATTAGATATAATTTTTTTACTGGTTTTTACGTTTTTAGACATTAGGTAGTTTTAAGCTTTTGTAATTTTAAATACTTCTATGTAGATATAAAAATTGTATTTTACAAACAGCTCAATCGCGTGGCAATTGCGAACAAACAGTCGAACGTTCGCATCATGGGTGCGGAATCCGAATCCCTGCCTTCACCTTTACCTTTGAACCGAATGTTCGTCCAAATGCCAGAGAACAAGGCGGCCTGTTCCTTCTGTGAATATTTCCTCCACTACCTGCAAGTGGAACTCAGCGATACCAAGACTGAGGTATTTACTTCTTTTATTTTTTATATTTTTTATTGAAACTGTATTTTCTCAAACTCAATTTCATTTACTTTAAACTTATCACTATTGATTTTGATAACACGTCAGCTACACCAGTGGGAAAAGTTATTCTGCTTTAAACTGCGTGAGAATGACGCTAATAGTCACATCAATGAGGAAGAAAACGCAAAACTCGTTACAGATGGCGCTTTGGCCGTTTGACCCATAACAAGCAAGCTTTCATATCAAGACTGCATTTCATTTCTAAACTTATGCTCTGTGTGCAACTTTTAGCCCTGACCTGAGCCCATTCAATTTTGACATAAAATGTATAAAACTTGTGTCGAATTAGGCATTTGTTGCACCTGGAGCGTAGGTTTGGAACGCAGCCCAAGTCTATCGGAATTGTCGGTTTTCCTTGTGTTTTTTTGGTTTGATTTGTTGTTAGGGCCAATCGACATCTGCGCCCATGGAGGTTAGAGATAAGGAGAACGATCGCTACGTACTAAAGCATTAGCACGCGTGTCCCTGGTAATTTTTATAGTTTATAGTTAATTTTTCCAGCCACCAGCCGCGCTGAGGTCGGCAAGTAGTCTCTGTGAAGTGAGCTGTTTATGAGTACAAGTAGATGAAGTTAGTTGATTAATGTACCAATTTTCTTCGCGGCATTGGTCATTTCAAATAAGCCCGCTTTTATAGAGACAACTTAGCGATCGCAGCGCCTCCCTTATTTTGTCCATATTTCTGGGACACTAATTTCTATAGTTATCGTTCTCCTTCTCTGTAACCTCCATGAAGCAACCTGTCACTTCAAGGCTGTATTCCAAACTTATGCCCTGAGTGTAACTTTTTACACTGACGTTTCAATTATGACATTTTTGACATAAAATGTATGAAACTTAGGTCGAATTTGACATTTGTTGCAACTGGAACGTAGGTTTGGAACGCAGCCTTAGTCTATCGGAATTGTCGGTTTTCCTTGTGACTTTGACAGCAGTCTGCACCTCTGGCGGGATTAATTGGCAGTTTTCTTCCCCATTTGTGCTGGCGTGACAGAAATGACTAACGATTCTTAGGTGTGGCAGATACGTTCTTTGTGGTACAGCCTAGTCTTTAGTATTTCTTTCTAGATTTCATGTTCGTTGCACGCGCATTTTAACGTTTCCTGAAATATTAATGCATTATTTTATAGATAGTGTCTATGTCGTTACATTATTTATATCATAACCGAAAAAAATATACCAATAGTAAAACCATTTATCCAACCCTAACTTAGACATGTATAGTATTTTACACCTCTTTTTTATGCTATCAGAAAAAAGCTTTTAGTGAAACGGGATTCTTTCAACGTCGAATTCTATCCACGAAAGTGTCAAAACATTTCCTGTTTCTATAACTTAGAGCAAGTGCACATTGAACCACTCAACACGGCCACTAGTGGCTCAATCAAGCCAATGATTGCCACCGCTAGTAGCTTAGTGGCTCGAATTAAAAACTTACTCACCTCGAACGCTTAGTTCATTCAAAAATTCATGAAAAAACCGACCGCAACTTGTAGACGCGTTTAGTGGCTTATTGTACGGTTGCTCTTACTGTACGTTTTCTAAATCTTTTTATGTCTAATTCATATTCATTCACTTACACACACACACACACACACACACACTAACACACATATTTATGTTTAGTTTTTTTTGTTACATTTTTATAATTACAGTTTTAGTTCTTGTCTTATTAGTAGCATTATAAATATTATTTTCAAATATAAGCTATATTACTAAACGTTCGGGTTTGATGAGCGGGGCCTGGTGACCTGCAACACAGGTACTGCATACCTACGTCAGGCATCAGACTCTCACGTCTTATGTAAGATTATTTCCACCTTATATAGCGTCCCATAATATGTAAGTTGTGAAGAGTAATAAAACATTATATTATTATTATTTTAGGACGCCATAAAGGAGGCCGTAGACAAAGCCTGCGATCGTTTACCAAACTCCATCAACGGCGAGTGTCGCCAGTTCGTGTCCCAATACGGGCCTGCAGTCATAGCGCTACTCGTACAGGAAATAGATCCGGCTAGCGTGAGTATCTATACATATAATAAAATGGTAGGAAAGTCAAAACTGTACATTGAATACTTTTTTAAAAGAATACTTGGGGTGTGATCTACAATCGATACTGAAGCCAAAAATATAGTTTCTAGAATTTTTGTCTGTTTGTCTGTAAGTATGTCCGGGATAAACTCAAAAAGTACTGGATGGATTTCCTTCAAATTTGGCACGAATATTATTAAGAAGTCGGGTCAACATATAGGCTACATATTATTACGCTATCACCTACGGGGAGCGAGCAGTGAACCTTTATTTCTAACTAACTCCACGCGTACGAAGTCGCGGGCGGCCGCTAGTTATTTAATACACCGCAGCAAACTTCTTGAGCAACAACCATAGACAAGGAATCGTGCGCAGTAGCCATTATACACACAAAAACGGCTACTGCGCAAGTTTTTTTGTCTGTGGTTTTGTTGAATCAGTTTGCCGCTACCTATACCATACTATACAATCAGAAATCAACATATTTTTATTCAAGTATAATTTAACAGCATTTATAGATCATTATGTTGTTACAACGTCAATACAATCATGATTTATATAATATAGAAAACCTGTTTGAATGACTGGAACAGTTCAAACCCAACCATTTTTGTCTGTAATATAATCAGACACTTTGTAATAAGCTTTTTTTAGTGTTTTTTTATACTATTTTTGAATTTATTTATGGTTAACTCTTGGATATTGCTTGGGACTTTATTGTATAAGCGAACACAAAGACCTGTAAATGAATTATTGATTTTTGATGCCTACTAGCAGTATTAAACGCAAAAGACGTTGAACTGCCTGATAAAATATGAACATATGCTAAAACCCGACTGCAACTTCACCTATCGGGTAGCGTTTTAAGTTAAGTTTTCTAATTTTTAGTGCCAGTTAATTAAATTTTAGATTTGAAAGAACGCCATTAGTATTAGAACAAAGTATCAGAAAACTTAAATCATAGAGGTGGATAAAATAGATAAAATTGTTCTGAAGTAGTAACTGGTCGATTTTGCTTGTGAATTAAGGGCTCATCTTGCTACCACGGGTTGTGTAGTGTCCCTTACGTCAAAAATAATGTAAGAATAATAAATAATGTGCTTTAAACGCCTAAAATAGTTATTGATTAAATAATTTAGCTTTGTACTGGTGAAAGAATTTAAAAAAGGCGGTTAAGTAGTAGACATTGCTTATAAACAAATAAATAATCTTTACATCGAACGGTCAGTTTCAATAATATCAACCTACAGTCTAGAATAAAAATATCTAGGCAACGAAGCTCTAATAGACCAATTTTTAATGAAATTTGATTATTGAAAATGGCCATATTTCTACTGGTTAAAGATTTTTCACTGACACGTTTCAGCAGTTCCAGCGATTACAAACTAAATTTACTTCTATATATTACTTATTAATAAACGAGGAATAAGCTGTGACTAGTTACTTATATTGTTTATTTGTTCAGACCTCCCAAATGCCATTTGTAATTCGATGTACACGGACAAAACAGTTAGTAACTATTCTAAGGTTATTCTTCGTTTATTAATAAGGGGGTCTAAGTATAAGTATAAGCGTGAGTTGCACCAATAAAAAAAATTATGATAGTCGAAATCAGGTGATGATTTGACAGTGACAATCACCTCTCCAAGCGAGGCCAGTTAAAGTTATAGTAAAACTAGCTGGCCCAGCGAACTTCGTACCGCTATAAAAAATAGGGTTTGGTGGTAGAACGGTGAAAATTTAGGGTTGTATGTATTTTTGTATGATGTATCATAAAAAAATAAAAATTAAAAGTTTTGTCAATAAAAATGTAAGTGTTGACCACCCTTAACATTTAGGGGGATGAAAAATAGATGTTGTCCAATAGGGATTATGACTAATTTTATTTTTCTTCGTTTATCAGGTAGATTATCAAAAAATATTGGACACGTATTTTTTCTTTTTTCACATAATATAAACATTGCAGAGATATATTGATTTGAAAAGTCGCATGACGTCACGTTTGAGTACACTTAATAGTGAAAAATCACACAAAAGTGACGTCACAAGCCCCCTACTCCCAAAGACGCGCTATAACTTTGTCATTTTTTGGTTGATTGCCCAAAGAAAAAATACGTGTCCATTATTTTTTGATCATATAACTGAAGGACTTAATAGAATTTCGTTTACTGTACCCCGTCATCACCCCTATTCTCAGACCTACTGAATATGCATATAACATTTCACGAAAATCGGCCGAGCCGTTTCGGAGTAGTTCCATTACGCACACCATGACACGAGAATTTTATATATTAGATTAACTTACTGTATCTATATTGCAAACTTACACTAAAAGTAAGAAAACGACTTGATATTATGATTTTGGGACAGATCTGCCCTGCGCTAGGACTATGCACCCAAGTGACGGAAGTCCGTCGCGTCGCCATCAACTCGGGCAAGTCCAACTGCGCGATGTGTTTGTTCGCCGTCGAACAATTAGTCACCATGCTCAAGAACAACCGCACTGAGGTAATCACTCAATATCATCATTTTAATCAACCTTTCTGTCCCGCACTATTCACTATTCAACTTCTTCTGGGAGAAAAGGTAAACAAACAAACCAAATATTTTATCGAGAGTAAATATGGCCGGTGTAGCCAGACTACAAAATTTTACATTTCAACGTAAATTATTTGCTTTATCACTACTGTTTAATATAGTAGTATTATAATGCACTGAAACTTTGGGTATAGCTACAGTATTAGGTATTTTAAATGACACTTTTTTTTTTCAAATTATGACTCTTTAATTTACCAGTATTATAATGCACTGAAAGTTTGGGTATAAGTACAGTATTAGGTCATTAAATAGTCACATTTTTCAAATTATCATTTTATATGCGTTTAAAATTCGATCTATTGAAAAACTTTTTATGGTTTGTTTACCTTTTGTCTCAGCGAAAGTTGAATAGAGTATAACAATTGGTCACCATGCTCAAGAACAACCGCACTGTGGCAATCACTAATTATTATCAATCATTTAATGTCCCCATTGCTGAAACAAGGCGTCTCTATGGATGCAATTAAAAGAATGAGCAATGATGTGTACCCTTAGCACGAACCAATATCGAATTCGTAACGTATGCGAGTACGAAATTGCTTTGTCCTATGTGTACTGATTTTTATTTCTCGTTACGTCCGCTATGGCGCTGCTGTTCAAGTTTCCATACAAAATTTTATAATGACATTTCGGACTCGCAAACTGTTCGAATTCGATATTGGTTTCTGCTATGGGTACAGCCCTATATTGGTAGACCTACAGATGCAGCCGGTACTGATATGACAAATTTTTGGTTTTGTTTAAACGATTGCAGGCGTTAAAAACTGCGCCATTGATCTTCTCATACATACATAGTATATTAATATAATGCTAGAACTTTACACGACAATTGGAATTTGCTATTTGTAAAATTGCCAGCCGTTCCCCCTTTTCATTACTTAAAAAGCATAATAATATGCATAATACTCTTGTCAAATTTACAAATAACAAATAATCTAACAGGTGAGTCAATCAAGATTACACTAGGACTTTTTAAACGAATAAACACTTTTGGTAGGAATTCTCGCTCTCCATTATAAAGTTTTGCCTGATCTAAAATGTAATACATAACAAACTTTCCTTTAGGCCAGCATCCGCGATGCTCTTGGCAAACTCTGCAACCATCTATCCGACAAAATGAAGACGGAATGCACAGACTTTGTAGATACCTACACCGACCAGTTGGTAGAAATGTTGGTGGCAAATCTCAACGCTCAAGAGGTTTGCGTTTACCTCAAACTGTGCGACGCTACGGGCCCAGACCCCCTGGGAGTTTCTAGTACTTCGGCCATCGATAAATATCACGAGAAACCGCAGCTGAGAGGCGATAGGAACAACTTTAGAAAGAAGCCGATGCTGCCCGCGCATATGTTGGAGAAAGACGGCGATATTGGTGAGTTTGTAATGCAAATTGAATGAATGCGAAAGAGCTATGAATGCAGAGGAAGCGAAAGTTGTTTGTAAGGACGGTCCTTTTATTATCCTTCTGCCTATCGGGACTTTACATGAATATCCTTTCTGATGTATAAGGATTCTTTTCTGCCAATCCTTTCTGATGTGTGCAGATCCTTTCCTATCCTCCATCCTTTCTGCCTATTGATGAAGATCTTTTCTGCCTGTCCTTTCTGATGTGTGAAGATCCTTTCCTATCCTACATCCTTTCTGCCTATTGATGAAGATCTTTTCTGCCTGTCCTTTCTGATGTGTGAAGATCCTTTCCTATCCTACAACCTGTCTGCCTATTGATGAAGATCTTTTCTGCAAATCCTTTCTGATGTGTGAAGATCCTTTCCTATCCTCCATCCTTTCTGCCTATTGATGAAGATCTTTTCTGCCTGTCCTTTTTGATGTGTGAAGATCCTTTCCTATCCTACATCCTTTGTGCCTATTGATGAAGACCTTTTTTGCCTGTCCTTTCTGATGTGTGAAGATCCTTTCCTATCCTACAACCTGTCTGCCTATTGATGAACATCTTTTCTGCCAATCCTTTCTGACGTGTGAAGATCCTTTCCTATCCTACATCCCTTCTGCCTATTGATGAAGATCTTTTCTGCCTATCCTTTCTGATGTGTGTAGATCCTTCCCTATACTACAACCTTTCGGCCTATTGATGAAGATATTTTCTGCCAATCCTTTCTGATGTGTGAAGATCATTTCCTATCCTACATCACTTCTGCCTATTGATGAAGATCTTTTCTGCCTGTGTGTGTATTTTAATATAAATTTTCAGTTAACTCATTGTACTATTAGCCAATTTGATTCCTGTTACATAGGTCTCAAAGATCTTTATCCATAAAAATACGGTTTTCTTGACATATGAATGTAGTAAGTGCAATAACGTTCTCTTTTAAAATAAACTCAGCTGTGACATTTTTAAGCGAATGATCGAGCAAGTGGGTCACGAATCAATGAGAAAGAAAATTGCCAATTTATCCCACCAGAGGTGCAGGTGTCGAATGACCCATAACAACAAATCGAGACAGCTGTCAAAATATATGACAAATTAAGAATCTGATTTCCACGTTCGGAGCGTTCCAAACCTACGCTCCAGGTGCAGCAAATGTCAAATTTTACAGAAGTTTCGTTTCTATTATGTGAAAATTTAAACGTCGGTGTAAAAAGTTGCACTCAGAGCGAAGGTTTAAAACGCAGCCTTGAACTGACAGGTTGCTTATTAGAGTCTGTGCGGAAAGAGAATGGGATTTAGATTGGAGGGCGCTGTAGTGCATTTCTACCGTATTTGTAAGGTTTTACCCCTTTTAGACATGATTAAATACAAAAAACCGCAAGAAATCACAACAACAAACAAATCCGTATCAATACAAAACTTTGGCGTTTTACAGATTGCTGGGTTTGATTGCCAAATAAAAATCTTAATGTTAGTTCCGTTTTTCGCCACGCCCATTGTTTTTCCGCACAGACTGTAAGGGTCAAGCGGTCAAAGCGCCATCTCAATCTGTTATGAGCTTTGCGTTTTCTTCCCCATTTGTTCGATAGAACATGAAGGATTATACGATTAATATCTAACAAATAAATGCCTGCAGATCTTAGTAAATAGATTAAATTGAATAATTTCCACAGCAACGAACGAAATACCCGACGACACTGTGAACGGTCGCCCCGTGAAGCAAGTCACACAGAAGACCGTCTGCGTGGTCTGCGAGTTCGTCATGAAGGAAATCGACGACCAGATCAAGGATAAACACAACGAGGTAAAATAAAATAAATGTCACCCATTGACAGGGCCGGATTTAAGGCAGGTCAGACGGGGCTGTGGCCCAGGGCCCCCTCCAGGAAGACCCCACAAAAGAGTTAAAAAAAAAACAAATTTTGACGAGTCACCAATACCAGGGGGGGGGGTCAAATCGTAAGCCCATTTAGGGCTTCTTCGTTCCCCACTCATCTAAATCCGGCCCTTGTCCATTTACGTATAGCTTGACATACAACACAAAGTCGCTCACGCTGTCTGTACGCTTAGATATTATGAACTACGCAATGGATTTTAATCTGTACATATATCATGGTAGGAAAGTCAAAACTGCACTAAAGTTTTATAGAGGACATAAATATCTACAAAAAAGTCCACGACAACTATTACAGTTATGTCACACCTAATGGTCCCCTGCGGTTTCACCTGCGTTAATTTGAGGAAAAAGGTTATAGTGAGTCAATTTAAAAGATAGGCATACGCTGTCGGATTTTTTTATAGAACTTTTAAAGAGGAACAATTCCGTCGTACATGTTTTTTGTAAAACTAATCATTTACGCAGCGTACTCGACGGAATCTCCCAAATGGAATATTTTTACCCGTTTTTGCAACACATTAGTTTCTAGATTTGCGCGTTCAACCAAAAAAATGGTGCATTCGGTATAACCGGTCTTAAACTACGCAACAAAATTTTTACTATCAGTTAAATAAATTTTCTTGAAAGGTTCATAATTATAATAAAAACATTGTGTATAATACAAACCTGAAACAAAAACTATAGTCTATACTACAGCTCCACACCGAAGCGAAGCGAGGGTGGGCCACTAGTTATTAAATATTGATGTTTATTCCCTTGTCTCTACTAAATTACGCATGTGATATTAACGCTTTTTCTTTATATAAAAGTAAACATTTTCTGTTCTGTATATTAGTGTAAATTGTACCGTTTTCTTTGTTTCTTTTAGGACGAGATTAAAAAAGTAGTTCACGGCATATGCAAGCACATGCCTAAAGCGGTCCGTCCTGATTGCGACCAATTCGTCGAGAAATACGCAGACCTGGTGATCAGCCTTTTGGCTCAAGAATTGGAGCCCGAAGAAGTGTGTGAAGAACTGAAACTGTGCAGCCCAAATGGAAAACAATCCTACGAATTAGCTAGAGGTAAGTGGATTTGTTTAAAGCTTTCATTGTCACACATTTAAAGACGAAGTTCCATAGACACTTAATATATTAAATCTTATTAAGGCCGATTTTTCAAAATTCTGATAAAACTTAACTGTTGAATAAATAAATACTCAATCAATTAGAGAGAGAGATGTCAAGCATCATATTACACCAATTAACACAAGTCAACTCTTTATTTTGTCCGTATAATATGATATCAGCCCTTGCATTGATTTAACATTGTTAAATTTAATCACAACAATGAAATTCTTTTCTTACATAAAGCTTGTTTAACTGGGACTAGGGGATGAGAGCTGTGTCTGTTATATGGGAATTTTATAACCTAATACAGGCAAAGAACTAAGAGAGTAAGCTATGTATATTGTGTTGTATAATTCTTGTGAAACTGGCTTGTGGTATAAATAATAATTATTATTATTTTATGGCGTGTTGCTCCTACTAGTAGGAGAGCCTAGATTTTATAAGACGACGCGTGTGCTTCACTTTGTAGAAAACCAAGCATGGCATACTTAAGTACTCACGAGAACAAATTAATTGGTGTAAAAGCATAGGCACTCGCCACCTGTTTATTTCTATCGTTTCTACATCTTACATTTAGCATTTTTTAGGGTTCCGTACCTAAAAAAGAAAACAACCGAACCCTTATAAGATCACTTATTATATTTTATCTCAGGAACGTGTGAAGGGATCGAGCTGAAATTTAAAGTATATACTCAAGTCTATGGTACCTTGAAGTTGTGAAAAAAATGAACTTCTAAGTTAACGGGGGAAAAGATAAGGTCGTTTATGTACCTACAAATTAAAACGGACTCTTGGTAGGTGATCCGACTTGCACTTGTCCTGTTTTTAAAATTAGAATTCGTAACGAGAACCGGGGGGCGAAGAAATAAAATAGCATTTAAGGAATAGCTTTGCTTCTTTCCTTTAGCATGTTTTTGACACGCGAGACAAGTACACTTGCGTCTCCTCAGAACAAGTACTAAAGCTTAGAAGGAGTTTATTCAACTCATATAGTCGACTCATATCTTATTTTTACATATAGTCCAAAAAAGGGACAAATATAATATGTTGTTATGAACCATACTATGAACAACGCGCGTACCTCTATACAAACGTCAAATTGGATACCTTTATGTGGGTTGTGATGTCCACAACCAAGTTGTGGAAACCTTGGCTACCTTTATGATACCGAATCCGAATCAAAAAACGATCTAATGCCAAATACAACCTGCCAACACGCCACTTATACCTTTTGGTTAGGTAATACTTTGTTTGGAAATATTTTTGTCAATCTATTGCACTGTGCAGCTTATGGACCGACTATACGCAGCGGGCCATCAGCGATCTACGGGTCCAGTATAACAATGGGTTTAGAGTATTGTTCGGGCTGGCTCGTTATTGTAGTGCGTCGAACATGTTCGCTCAGGCACATACCGATGATTTTTACGCCATTTTAAGAAAAAGAGCAGCCTCAATGCTACACAGAGTGCGGGCTAGTACGAACTCCATTCTAAAGACCATAGGTACAAAATATGATTCACCCATTATAAAGAAATGGGTGCAACTCTGTATCACAGGCAGGCAGATTGTGGCCAAATAGTAATTTTTATTTTTTATGTTTTGAGTGTGATTTAATTGTAAACATTTACTAACATAGTATATAAGTGAAATTGTTACTAATGCTTTATGGACCATATAGTTCTTCAAGTAAATAAATAAATTATTATTATTGTCTATGGGAATGTACGCTTAAACGTCGCAGCATTACTTCTATGATTTAGTTTTTGTCTGTGAGTGTTGGGACAAGAATCAACGTACCCAGTGCCCGTACGTTATCACCGTCTAACTGTGGGCACAATTCCAACGCGTACAAAGAAATTTGGTGACTCATTTCTTTGTCGCACTATCCGTAAATGGAATGCTCTGCCCGCTCACGTGTTCCCTTCCTCTTACAACCTGGGATCCTTTAAAAGAGGCGTGAAGAAGCAACGTGCAGGCCGGCAGGGTGAGGATGGATGGAGTGGCAGGTAGAACTGCTGTATCAGCTATCTTCGCTTCTGGACTTCACCTTCACTTAACATCAGGTGGGGTGGAGTCATTTATAAAAAAAATAATACATACATTTGCCCACAGAGGAGATCCTAGACTGCGCCGTCTGCGAGACGGTAGTGATGGCGGTGAAAAAGGTCCTGAGTAACGACCGCGTCGATCACAACATCGTTCACGTCGTGGAGAAGTCGTGTGGATTATTGCCTGCTAAATACTACGATAGGGTGAGTATATTATATTGACAAGTGATATTGGTGCAAGTTCGAGTTAAATTAATAAATATTTTCAACACTCACTCCAATTAGCGTTGTCCCAAAGCAAGCACTGTAAGGCTTGTGTTATGGGATACTAGGGTAATGGATACAATACATATATTTCACATATATAAGTATATTTATATAGAAATACATATTAAATATCCATGACTGGAGTGCGAATGCTCTTATTCGAACTCGGGACCTCTCGAGTCGGCGAAACCATTAAACCCGGCGTAAAAACTACTCGGCCACGTAGGTCGTCAAGCTCCGTCTGCTGCCTGGACCGCGTGGATTTTTTTCAAGTAAATGATTCTTTGGTTTACCCCGTTATCCCGCCTATCATATTTGAGGATGGCGGGGGCTATCCTTCCGGCTACTTTCTATTTTGTATTGTTGAGCTTAGCAAAAGTTTTTTGATAACATTCAACAAAAGCACATACATAAAACTTTGTTTCTGAAACATGTTTCTCAACACACGTTCGTCTACTGTTCACGTGGCTGTCGTAGACGAAACAGTTTTTCTAGTAAACTAAATAAGTTTGGACGAGGAAGACATAAGTAGTTAGGATTTTAGATTTGATAACAAGAAGAAAACAAAGTCGTTTTCAAGTTAGACTTAAACTTAATTAGAAGACTAGAAGAGGGCAAAATTTCAACATTCATCAAAATTTTTAAAGTAATTTAAACGAAGATCCATTTGGTATATGATTTTACTTTCGCTGCTCCTAATTAGATTTCAAATATATACTTTCAATTATAAGAGCGGTGAAAAAGAAACGCTAAGCCCAACGTTGAGGGCTGGTTTAAAACAGTACCCTGCCTCTTAACCTGCGCGGGGGCAATTTGTGTTATTTCTCATCAGCTTTGTAAAGCAAAAACATTGTTGATGCAAATGAATCTGTGTAGTGAAACAAAGTTTTGCTAAGACGATTTTGTTGAATAATAATAATAAAAACGTTTATTTCTTTAAAATTGTTACACATTTTAGTTTACACATTATTTTAGCAGTGTTGTAAGTATTAACAATAGGCATAAGGTTGGAGTGTTTGTTATCTGTACTAGTTTAAAAAACTGTATTGCAAATACCGGCGCCTTCCGACTTAATATCAATACAATCTCGTGTGAATAGTTTATTTATATATATAATCAAAACGTAAATAAAAGATAAAGAAAATTGCCGGTATGATTTTGTTGATTGTGTAGGGCAAAACACGCGCTGTGGCTTGTTTTTTTTTCTCTTTATTGGATCACCAACAGTTGCTACATCAATACATCTCATTTAATACAATTTTACATTCTATGATATAACTTATAGGCGAACTCAGCATGCATTACATTAAGCTTAAGCAGATATTATTTGATTAAAATTAGGTGTGTGTGTGTGTCTTTTTCATTGCCCCTCAATGTCCCACGTTGATGGATATCTATATTAAGTGTTTGATTTGCCGATTGATTGCCCCTCAGTGTCACACGTTGATGGAGATCTACGGCGACAGCGTGATTCATCTGGTGGAGCAGATCGGCACTAAGGGCGTGTGCCAGAAGATAGGGCTTTGTGCTCCCGGTGCCGCCCTAGTACGCATGCAAGGCCGCATCAACCATTGACGCGTGAGAATAACTGTTTTGTTAACTTTATCACATTTACTTATAAAAACAAGTAGACTCACAGTCGCGTTCTTAAAGTGTCGGGACCAAAATTACGCACACGCATCTATTGTGCGCAATTTTTAAACGGTCGTGTTTCATTCATTACAACGGAGACCTATTGGAGAAGCACAGTAAGGCCATGTACAGGGCGTGGGCAGTGGGGGCCGAAGGCTCTGGCAACCCCACTAGCAGTGTATCACTGGTGCCTAAACTGAGACCCACCCAGCCAGAGAATAACTTTATCTCATTGACTTAGAACAAGTAGACTCACAGTCGCGTTCTTAAAGTGTCGGGACCAAAATTACGCACACTCGTCTACTGTGCGCAATTTTTAAACGGTCGTGTTTCATTGATTACAACGGAGACCCATAGGAGAAGCACAGTAAGGCCATGTACGGGGCGTGGGCAGAGTGGCCCACTAGCACGTGCCCAGCAGTGGGGGCCGAAGCCTCTGGCAACCCCACTAGCAGAGTATCACTGGTGCCTAAACTGAAACCTACCCAGCCAGAGAATAACTGTTTTGTTAACTTTATCTCATTGACTTATAACAAGTAGACTCACAGTTGCTTTCTAAAAGTGTCGGCACCAAAATTACGCACACGCTTCTATTGTGAACAATTTTTAAACTGCCGTGTTTCATTGATTTCTACGCAACGCAATGACGTTTTTACTGTTCGGTTGAAAACTGTGCATATAACTCTAAACGTCCCTTTAAACTAATAAAATTATGCTACTATTTTGGCGTTTTCTATTGTATTGCTAATTCATTAAATTTAAATACAACAAGAAACTGTCTCTTTCTCTTTAGTATACAATTGACGTTAAACCTTACTACCAGTAGTATATAACGTATTCATTTGAACAACTGTGTTAATGTTATCTGTGTAAGTTGATGCATACGTATAACACAGCGCCGCTAGGACGATATTTGATTCACTTTTGTTAAGCCGTTACGAGTCTACTTGTTTTTATATGTCAATTCTTTATCTAAACTCGACTGCAAATAAACTGGGCCAACCGCTAGTACCTTGGAACTCTGATTCGGTTTTTTTTTCAAAAAATATAAAACTTACAACTATTAAAGCTATATCTACAGAAAGTGTGTTACATAATTATTAATATGAGTAAAAAATTGTTCTTAAGTGCTATCAACTTACTTTGTAATCGATCAAGAACAGCAATGCTAACAATTTGCTAATATTTTAAATAAAATAAAATAAAGTCACGATAATATCACTTTTTTATAAAATGAAGATAGTCTGATACTTCTTATTATTTACTTAGTTTTTCTCCATAGTTTTCTCAGACGTGAGTATTTTTGGTCCGTTCCTTACTTCCGAATGCCATAACTGGAAAACGATTCTTCCTTGGCTTTTTTTACATAAAAATTTAATAAATTGATTAATCTCAATAAATTCTAGTTCATTTTAATCACCACGAAACGCACTTTCTAAGTTATAATTTTGATAGTTGTAAATTTTATACTTTTTGAGAAACACAAATCAGAGTTCCGTGGTAGCAAGTGGCCCAGTTTATTTGCAGTCGACTGTATATTGTTTTTGCGACTTGCACATACCTACATACCTATTTGAAATGTAAACCTCTCTATATAAGCACTTTTGGAGTGTAGGAGAGAAATAATCTCAGTTACACATGATTGCATAATATATGTATTATTGTATAAGACAATTTATGTACTTATTTATTTATTGTTATTATGAGATTAAATGAAGTTTTTACTTCGAATAAAATCTTCATTTGACACTTTTTGGAAGTGGAAAAGACACTGAAATCGCGTGAACCGCACTCTCCGATTCACATATAAAGCGTAATAAATTTTATAACATTTCAAAACTACATATTACATGGTCAGCAGTAACTTTTTGACTTTAGTTAACATTTTATATTCAACTTCTGAATTTAAGTAGTTTTATTTGTGGTGTGTGGTATTTATCAATAAATAACATGATTGACAGCTAACCACTCTTATTACAATATTAATAAAGCACACGTTAGGTCAACTGTACGATGATTAATTAAAATATCTAATTTATGTTTCAGAATTGAGCCGGCAATGCTGTTATATCAAGATTGTATCTGATATAAGTAATCTCCTCTAATATTTTAACACATAAGTTTTCAGTTTTCACCAAAACAATTTAGTATTAAGTTTGGTTTTAGGACAACAAAAGTATTGTGACTATTTCGAATTTGTCTTGTTTTTCATTTCAATTGATTCTTTTGGGACATGTCGTAAAATATTGCATGTTTATAATAAAGTAAAAAGTGTACTTACATTTTATAGTAAATAGTCACAGTAAAGCATTATTCTTTGTCATTTGTCACGTATTTTGCTCATTTTAGATTTTTTGTAATACTAAGGAATGATTAGCCACAGATATTTATAGCTATAACCGTTCATATAATGGAGTAGTGTTAACATTCGCTAGCCTGTGATAAGTCATTTGTAAACTGTTTCTATAAAATAAAGTTTTTAAATAATATATTCGTGTTTGTATTAAACCAATAATATTATTTGAACAATGGAGGGAGAAGTTTATATCACCCGTTTTATAGTATCGAAGATTACAAATCACAAAGTGCATTTGGTCAATAAAGAATTTTAGTTCTGTTTCTTCCAAAAGTTTACCTTAAATGGACAAAAAACAGACGAATGTGGGCGTATAGATAGGTATTTGTTGTAAAACTTATTTTCAAAGTCAAAGTCAAACATTTATTGCATATCATAATTGTACAAAAGATGGTAAGTATATAATATAATCGATCGAATTATGTTACCCATTTGGGCATAGCAAAGTAAATTGTATTAGCGTGTAACGGACATTCCATAAATATAATTATAAATAGAGGATTATTCATTATTCCTAATTTTACTTCTTTATTACTACTATTATATTTATATTTTAAATTAATTTATTGTTAAATTATTTTACTCTTATTATTATTCATTTTAGTTAAAATACATTAAATTTCTCATTATAATATTCATATATGGTATTTAATGTGATGATTTGCATTATAAATAGGTAACTGAAGTTACAAATTGTGAACAAAAGCAGGATTAATGTTTGATCAAGGGGTAAGAGTTGAATTGACATCATAATGGCTCAATTACACTTGGTCGTTAGCCCGTATTCGAGTACATGAAAGACATTACTCGAATTCGGGCACCCAAAGCAATATTTACACTGGAATACGGGCTGGAAGACGGTGTCGGGTGACCAAAACGAAAACTACCCAAATATGGGCGTACTCGACTCCGTTCATTTACACTTGGTCGTTTACCCGAATTCCATTGACACTCGTATTCCGGCTGACGACCAAGTGTAATCGCGCCACAAGTGATGTAAAAAAGCTTAAAAATTTTCCGCTAGCCCTTGGTTTACTAGCAAACTATAATATTAAAATAATGGTAAATAAATATTTCCAACACTCACACCAATTAGCCTAGCCCCAAAGTAAGCACTATAAGGCTTGTGTTATGGGATACTAGGGTAACGGATAGAATACATATACTGTACATATATAAGTATATTTTTATAGAAAATACATATTAAACATCCATGACTAGAGTACAAATGCTCGTATTCATCACTCAAACATCTGCCCCCACCGGGATTTGAACCCGGGACCTCTCGAGTCGGCGAGACCATGAAACCCGGCGTACAAACCACTCGGTCACGGAGGTCGTCGAAAACCGGCAGTGTCAAATTGCGCGAGAGAAGTATGGCCGACTGAATCATGGCGGGATAGTGAGAGTGGACAGGGGGCATTCTGCGAATAACCGTCGAAGTGTTCGGATGTGTCGTGTCTAATTATTATTATAAGCACTGCTAATTTGGAGTTGAATTGAATAAATAAGTTGCTGATTTCTGGAGGACTTTTCCTTACACTAGCTAAAAAACTCTCGAGACTCCATTCTTTCTATATCTAAGATCGTAGGTACGCAATTGGGAATAGACAACTGAGAATCACTGTAATCACGCGACATTCTTTATTCACACGCTTTATAGTCATGGAAAAAAAGGATTATTTAACAAGTGATTCTTGTGAGGGTTGCGGCGTATGGCAGCGGTGGTCCTCCCTCTGCTCGGGCAGCTGCGGCGCCAGCTCGGGCTCGTTGGGGTTATGACGTTGTAAATATTCCGCTAGCCATATTATCGGCTCAGCGGGTCTCTCGTGAGCCAGAGCCGTCAACGCGGGTAGAAGGGTAGGAGTTATGTGCTTCTGGATGTAATCGCTCACCTGCCAGTGGCGAGCTAGCGGCCCAATGATCACTGGAAAACATAATTAATTCATCATCAAGCTGTCTCTTTTCTCCTGGAATTGGAAAGGGCTCAAATAGCCGTGATCATAGTTATGTTCTGTCCTAGAAGATATCCAAATAGACAGCTCTACGAGGAAACTGAGCTTCTCACTGTTCGGTAGTTGTTTATATAAAACTCAGTTCTCCGCTAACATAAAACCCTAGACCCCACGCAGCTGCCGCTAAATAAAAGACCTATTCGTACTCCTGTCTCAATTTGTAAAACATTGTATGATAGACGACAAAAACACTTCACAAGTTCATTTTTATGTAAGTATAAAATTATGAATGGAGTGGAGGGTTGATTACCAGATACACAGGATCCATCATAGTACAGGTGTCAACCCACTATAGCCTGATCAATACTTACCTGTTTTTTTAGTTAAAAAATAGCAAGTTTTTATATCGTTGTTTTTATGTACCTAGTGGCCATTAATATCAACATTGACAACATTGTGATTATGGTGAGAAATAAAGGTTATTACTTATTATTATTATAATGTCCCCAGTGCTAGGGAACAGGCCTTGCATATAGATGGAAAAAGGAGATTGGGCCATGTCCCATCACGCGGGCCCAGTCGTTGGGTGCTAACGACTGCAGATGCAGCCGGGACGAACGGCTAACGTTTCGAAGCACAAGATTACCATATCATTCGGTCACCCATTCGATGAACGACAAGCCATTGAGAAAAAGTTATTTAATTTTTGCAGATGGGCTTATAAAAAGCGCTTTTTCGCGAAATTGCTTAACTATCATGATCGTACAAGGGCGTATTTATCCTAGACCAAGAGGGCCATAAAATGGGGCGCTGTTGGGGCTAAAGTCATACAAAGGCATCTATTACTGAGGTATATTTTGATTTGACTTAGATATTACCCCAGCAAGAGTATAATCCACTTTATTACCTATTGCACTGCTACACCGAACATAGAAACAGGTTCTGTGCTCTGCTAAGTTCGGGACTAGATACTCATAAACGAGGAGTTGCTTGTAAAGTGGCAGATCACAGAATTCTTCTAAGTACTGGAACTGGACCTACTTCTAGGAAAGAAGAAGTGTATTTCCCTAAGGGCTTCTGCGTGGTTTTCGCTGCCATGGACCGCGTTGAAGAAGTCTCCGTACTGCGTGCGGCGGCCGTAGCACGCGCGCAGGCTGTCCGGCCAGTATGCCTGCGCCTCGGCTACCCTAATAAAGAAATGATTGAAGTTACACTCACTCATATCAATAAGCCCTGTAAGGTTGTATTATGTTATACTAGGGTAAAGGGGATAGAAATACATACCTAAAAATAAATTTATACAAGTTTGTTTTAGTAGAAATATTATACAGTCATGGCTGACTGAAGCTGGCATGAACCCGGGATCTCAGAGTCGACATCTTGAAAACCGTTTTACATACCACACTACCACAAAACGTCAGGTCAACTTTAGGTCGTCAAAAAATAAACGAAATCAAATGGAAGAGGGGAAAATATTTAAAAACACTACAGATTACCCCCTGAAAGACTACCGAATTCTCTTAGTATAAAATGTATTAATTGGTGGCCCTGTTTTAATCAAAGCCCTACCCGCGTATTTATACGACGCTAGAACTGCACGGCGTAAACAATTAGAAGGAACTCGGCGGACGGTAGTTAACTCCTAAGTTTTGCTACATCTATAAAAATGAATCCTTTTTTCCCCTGTTTACGCTATAACCACTTTACTGATTTCATCCACCGTTTTTAAAGCTTTCTAATACGTTTTACAAAGATGCGCAGAAAATTTAAGAAAACTTAATTGACATTCTACCAGGTAGGTGTCGGGTTTTAGGATTTTTTTTAATTTATCGGGCAAGACAAAGTCTGTCGGATCTGAGATAAGTGTGGATGTACTGTTTAACATCAGGAGTTTCATATTAGGATTTGCCAAGCGTTTTGCACTCACCGGGCCGGTCCCATAAGGGTGCGCCATCTCTGTATACAGTTCCTGCCAGCCAGCACTAGCGCTACTACAGGCCCGCTGGAGATATGCGCCACCAGGTGTGGGAAGTGGTGCCGTCCGTAGTGGCCCTTGTACAACTCCGCTGCTTGCTCGGGCGTCAGACGCACTATGCGTTTCTTGGAAACAAAGACTGTCTGTCCCACTAGTCCCATTGACCCAATCCCATATCGGGACAGGTGGGATAATTATGTCCCACTAGTCCCATGGGACAAAATTAAACTAATATATTTCTAAATTATGTCTCAGTAGTTCCATAGGACAACTGATACAGATATTTTTTTTATGTCCCACTAGTCCCATTGACCCAATCCCATATCGGGGCAGATGGGATTATTATGTCCCACTAGTTGCATGGGACAAAACGATACTAATATATTTTAAATTATGTCCTAGTAGTTCCATAAGGCAACTGATACTGATATTTTTCTTATGTCCCACTAGTCTCATAGGATAACTGATACCGATATATTTTTAATTTTGCCCCATTAGTTCCATGAGCGAATACTGATCATTTGATAGTGACCGTAAATCAGCCAGCAGGCAGTCCAAATTTAGTGGCGCCTGTGAAGCTTAGTGCAAGCCGATAAATAAACGGTATTTTTTTTACAAAGCGCAGGAAATTACACCACCCCAGCTGATGTTAAGTATAGGTAGAGTCCAGTCACGAAGACAGATGATGCGGCAGAAAGTGTGCCTCTTCAGCCCTCCTCGCCTTGTTGGCCTGAACCCAATCCCCCACCTCACGGAGCCCTGAAACCCTACCCACCAGCAGAAACCTCCACGATCGTACATCAAACAGATTTACCTTACTTTAATCAGACATAACATCAAGCTGGGTAAGGTCAGGTGAGTAATTTACTGATCATTGTATAAAAACTGAACTTCAAACTAAAGGAGCAGTAACTTATGAAAATATTCACAGAAAATAATAACGATCCAATACCTGAGCAAAGCAAGAAAAATATATAATAATAAGCCATTAACAAATAAAAGTATGAAAACAGAAGCTACGGGAAAATATTAATAAATAATTATAAATTTTATCGCAATCTCAATAGGTATAAAAATTATACATCCTATTTCCCTTAGTCACGCTATAACTCGAGATAACTACTAATTCCATCCACTTTTTTTTAAGTTTTCCGATACTTTGTAGAATGTTTATACCCGTAATCAAAAAAATTGGGGGCGAAAGCTAATGTAAAATAAAAAAGCTTTTTAAGGCCTCATCCCCATAGGCGCGTTATTATCGGTCGATAATATCCGATACGTTAATGCGATATATATTTCCAGTACCTACATTATGCATTAGGACGGCTACGAAGTTACACACTGCTGCGATAATAACGACGCAATGCAAGACGAAAGAACGCAATAACACATCCGATATTATCGACCGATAATAAATAACACGCGCCTATGGGAGAAAGGCTTAAAGTAAACATTTCAAACATAATTACGGCAGCACTACGCCTAGCACGAACCAATATCGAATTCGTATCGTTTGCGAGTCCGAAATGTCATTGTCAACTGTGTACTGATTTTTAGTTCTCGTTACGTACTTTGTGCCGCTGCTGTTCAAGTTTCCATACAAAATTTGATTAAGTAGTTTGCGAGTGCGAAATGTCCTTGTCAAATTTTGTATGGAAACTTGGACAGCAGCGCCAATACGGGCATAACGAGAACTAATAATCAGTACACATTTAACAATGACATTTCGCACTCGCAAGCTACATATTCGAATTCGATAATGGTTCGTGCTAAGGGTATAGTACTGTCCTAGGTACTGTCGTCTACAGACCCTACTGTAGACGTCAATGAGCATGTTTAATTAATTTTGTTTTTTTTTCTCGTTCCTATAGTTAGCACGAGTGACCGGCGAGTGGTCGGGGGATCCGGACAAGTTGCATATATAGGGTTGACGCGCAAAAATACTTTGTGCATTGACAGTATTTGTATTAATTTAAAACAAGAATTATAATTTATTATACTGTTATTTTAAGCAACAAACTGGTAGAATTTTAAGTTTATATGCCTATGCAATAAAAATCAATCTACTAAAATCTATTGAGAGTGGAAAAGCTTAATCGTGTATAAGCCACCTTGGTGCTGCAAAAAATTTTTTTTTTTTTAGTTTTTGTTTAACGTTTAAGCAGCACCAAAGTGGCGTATCTTTGATTTGACTTTTCCACTGTCGTTCATTTATTTATATATTATTTAAATTTTAATGCTTTACAGCTAATAAGGACAAAACGTTTGTCTGTTAAAATTATAACGTAATAAAAATTACAAAACAAAAATAGACATCCGTTTGCACATTATAGTGAGTTAGAGGGAAACAGTTTTTTTTTTACCAAAAATAAAAGGTACGTATTGATCTGATTATGGTGGGTTGACACTTGAACTAGGATGAATCCTGTGTCTCAGGTAATCAACCCTCCACCCTATTCATAAAGTTGTATACCATTTAGTAAACAATTTATTAATCCAGATAACTGTTCTTAAGTTATTAATTCAATGGAGTAGCCAAAGGAGTTTGTTATGTGTGTTTGTGTGTGTGAGTGTGTGTATGTGTATGTTAGTTTCAATCAGATGATTAATTGTATCTGTTAAAATGTTGTTAAGTACCGAAATTCGGGATAACAAAATTAGTACAGTCTATTTATAAAATAGTTCTATTTGACACACACCAGCTGGACTGAATGTAAAACAGACAGACAGACAGTGAAGTCTTTAGTGATAGGGGCCAAATTTTACCCCTTTGGATATGGAATCCTTTCATCATCATCATCAGCCTATTAATGTCCCCACTGCTGGGGCACAGGCCTTCCTTCTATGGATGGAATAGGGAGATTGGGCCATGATCCACCACGCGGGCCCAGCGCGGATTGGCAGGTGCTAATGACTGCAGATGCAGCCGGTACCAACGGCTTTATTTTAACCCATCCCATGACCGACCATTGCGGAAGTTGCTTAACTTCAACGATCGCAGCTGAACGCGCTGCGCCATCGAGTTCCTCAGACACAGAACCCTTTAAATTATCGTAAATCCATTAAATGGATCTTGTTCACGGTTATTACCATGTCCATACACAGACAACACAATATTATCCTCTAGTGGTAAACATATATGATAATTTAAAGCATTATCTTGCTATATTTTGATGCTAGAAAAATTTAAACTCTATGATGAACCTGATGTACGTATTGTCGTCTATACAACAAGAATTGCATTTATCAAAAAACAATGCAGTAGGTATATTATTATGTATAAACACGATCGAGTTAAAAAGTGGCAACCCTTCTCTAACAAGGGTTGCAATTGACGTGGAATATAATGAAGCAACCCCCTATCCACATCATGTGCTCTCAATACGAGCTTATCAACCCTTGCCCAAGACTGTGACAATTCTGTTTTTGAAATTGCATACGTAAATTATACCTTATACTTCAAGTTGGTTAAGTTCTTTAATTATTAATAAAATTATGTTTAGTTATAGAGTTCAAATTAGCTAAAAAATTTTTTCTGAGACCCTACGATAATTATTACCACACAATAGTTGTAGTTAAAGCCTCAAAAAATATCAATGGTAATAATGATTTTTAAAGGAAAATGTAAAAAAATATTTGTTTAAGTTTATTATTTTTAAAGTACCTTATATAGAACAAGTTCCAACGGATTAGATGCACTGACTTTTTTGACGATTCGCAGCCTTAGCAGGAATGCATTGTCTGAATAATGATTTTTTATTTAGTTTGTCGAGCTATGAAAATCTAAGAAACAAATATACCTTATATAGTATCTAATGTTGTTAGTTTGAAAATGTACCGTAATTTAGAATCATAATTACCAAAAACACAGTAATTTGAACAATTGGAGACCCTACTCGAGGGGTTTTCCCGACCCCTACGCATTTGCATATTTGCATACGGTACGGACCCACATTGCCGGACACTGCTCCCCTTGCGTGGACAAGGGAGACACAAGTCAAGTAGGTACCTACATAGAAAACCATCTAAACGTGGATCAATAAAATATTACAATTATATTCACAATTTGCTTCTTAGGTTTTCACGCACATCACTCATTAAATAAAACAAGTTTCAACTAGTTATATGCACTGATTTTATTTATTTACTGTCGTTTCCGTCCGTTTATTCCGACGACGCATTCCTGCAAAGGATGCGAAACGTCAATAAATATTTAAATAAAATCAGTGCATCTAACCCAATAATAAATAAATATTTCCAACACTCACACCAATTAGCCTAGCCCCAAAGTAAGCACTGTAAGGCTTGTGTTATGGGATGCTAGGGTAACGGATAGAATACATATTAAACATCCATGACTGGAGTACTAATGCTCGTATTCATCACACAAACATCTGCCCCAACCGGGATTCAAACCCGGGACCTCTCGAGTCGGCGACACCATGAAACCCGGCGTACAAACCACTCGGCCACGGAGGTCGTCAATGGAGGTTGCCTATGAAACTTGATTTTATTTATATTCATAATGCTTAACTGCTAGAACCCAAATGTAGAGCTCCCTGTGTATAGCATGATGATATCTCCGAATGGAGATTTATAAACATCTGGCAAAACATATAGTTTCTATAATAAAAATTATGACGATGATGATGATAATAAAAATATGAATTACGCGGCAAAGTTTGGGAGTCACTTCTAAATAAAAAGCGTACCAAGGCGTGACGTCACGCGACATTTCAAATCAATACATCAAAAAAAGAAAAAATACGTTTCCAATACTTTTTGATAATCTACCTGATAACGAAGGAAAAAATTTAGTCATCATCACTATTGCACTGATACAGACTTGTATGAGAGGCTTGTGTCAGTGCAATTTTCATACTTAAATATTACTAGCGGCCGCCCGCGACTTCGTACGCGTGGAGTTAGTTAGAAATAAAGGTTCACTGCTCGTTCCCCGTAGGTGATAGCGTGATAATATGTATATGTTGCCTATATGTTGACCCGACTTCTTAATAATATTCTTGCCAAATTTGAAGTAAATCCATGCAGTACATTTTGAGTTTATCCCGGATGTATATCCGACAAACAGACGAAAATTCGGAAAATTCTAAAATCTATATTTTTGACTTCAGTATCGATTGTAGATCACACCCCAAGTATTTAAAAAAAATATTCAATACAGTTTTGAATTTCCTACCATTTTAATATATGTATAGATAAATCAAAAAGTAACTCGGTCTATATTCTTGTAGCACTTACGCGCGAAAAATGCTAAATAACTATTTATTTTTATAATAAATCCCTAAAAGCTATTATACTATAGAGAAGTAACTAACTTTACCTAAATTTTCAAATTCAACTTGTTTCAATTTATTTATTGATTGTTGAAAAAGTCTTTTTCAAAAAGACATTGTCCACATAGGTAAGTATGTTAGTGTTAATCACTACATAGTATAAAACAGTTACTTTCGCTGTCTGTCTCTATGTATGCTTAGATTTTTAAAACGACGCAACGGGTTCGATGCGGTTCTTTTTAATAAAGAGTGATTCAAGGGGAAGGTTTATAAATATATATATGCATAATATAGTATATAAACTGATAATTTTAGACGTTTCAAATGTGATGTCGTAAAAAAATATATTTTTTGACACTGGCAAAATTATGGACATACTTTTGGTATTGTACACCTTAAAATGGTCTACAAAAAAGGCTGCGATAGTATATATCTTCGATCAACAATTCTATAGATAACGGGTTGCATACAAAATCAAAGTTAAAAACTGTCCGCGTATGTTCAAACTTATGCAGCTACATTCGTTTACCAATAAACAAAGATAAAGGTTTTAGTTGAACCTAATAGCAACTATCTCACAAAGGAAAAAGGTATACAAATAACTGTTATTTAGCACATACGACCTTTTATTTTATAAAACGAACTCTTGTTCCCTTTGTAAATTATACCTGATACTTGGAATAAAATTATAAAGGTGAAAAAAGGAATATGTGAAATCAACCTTATAACCCACAAAATAAAATATTTTTAACAATTATCGGCCAACGAGTTACTTCGTTTTGTATAAACCGAACTAATTTAAAATAAGATCTAACGCCTCAAGTGAGGCTTTATTTACCGAGACGGATTTTACGCGCTATCCCGTTGTCTATATAATTGTTGATACCTTATCCTATAACTAACCTTTTAGGGATAACCCACAAAAACCTTTTATCCTTTACTTTTAGGAGAAATAATGTCTTATTTACGAAGCGATTTTAAACATTACAGCATTAATCTTTATCCAATTAATAACTTTAACATCGTGCATTTAAAATAGATCAATATGTCCCTTTACAACATATAACTTTATTAATATTTTCGAAGTTATTACAGATTTACAGTAATGAGAGTTATACGTATGGTAATGATACAAAGAAAGTCCATTGTGTATAATGCAAGCCTGAAAATAAAAACTATAGTCTACACTACAGTCTACCCTGTAGCGAAGCGAAAGTGGGCCACTAGTACTTAATACAACATAATTTTCAACAAAACCAAGCTCGATTTTACTCATTACAATGCTCAAACTATTCGGAAATGCACTCAACCGAAAGGCTATTCTCTACACAAAAACAAAATAACATAAGTTTAAAATTAAAAAACATTTTAGCATAACACTCCCTCGCTATCTCATAAAGCATTCATTCTAACTGACGTCACGTCAGTTCAGCATGCATTGAGGGGATGCAACTTTAATATCTGATGCCTCGGGGCAGATTCACACAAGGGTTCCCTTTTGGATTTTTTTTTTATTATATCTTAAACCTTGTCTACATTGACGTAGCCAACTCACTATGCAATGCACCTAAGCTTTGTCGACCGCTTAAGAGTAACTTTTTAAGACAATTAATAATCCAATGTTCGTGTTAACAAAGTCTTATATATGATCAACTTTAAACCAATAATTCAGAATTAAATTATATAATATTATTTATCGAGTATTTCGCATTTATTTCACATGTGAACTCCCATTTCAGTTATATTTTATCAACAAAAAATAGCTTTTCTATACCAGAATAATTAATAAATGCCATTTAGTAGTCAGAACGTAAAAGCAAAACAGACAGACCGACAGTTAATTACAAATCTTTAATAATATTAATACTTATGGATCAAAGCATTTGTGTGCTTTCATTTAGCGATTATGTAAAAAACAAAAACAATTACTTGAATCAATAGCCGTGCTATAAATACACGGTCACATTCGCAATAAGCACCTAAACATTATAATCTTTTCTATAATTAGCTCCTCAAATACGTCACAGAGCCACGACCTTTCGTAGCGTTCGGCGTAGCTCGTAGCATCTATTTTTGCTTCTCGTAGTCGCAATATTTTGTGAAATTCGTGCTACTTTTGTAAAGTTTTGTAACCTGCTTTGAAAATTCATTTATTTGTGAATTGTTATATAAGTATACTTTTAATACTTTCACAATTCCCTACTGTAGTCGTCATCCCGGTTAAAAATAACCAATAAAGAGAAAAGGGGGCATAGCTGATTTGGAGCGCCCGTCTGGGGCAGTAACCACCCCCTTACAGAAGATCACAGTGAAATAACACTTCCTTTTGATGGTATTGTGTTTCTGTTGTTAAAAAAAGTTCCAGGGCTCCACGGGGGTTAGACGCGGAAGAATCCCTAAACGGGGTTCCCGTGGCTTCGCGCTAAGCAGCTTAGGGTATTCGCAGGGTTTTTAGCGGATATTATGCAGTAAAGCGCCCGTAAGAGTTACGGGGTCCTCATTGGGCAGCCACTGCTGGGGCTCGTAAGGCTTGCGGGAGACTGGTGTGAGATCTGTTCGGCGGTGTGCCTCTTAAAGGCGCCGTCGTCTGTAAATAGTACTTTTGCCTACGTATAAAAAAAAAAGAGCTCCACGGGGTAGGGGATCGGGCCAGAGTGATAATTTTGGTATCTCAAGTGCCTTTAGGCTATGGTGGCCGCTTACCGTCAGGCGGGCCATAAGGCCATAAGCTTCTTTGCCGCCCCTTTTAATATGAAAAATTCTTACTAAGAAGTAACAAAAATACACACACACACTCACAAACTTTCGCCTTTATAATATTATTGTGATAGTGTGATAATGAATATTATTACTGCAAGTATACTGAATCCGTTGTTGATGATAGTATTCTCAATGGCCTCCGCATCTTCATAGGCTTCGGGTTTAATAACCGCCAAGGTCCTCTCGGAGAAGGCATGGTAATCCGCTTGGGAATCTGACGATGCTACAGACATCGTACAAACACTCTTTCGTAAAGAATTCACACGGAAAATTATAAAATTAAATTGTGTTTATGTCCAAAGTTCACGTCAATATGCGTTGCATAGTTAACCATAGAGTGCGATGTTTATTTTTTTATTCCGTCATATGTGCGGAAAGAGAATGGGCGTGGCGAAAAACGGAACTAACATTAAACATCATTAAGATTTTTATTTAGCAATCAAACCCAGCAATCTGTAATACGTCAAAGTTTTGTATTGATACGGATTTGTTTGTTGTTGTCATTTCTTGCGGTTTTTTGTATTTAGTCATGTCTAAACGGGTTAAAACCTTACAAATACGGTAGAAAAGCACTACAGCACCCTCCAATCTAAATCCCATTCTCTTTCCGCACAGACTCTACAAGTTGCAACATGATAATCATAAGAAACCACGTACATAAGAAGCGGAAAAAAGCAAAATAAGTTATTTAAATAGGGTTACTTAAATAAGTTACTTTTCTTATAAGGAATATTAAGGAACCTATAAGAAAATAAGCAACAATTAAGGTCTTTTATATTCTTTGAAGGTACAAGGTTTTTGGACTTAATTTTTTTAATGAGTACAGTTAGTTACAGAGTGATTGTAAATCAATAAAAAATGGTGTTGTTTAATGAAATCATGATGAAAGTGAAACTTTAAAAATCATTAATAAAAAAAACCCTTCCTCGGCTGGGAATCAAACGCGAGCCACCCGCGCAGATGGTGAGCTTTCTACCACTGAACCACCTATGCTTGTTGGTAATTGGTTGGTAATTCATAACAATTAAAATAAACTGCGATCGATATGCTAAATAAGAAGGAAAAAAAGTTGTGGCGCTGTATTAAAAATTTTACTTTAATAATATTGTTATTCCACATTATAAGCAATTTATAAAAAAAACTACTACCCAAAACTGTCTTGTTACATTAAAATCGAAACTACCTTCTTTTTCTAATTAAAACCCTATTTACTTACCTAGAAGGTATTTTTTATTTATTTAAACTTCTTTGCCATACATATGCAAACGGCGGACTTAATGCCATAGGTATTCTCTACCAGTCAACCTGAACGAGTGTTAGAGAAAAATGGTATGGCGATAGGGAAAAATGCTTTGTAATAAAACATTTAGAAAAAATAACAGCGATTAAAATATATTAATATTTTTATACTAAATTTGAAACACCTACATAAACTACATAAATAAAATACACAAATAAATATATGCATACATAAAATACAATAAATATAATATATAAATAGATACAAACTATAAATAATAACAAGAAAGAAGAGATTGCGTAGTCAGGCCAGGAAGTGTTCACGCACTAGTTTTTTGAACTCCATCTTATTGTTAGAGCTACGAATGTTGTTAAGGTATGTAAGTCCATAGGAATATTCTTCTAAAGTGCTGATTTGCAGTGAACTTAATACCACAAAATAGCATTATTATGATCATACTAATATTATAAATGGGAACATTTGTGATTAATGGGATTGTATGTTTGTTGCTCGATCACGCAGAAACTACTGAACGGATTTGGATGAAAGGACATTGTTCAGTGTCCATACATAGTTAGCCTTAGAACCAACAATCATGAAATATTATTTTCTAGGTTCAAAATCGTAAGTAAACGACTGTAAAAACAAAGATTACTGGCGGACACTTTTGAGAACTTAAATTGTTAGGAAAACTAATTTTTTTTTGAGGTTATGTTTAATATTCAATGAAACATAGGTCATTCTATGAATTTAGTATAAACTCAGTATGAAGTGAATTAATATTACAATTAATTCATTTTATTCGGTGCGATTTTAAAGAATAACTATTAGGAAAAACTTGGTTAGGTAGGAATCATGAATAAAATAAAAACTGTAGTTTTGCTTCTTATTTATTGACTATTTTTCACATAATTGTATCATATTGTTTATTGTATTTATTTGTATATCACATGTAGGTATATTGTGTAAATATGCAGCGTGAATGTGTATCAGGTGTTCTTGAATAATTTGGCAGTATGATCCTCTCAGGTTGTTGTGGCACAGGTTCACTAGCACTTGGTAATAAGGGTTCTGCTCTTTCGAACATCGATGGCATATTAGATAGCCGAAATAGTTAAATTAAAGGAAAAACAATCGCGAATAAACACACACAACAGGTAATCCGAAACGAGAATGCACTTTCCGGTTTATTAAACTACTCTTTGGAATCAAGAAGCTTCTTCTTGTTTGAAATGCACGAATGTCACAGATTACTACGAATGCAAACTGCATGCACCACAACCACAGAGTATCGAGTTTATGCCGGCCCTTCACTTGACAATAGTTTGTCCTTGTCATGCTTAATAAGGAATGATAAGGACAGATTGATGTCATGTTTTAAAATAACAAATACGAATAGCTAAGTGAAGTCCCGGCATTGGGAAGAAAGAGTGTTTTGTTTACAGCGCTGCCATAGATTATACACATAAAATGGTATTTATTGTCTCAGATTATTTTTTAACTTTTTAATTTAGCTTACTTAACTGGAAGTGTCCGTCACAATCTAAATACTGATAATTATCGCAAAAAATATACTAAGAATTATCATAAATGCCAAATTGGTGTTGGTTCTTAGGCCAATTTTAGCATTGTCCTTTGGTACGCATATAGTTTATGAGCTGCCTCAATGCAGTACAAAAGATGCTTTTAATCCCGGAAAAATGTTAGTTTTCTGTGGAATTCTCAAATAACTAAAGTCAAAGAAGCGGCCGATAGTCGAATATAAAATCTGCCGTCTGCGTAAAATGTAGCCTACAATCTTAGCGTCTTAAGAATTGACTCTATAGAAATCTAAAGAAAATATAACCAGAAAAAGATCCACGCTGATTGTGGGTTGCCTACAATGCGAAGAGATGGCAGCAGATTGCAGCTTAAGAAAGGCTAGAAAGAATTCGACACGGCCATCAGGGTCGCGATAGTATAATGGTCAGTGCATTCGCCCGGATAGCCAAGGGTGCGGATTCGAGTCCCGTCAGCTGCCTGGTCCGCGTGGATTTATTTCTAGTTATATTTCCTTAAGATTTAAACACGGAGCAGTTCCATGCTTAAAAAATAAAAATTATAACTATCGACTCTTTAGTAAATTCTTAAGAGTGGCGGAGTTATCATCATCAGTCCATTAATGTCGCGACTGATGAGACACGGTTCTTCTTCTCTTCACGTTAAGATAGAATCCAGTCCAGATAAGTGGAAGCTGAGGACACAGGTACAGACGGACCAACGGGGAGTTGGAGATAATAAATCTTTGGTTAGCCATCCGATGACCGGACATTGCAATAGTTGCTTAACTTTCACAATCGCATAGAGATCACCCTTACTATTGTACCATCGAGCTCCACGAGTTATACGAGATAGTTTATAGAATATAGGTGGTTTTCGGAATTGTAGCGCCTCTTTGGGATAAGAACTTCTATAATAAGATTACAGTCCTATAATAATATTATTACCTCTTGGTAATGCTGAGATTTTTGGTGAATAAGGTTCTAGAATAAAATATATTACTATAAGGAGTCCCTTTAGGCAAGGTTCCGAAGATACTGGCAGCGTTCCCCCTTTGAATAGCTAGACTAATTCGTTGTCCGAGGTAGGTGCCAGCTCTTCGGTCTCCAGTGATGTCGACTAACCTTTTTGATATTTCCTTAAAAAACCTCATAGCGCTAGGACCCCACGGATAATTAATTAAATAAATAATAAAGTAATTTGTTACTGGCCTATTATTTTAATTTCAGATTTACCAATTCTAGGGGAACACCCCCTAGAATTGGTAAATCGCTCTGCCTGCCCCCCACTAGGAAAAATCTCTAGCTACGCCCATTGGTACCAGGGCTCCACGGAGTGTGGGATTGGGCTCATACCGACACACAAGGTATGACTGGAGGGCGTCACATTTCTCTATCTCATTAATAAATTTGCAACTTGGTCTTCAATTCGGTAGAATAATTTGCTGTGCTTTGTACAAAAAAAACTATGTTTTTAATCATTCTCAGAATGGGTGTGGGGTGCGTTTTATTAGGTAAATGATGTCAACAATAACTTTCAATGTCAAGAAAACGTTACAACATAAATAGGTACGTTGTACATCACACGTTGACATTGAAAAGGTCTGCGCGGAACGTAATAAAATATTATATCAAAGCCATTTCATTCAATAATGCATTATTTTGTTTTAAACGTAAACATTGCTAATTTTATTAAAATAGCGTCCAATCCGGTTTTTCATCCATCCAAATGCAAGATTTCACCCGTTCGAATAACGAGATAGCTTTACAACAAAGATCTGTACGCGCGAATTATAGATCGGCGGGCACGGTACAATACACAACTGTAGCTATAAAGTCGCATACACACATCAATAAGCAACCGATGAGCAATTGCAGACGGCCGTCCCATTAAATAGGAAAACTGGCGCTTTTCCGGCCACCCCACCCCGCGCCGGGAGGGGGCTGCGTGCGGCGAGGGGGCCGGGAGGGGGCGAGGGGTAGCGGGCCGTAGGGGGTCGGGCGGGCGTCAGTGCCCCCCGGACGCAGCGGCGGCTCGACGCCTCCCTGCACCCGCGACATGCGGCGCTGACCCGTCTCCACACCCGCCACCCGAAACACCGTATACATGGACAACTCCTGCCTCCTCGACCTGCTCATCAGGTGCTTCGCCATGACAGAGCCCGAGGACCTGAACTTCACGGCGTTCACCGACCTCTGCCGCCTCTGCTCGCTCAAGAGCGGGCCACGACTGCACATCTTCGACAAGGAGTCCGAGCAGAGGCAGATTTTGTTCAAGTTGAGGACCTGCCTGCCCACTATGGTGAGTGCTCGAAATGTCTCAAACACGCCCTACGTCGCGTCCTTGACTTAACGCATTTCATCTTGAGTAATTAAACACTGAATACTTACTCATAACTAAATCATAATTCCTATTTTTATCTAAATATCGATGTTCCCATATTTGTAATGATAAATATAAACAGTAAGATGCAGACTTTAAGAAAAAAATCCACTTAATAAGAGTTCGTAGCAGACGCCCGCTGCAGCCTCGTAGACGCCTGCGCGTTACGACCGGCTACGATAACAAGAAATTAGGAATTGAATAAGTTGACTGCCTTGCCTTACCTGTTGATTTTTTTTGGTACGATTTCTTTGTTTATGGAACAAATCAGCATAATACCAATAACCTATCATATAATAGGAGACTCGTATAAACAGATTGGCTCAAAGCTTTCTCGCAGTTCGATTTGTCATAATGCAACCTCCTAGATGTTTTGTTATTATATCAAACCATAACTCTGAAAACACTTTGTGTGTTCATGATTCATACGTAATCAATGAAATGAAACGAATTTAAAATTAACTACCACATTCACCTACACTAATCGTAGGTATCAATATTACTACATATTAGTTTTTTCATATAAAAAGGTAAAATACCATATTTCGTAACCACTGTATCTATAGATGTGTGTACTTAATATATGAACTAATGCTCTTTTCACAAATAGACTGAAATTAGCACGAAATTAAATATATATATTGAACTCGTATAAACTAAACAAATACAAAGCTTTTTGTTCATTTCATATTTGCAATAAACAGCGTAACTTTACATTATTTTCCATATATTTTTTATAATATTTGAACATTTATTTTAATTACTCTATTAGATTTTTCTTTAAAGATTGTATTGATCTGTGTTATTAATATCCTTATTTGTCGTGAGAAATAAGGACATTAATAACTCAGCTTAGAGCTCAAGGTAGAGTTGCAACTTAATTAAATTACGAGTAATTAGTATAAGTATGTAGGTACTCTTATAATAATAATTTTATTATATATTTGTAGGTTATATGTAAAACTTAAATAACTTAGCCTACTCGATTTGATGAGTAAAAAAGACAGAAAAAGTTAGCTTGTTTATAGTGCCTACAGAATCGACAGGGCTTTTTCTTTGTCTTCGCTGTTTTAAAAATGTTTTTTTTTTCGATAAAGTAACTTTTGTAATTATAAAAATGCTTAAGAAGAGAAGTTAATTATGGAAACATCTGAAAATAATATTTTAATAAAAAAAGGCTGAAAAGTTACAGAACTCTGGTATGTTTGTCACTTTTCACAAACGGTGAAAGTGCGGTTCTTTTTTTATTCACTGAATTAGTTAATACAAGTTTTGGAAGCCAAGTACTGAATAGAAACTAAAATAAAATTACAAAGTGTTTGTGTTACAAACAGATATGTAACTTTTAAATAAGTCTACGTTTTACATAAAGTGATCGAAACTTTGAAGTGACTCAGTTTTTTCGACATGTTTAAACTATCATGGAAAATTCCTATTCTTTTCGTCTTTGTTCTAGAGTTCTTCCATCAATAATAAAAGAGTATTGAGTAGAACCTACCCATTCTTCAAATAAATAAAATAAAATTTTATTATATTTAAAAACTCAAGTATTTAAGTACTTTAATAAACCAAGTTTTATTAATATTTAAACAAATGTTACAAAAAAATATTTGACCACAGCTCTCTATTACGTGATGCTTGTTTATAATTAATGTAAGGTTATTGTTCCGTGGTGCTTGTTTAAAGATAATATGAGTATATTTTAGTAAATTCAACCACATGGGTAATGAAACCTACAGTACAGGTTTACACATGTGCTTCAACTACTCAACAATTCATCCGAAGCACCATCTTACACTACAACTTTTAAAATAAATGTTAGTGATAGGGATACTGGGTGTCTGTCGTGAGGCTGTCCGATGTAGGTCAGCGGTGGGATTAATCCCGGAATCCCCACAAACTGGGCACGGGACCACGTGACTAGAACTACATACACACAAGTAAAACTGTACCCTATGGACGGGTTACGGATAACAATACTATCCTAGTTACATTAACATCGACAGTAAAGTTTAACTAACCAAACCAAACTAAAAGGTTTCTATTAATGGCAACTACTACAAGTACTATTAAACAAGATCACTGGCATTCCACATTCACTTAATGTTTTTGTTATGTGTAAGGAAATTATTCAATATTTGGCTGATATTTATTTGTTAAAGAGTGTTTGTTGCAGTGTTCGTATAAAAACTGTAAAATGTATCTTACAATAGTTTAGAGGCAATATAGGAAAGTAAAAAAGAAGTTTTCTAGCTTTGTTTTGATCGGAGATAGAACTCGGGTGATGAAACCAATAAAACACTGGAGCAAGCCACTCGATCGAACACAGAAGTCGTCAAAGTTATACCTACAATTTTGAATTGCATTTGACAAACGGTTACAAAAGAACAGATACTTTTTTGGACACTCAAAAACTATCTTTAACTGTAAATTGAAAGCGGATTCGTCGCAAATATGAACCAACTGATGATAAATTGCATTAATTGATTCAGGTTTCGAAAATTTTAATATCAAATATGACAATTGGACAATAATTTATAAATGAACAATAAATTAGTAAGCTTCATTCGCAAACAAATATGACCACGAAATTCGTACTAACTGCCGGCGGACAAAACTGGATGAAGGATGCAGAATATGTTCTATTTCCTCGCTAACTATGTATACAAATACATAGTTGGCCTGGCCTCAAAAAACTCCTCTAAATCCTGGAAAAGTTTTTTTAAGGCATGGCTCGACAAGCGGCATTAGAATAACCCAGGGTCGTATTTAGATTTGTGGAAGCCCTGGGGCAATGAAGGAGTTAAGTGCAAATATTAACGGTAAAAATGTGAAAAAGGATATTTGGAAAAAAATACAGTATTGTCGTCCCGTCCGTTGAAATTTGGTTACTATTTTTTCTGTTGTGGAGGCCCATCTCGTAGAGGCCTTTGAGCAGTCCTGCCTTAAATCTGACCATGGACTAACCAAATGGTTGCCCTTCCTTCTTCCAGCAAATCTCTAAGGATGACTTCCTACCGAAGAAGATCTGCGAGAGATGCGTGACCCGCCTGGACCAGCTGTACGAGTGGCGCCAGAGCTGCCTTAGCACCGACTCAGTGCTCAGGAACTACGCGGAGTCCATGAGGATCGTCACTTCTACCATCAACTTTCAGGTCAGAAGAACACATATTTATGCATATTCATTCTAATATAATTTTTTTTATATAGAGGGAGGCAAATGACTACCCCACCTGATGTTAAGTGGTAATAAAGTCCAAACGCGAAAATAGCTGGTACAGCAGTTATAAAGTGCTACACCAATCATCCTCACCTTGCCGGCCTACAAAAATGCTTCTTCTTTAAAGGACCCCAGATTATAGGAAGGAGGGAACACTTGCGCGGGTAAAGAATTCTTACGAATAGTACGACAAAGAAATGAGTCACCAAATTTCTTTGTTCGTGTAGGAATTGTGGCCACAGTAAGTCCGTGGCATAGTAGGCCAGCGCGCGTGGTCCTCTGAAGAAAAGGTGATGGAGGGATAAGGGAGAATAACTATTATCTTTATATCACTGTTAATAATGATAGGACCACGGCAACTTATCCATTATCAGTTCAGCAGTATCGGTACACTAGGTAATTAATGCAAATTTCTTGCAGCTTGTCATTCCCACTAGTAAGCCTATTCGCTAACTTTTAGATGTTAAGTGTGAGTGAAACTCAGATTCTATCAGATTAGGGTCCAGTCAGGGAAAATGTAACAAGGGGCACAGTGTAACATAAGTAGTCATCATCATCACCAGTCTATTAATGTTCCCACTGCTGAGGCACAGGCCTTCCCTATGGAAGTAATAGGGAGATTGGGCCATGACCCACCACGCGAGCTCGGTGCGGATTGGTGGGTGCTCACGACTGCAGATGCGGCCGGAACCAATGGCTTAACTTGCCTTCCTAAGTACGGAGGAGCTCGAATTAGTAAATTTTTGGTCACCCATCCAATGATCGACCACTGCGAAAGTTGCTTAACTTCAACGATCGCAGTCGCACGCGCTAACCACTTGCGCCATCGATTCCCTAACTAACATAAGGAGTATCTCTGTATTATTATACCCGGTCATTTGACAACTTATAATAGCTGCTTAAGCGGCATATGTAACTAAGAAAACACATCAAGACAGATCACAGACAAATAAGAAAAGATCAGAGATATTCCTTATATAATATATAGTGGCGAAATACGTGAATATATATAAATATATACCGCTAGATCCGGTACACGGTTCGCCACTTGGCCCTATCAAAATCAAATCAAAATCAAACAAAATTTTTAATTTAGCTGACATTTAAACAGTGATTTTCGCACTGAGATGAGCTCGTAACGCAAAGACCTTTTATACTGCCACTATATATATAACCACCCTTAGCTTACCAGCTACAATCCTTTTCACTTTCCCACCTAAGGGAATATACTCTTACCAGCTTTCAGGTCAAAACTTATACTTATATTTTTTTAAAGCCAGGCAATTAACTCCAACCCACCTGATTTGTATAAGGGAAGTTAGTTGTAACAAGTATCGCTACGTGCTCTTAGAACATCTTACTTAAAAACACTCTGAAATAAATAATATTAATTATGTAGTAGGCACTGCTTCTTTTGAAGAGGTAGAATATTCGTACAGATGGACGTTTATATAATTAGCATATCTTACCATAAGGCAAAGATTAGTGTAATATTTGACCCAAAAAAATCTACATAATTAATATCTGTAACTTTACGATAGTTTCTGAAACCGCTATTTTTTGCATTTACATTGCATAGTCATCACCCATGAATCCGCACTGGGCCTACATGGTAATTTGCGAATTTTTCTTTTGTGGTTCTCTCCATAGCCTCTGCCCTAGCAGAGCGAATACGAGCTTTAATACTAGAAAACAGTTAGAGACAGTTATAACCGCAAGTCTACCATAATCTTTGAATATTTGAGGGAACTAAATAAAATCGATTCGACATATTTATATATGAGTAGCATTAATCTATTATTACTTGTGTGTTTGTGAACTTATCTATACTCTATCGCGATACCCGTTGATGAAAATCGATTTCGATCGAGCTTGAATTTTATTGGGTACATAAAGATAGTGTATTTTACGTACCAATATGACCTGATGTATTTTCTTATCTTGAAGTTAGGTATTTGTTTGTATTTTTGTTATCAAAAGGTCCATATACATTAAATAACATCATCATCAGCCTATTAATGTCCCCACTGCTGGGGCACAGGCATTCCCTATGGATGGAATAGGGAGAGATTAAATAACATATCAGTAATAAATTCATTTACAATCTAATTGTTTGAAAAAATTAATTGGACTTTGACTTGACCTTCTAACACAGGTACAATAACAGAAAGATACAGCGATTCCTTTGACAAACAAGGAGGCTGTAGTAATGGCCGGAGTCCCTATTTAGGAGGCATTCACGCAAATTCTATTGTGATGTAGGTGTAGGCAAGCGGCGGACGGTGCAAGGCGACAGCCCTCTATCGATCGGCGCGGCCCAGCCGTATCGACCGCCACCCCGCGCCAATCTCAACCTTAACCCAACACAATAACAACCAGCTTATAAACACCACACGCCATTCCCAACCTAAGATAATACGAGCCAGAATCTACTTTCGACTACTACATCTTTGTTCGCGCGGATAATGAATTATACGCTCTGCTCCGGTAGTTATAAGGTTGTCAACTTTACTCCGCGTGCAATACGACTATTGGGAATTTCGGGCATCGGCCACGCATGTCCAGAGACGTTTTGTTTTATGACGTTCTGTACGTTTTATATGTATGGATGCGCCAGATCACTGATTATAGTCACCCCTTTGTTTGCGATCTGGAATCAATAATGCGACTCATGCTGCCTTATTCCAAAACGTGGACTAAAGTTAGACTAAGTTTAAACCTAGTGTTGTTTCTGTCTTCTTTTTAACAAACAAAAGTGTCAGTATTAATTTAAGTCCAGGTTTAACATTAGTCTGCGGTTTGTAATAAGTCGGATGATGTTTAGGACGAGCAGCTAAAGAAATATAGGAAGTGTGAAGGTTATATTTAGAGTTGATACGAACCACCGAGATTTACCTCCCATCTGGGTATATGGCGGGAGTGCATTAGCACGCACCGCATCCAAGGTCGAAGACGCGGCGAGCTCGGCTCGGGGGCACGGTTAACCCTGACCTAGCGCGAGAGGTGAAGGATATTCCTACTACGGCCTCCCCCCGCCGCCCGGCACGCCCGATCCCCCTAACACCACTTGCACTGAACATTCCGACTTCCCCACAGTCCCCGTCATTCGGGGTGATGACAGCTGCAGGTAGGTAGGTACAAACACACTAGCCGACCGCTGAAACTTTTCAGTTTTCGTGACGTAGACATGTAAGGCTATCTGAACTGCTATTCTGTAAGAACAAGCTCACTTTTCACCGAGGAATCCACCGCGTGATTTGAAATTCGCGTTTTAATTTTAAATCACACCGCGCCGATTCCGAGTTGAAAAGTGACTTAGTTTTAACAGAATAGCACTGCAGGCGCCGTTGGCAAATGGCCTTCTTTCTATTCAATGTAATTGCAACAATATTTTTAAAGTTAAAAAATAAGCGATGAACTATAAAATTATACGTCACAAGCAATTTACAGTTTTCAAATTAATCAAATTTAAAGTAAGCGTTCGATTGAATAGAAAAAAATACACTCTTCTTCTACCACTAATCAGAAATCCTGACTGGCGGAATAGTAAAATTGTAGAATCTCATATTATTTTGCTGAAACGTGATAATTATTTGTTTAGAACATAATGAAAAGGCCCGATAGGACGATAAAAAGCTATTAGACTATTTAAAGCATACTTATGCTTTAAGTTCAATATTTACCCTCTTATTAATAAACTAGTGGCCGGCCCTCGCTTCGCTTCGGTGTAGAGCTGTAGTGTAGACTATAGTTTTTGTTCAAAGGTTTGTATTATACACAATCACTTTCTTCATAATAATTATAAACCTCACAGATGCAATAGCGATTACTAACTGTGACCTGACTTTATTTTTTTCCAGGAGTAAGTCATTCGGCCTTACTGTGAACCCCACAAAGACGCTTGCGTCTTATCATAATTGGCATCTCCTACTTAATTTCAAGGATCGATTTTGCACAAGTCAAAAACCTCTACCCCAAGGTTTTTGATCAGTGTTTCCCTTGGAGGCCTCAGGTGGAGGCTGTCAGGAAGAATTTTTTGCTGCATACAGCTCACTTAACCGCTTACGCAACTTTTTGCCCACCAGTACCAAAATCACACTGGCGCAGACCCTTTTACTGTCTCTCCTTGACTATGCTGATGCCTGTTACGCCGACCTTTTCAAGGAACTTCTAAATAAACTGGAACGTCTGCAGAATTTATGTTTTAGATTTATTTTAACCTCCGTAAGTACGACCATGTCTCACACTTCCCTTCTAAACATCATTGACTCCCTATTCGCCGGCGCAGGGACTTACATACCCTTTTGCTCTTTTATTCCATACTTTTCCTACGTACTTCTCCGCATTACTGAAAAGAATGCTTCTCGTTTCTTTCATCTTCTTCACAACGCACTCTGCGCTCTACTTCTAACCTTACCTTTGAAATTCCACATCATACAACCGATTTCTTGTCCTATTCCTTCTGTGTGCATTCTGTACTTCTATGGAACTTACCGGAAAACATTTGAAAGGTCTCGCACTCTGAACTCGTTTAGAGATCAAGTTCGGAATTATTTCCTGTCCGTACCTTAAAGTTTAACTTTTTCTTTCATTCTTTATGTTTCATTCCCTGATACATCTGTTTCCCTTATTATTATTTACTTTTACTGTTATTATTTATTTCTCTCATGTCATGTTTTGTTTCTTTTGTGTCCTGTGTGGTGTACTACAATAAACTGAATTATTATTCTAATAAACCTTCCATTCCAAGTAAAAAAAATATTGCGTAGTTTAGGACACGTTGTACCGAATGCACCATTGCTCTGCTGTTACGAATTGAAAAAATATTTTTGTATTGGATAGTGCATTTATCGAGGAAGGCTGTAGACTATATAACATCAGGCTACGACCAGTAGCAGCGGAACATCGATGAACAATGTTGCAAAGACGGGTAAAAAAATTCCATTTGTGAGATTCCATTGCGTGCGCTGGGTAAACGGTTAAAGTTACACAAAAATCATGTATAACGGAATTGTTCCCCTTTAACAAATCTGTAAAAAAGTCCGCGACAGCATATGTACATATTTTTCACTTATAACCTTTTTCTTTAAATGAACACGGGTGAATCTACAGGGGCCTCTAATTGTGGCATAACTGTGATAGACATATGGTATTGGAAACTTTTCTGTAGATATTGATGTCCTCTATAAAACTTTACTATTTGCTCTATTGTCAAGGACTTGCGCAGCGTAAGCGATATTATTTTTTGGTATTTTTTACACACGTTGGGTTACATCACCGAAGTTTGCATACGGGACCCTAACTTTTTTGTAAATACAATATAGCCTATGTTCATCATGGATAATGAAGGATTCTAAATGTGAAAGATTTTTCCAATCTGTCCAGTAGTTTCGGAGCCTATTCAATGCAAACAAACATTTAAATCTGTCCTCTTTATAATATTAGTATAGGCGACTAAAAAGCTTGGATTAATAACTCTCTGTTCATTGAATTACAAATGGCACTTAAGTGATATGAACAAAACATTTTCGATAAAACTATATAGGTATGGGTGCCCGCGACTTCGTCTGTGTGAAAAAATCTATCTCCCATACCACCTTCTATCCTACTTTTCACCCCCTTAAAGGATGATTTCTGAGATAAAAACTATCCTATATCCTTCCCCGAGACTCAAAGTATCCCTTTACCAAACATCTAAATGGGTTCAGCAGTTCGGTTATTATTTTTTTGTTACCAAGATAATTTTCTGTCCGCACACACAGCTGTAAAAGCAAATTCAAAAAAACATGAAGTTTGCTTTGTGTAGGTTCCTATTTTATTTAGTCCAATTCGAAGCTCAAATTACTTAGGTCCGTATTATAGGAAGATTCTCAGTAATGAATCTACTCTACTAATGAATGTATAGCTAGAAAGGGATGTCGCTATATAGAGCACATAGCGACATCCCTTTCTAACTGTACTCAAGTAAAGACCAACACTTAGTTGTCATTCTGTAATACGGGCCTTAGTCTGTCCCAGAAATATGTTTGGTAAAGTTAAATTGTTAAGCGTTTGTAAGTTCATTCCTAGCTAATAGAGACTCATCACAGTTTTAACTGTTTAACGGAATGCTAGTACGGTTTCTATAGTTTTCAAATATTACCTACTACCTTCGTATAATCTGGGGTTCTTTAAGAGAGGCGTGAAGAAGCATTTTTGCAGGCCGGCAAGGTGAGGATGGTTGGTGTTTCAGTTTATAATGTAGCTATTTTCGCGTTTGGACTTTATCATCACCTAACATCAGGTAGGGTAGAGTCATTTGCCAAGCTGGCTATATATAAAAAAACTGTAGGTGTATAAGAAAATGGTAAAATCATTTTTTTATTCGTCGAAATTTTTATAATGGATATCAAGTAGTTACTTATTTGGTACTTATTATTATATATATTTTTAATGGACATAGTATTTATTAATTGTTATTGTTATATAAAATTACAAACAATAATCATAATAATTCCTTTCACATATCCGGTAATACTTACTTGAAGAGGTTTCTTCGAATTTCAGATACAAAATTTCAAACAAACCTATATATTAAATCAATGGGAATCTCTGCGATTTCGTCTGCATATCATAATCGGCTTGCCATACAAATATATTCATTCCTTTCTAATCTGGAGGTACAGTATATATTCACCTGGACGTAAGGTGAAAAATTTATCTAAAGTACTCCTAGCACGAACTTTTATCGAATTCGAATAGTTTGCAAACCGAAAAGTCAATGTCTAATTTTGTATGGAAACTTGAACAGCAGCGGCACAAAGTACGTAACGAGCACTAAAAATCAGTACACATTTGACAATGACATTTCGGACTCGCAAACGATTCATTCATTAATTTTCTGTTATAATTACATTAATTCTTGTAGAAACGAAACAGCTAACCTACATATTTTGATTAAGGTGTGGAGTTTGTAAAGTAAGGCCTTGTAGAGTTAGGGTGTGTAGAGTTAGAAGCTTGGCTTTGAATCTTGGAAACATTTTATATGAATATGTTTTTGGTAAGATTTTTTTCCCGACATAAAATTGATATATTGCTCAGCTGTTTATACGTGGGAATGTAACAGACAGATTTACTGTCGTATCTATTAATGATGTGAATAACATAGGTTTCTTATTTAATGCTAAAAACTTATAATCAAACATATTTTTTAATATAACTTCATCGCACTGCGAATATCCTGCGCGCGTGCGTTTAATGTGCCATCCTCGCATCTGTCACCAATATTGTTTTATTCCAATTCATTGAAGCGTGTAGTTATTTTATTTTTATATTTTATGTATATAAATTATTTCATACCATAAGATGGTTCATCTATTTGTACATTTTATAAATTCGCAGAGGAACCTTTAATGGCTTTTTGGAAACTATCTGTGTGCAAAATTTCGTTGAAATCATTTTAGTCGTTTTTGCGCGATTGGGTGCCTACTTAAAATTGAAACATACAAACTTGCGTTTTTTAGAAATTATTAATTGGATTATAATAAGTATATCTTTAAACCTCCACATGAAAATTTCCTTTGTCTAAATATACTAAAGCTACAATATGTGACTCATAATTACGCAAACCGAAGGAGCCGGTGCTACCGATAACCAAGTAAAGCCACCACTCGCGCCGCTTTTCTCCCCTTTTTCCACTTTTCTTACCCCACGTGAAGGGAAGGTGCGTTAAAGAAAGTGGATCGATGGAAATACCTACTTCTGCATTGGTTTGCTACCGGGTGCATAGGGCTAACGCGACGAAGGGCGGCAGTGTCGCTTCTCACTCGCCGAGACATCCTTGAATCTAACTTAGCCTCTCGGAATATATGCGTGCCTGGTACTTTTAGGGTTAGAAGTGAAAAATGAAAATTAGTTTTTGTGAATGAATAATATTTATTTATTAGAAAAAGGTGTTGAAATATGCTTATCAATACGTGTTACAGTGAAATTTGGGATTTTGATATTCGAGTAAGTAGTTATGTATGTATAAGTATTGTAACTTGTTCAAAGGTATTGTAAAAAAATGCGATTGTGTTTTGTAAAAAAACACAGATTACATACAAATGAAGGTTTTAATGCAAATAAAAAAATATAGGTAATTTTTGTTTTTGCTACGTGTAGTGAACTAATCATTCTGATGGTGACGATATATTTATTTCAGTAATGTGCAGAAGTATTTAAAATAACAATTATTTTATACATTATCATTTTTTTTAATATTTTTACAAAAATACTACCAATAAGAGGAAGTAAATTGGAAACCTGTATTTTGTAAGAATTCAACAATACGGGTTTCCAATTCACTTCCTAAAAATGACAACATTCCATCGCATATTTTGGCAGTAATCCTGCGTGCATATTCTGTAGTTACCCTACACTGGGAACCCCACATAAAGTAACCCTCTGTTTTGAAGCGTTTGCTTTTAATCAGTGCATGATAAGGATCCCCAGGGACTTATCTTTCAAAGGTAGACAATACCGAAAGGAAATTAAATTTTGTTAGAATACTTCGATATCTTTTTGTGTGTCACAAAATATAAGTTTTTTTTTCTGTACCATTAATATTCGAAATAATTTTTATGTTCGGGAAGACACTGAACAAAAATCATTTGTTTTTTCTAGTCACTACTTGGGTTTGAACAAAAATAAACATTGTATCATCCATTTAAAATAATATGTATTGGTGTAGATTTCTTAACACGACGCCACGAATATTTACGAAATCTTTTGTTTGTCGCCATTTGTGAGTAAATATAATTATCACATTTGCAATAATATTATGTGTTGTGTAATGTTATGTTATATTATTGGATAGTTAATATAAACTTACTTACTCCATGTTGTATATTAACAGTCATCTGAAATAAAAGAAAAAAAAAAGATTCCTGCATTGTTCCAATTCCGGATTAGAAAAAACAAATAAACATCGCGCCCGCAGTTCGACAACCTCCTAATGATTTGTGGAAATCAAAGTCGCGAGCTTCCCCAAGATTGCTCCGGTCGTTGAACCTGCCACACGCCGAATTTGGGCAATTAAGCAAGCGCATAGGGTGTTCAGAACAACCAGGGCCCGTTCGGGGGAAGTCTCACTTTCTACGGGGTGAATGCACTGCGGGGGTGGCCACCCTTACGCGACCCTCCCGGGCCCTCCGGTCGCATCGAAGGCACCACAATCGCACCTTCCTAAAGATTTTTTATATTCGGATACATAAGAAACACTGAGAGGCCGACAAAAAAACCGCTTAAAGTAAGCAAAGTATTCTTGGAAGATATTTTTATGGCCGTTTTGATTCCTAATAGTAGCTTTTAACATGATATTTTCTTTTATATTAGAAGATACGATTAAACAAGAAACAAAAAAATAACACGAGGTAATGAAATAAACAGATTTATAAATATTACATAAATAATTTTGTTTTCCAGTTTCCCTAGTAAATTATCCATCATTGATATAGTCCAATAATCAACAATGATGTCTAGACTTCTTAAATCTAATAAGCAATAAAATAACTCTCTCTAAAGATTTGAAATCACCCTAAATTTACTGTTATTTCTCAACTTATCTTGTTTTTTGACTCAACATAATATTTTTATCTCCAGGATGGTACAGTCAATATGGACAAGATGACTGAAGCTCAGAAAACTGCTTATCTGGAGGCTCACGTCGCCGTTCAACAACACATGGCTCAGGCTGCTGCCGCTGCCCGACGTGAGCAACAGCAGCAGCAGCAGCAGCAACAGCAGCAACAACAACAGCAACAACAGCAGCAACAACAGCAACAGCAGCAACAACAACAGCAGCAACAACAACAACAGCAACAACAACAACAGCAGCAACAACAACAGCAGCAACAACAACAACAGCAGCAACAACAACAGCAACAACAGCAGCAACAACAGCAGCAGCAACAACAGCATCAACAACAGCAAGCTAACAACTCCAATAATGCGAATCGTCACCATCAGGAAATGCAGGTTTGCGTTGACATATTTCCCATTCAAAAAAGTTTTCGGTGAATTTAGTTTAGAAAAATAAATTGCCGTTTAGCCAAACAAATAATCGCTGCGGCGTTATTATTATGTTTTCGTTTGAAATATCCTTTTATTCATGATTTTCAATTTAGTTTTGTTTGTACCTGTCAGACTCAGAGCAGCAATACTCACCCTGGGCATCCGTCACCGCCCACAGTCAGTTCCACTCAGCACCACTATGCTACGATAAATTCCCCAATCAAGGTCCCGCAAGTGAGTTCTAGTACAGGAGGACCTGACAGTACGTTCACTGTACCTGATGATGTCGGAATGGGTTTCGAGGGAGGCGTTCGTGTTCTACAAAGTCTTGGAAATTGGTAAGAACGCAACTTTCATTATTAACTCTCTAGATAGAGCGTCACCTTGTAAACACTGGGATAAAAACAGACCAGGTTTTATATACTTATGAAAAAACACGCGATCTTGTACCTTACACTCGCGAAATTTCATCATTTTTGTCTCGGTGCGCATGCGTATAATACCAGGTTAGGCCATATTCCCCAAAAAAGTGGGTAAACTTAATCAAATCGAAATTAGTATGTTGTTCACACAATTAAAAATCATAGACGTTGAAACATCTGTGAAATATTTAAATTTATACGTGGATATTTGAAATAAAAACAAAATTGTTACAAATTTTTAATTAATGTAACTTAAACTAACAGCCATGATAATATAGAAACAAACAACAAAATGGACCTTTTTATAGGGTTCCGTACCTCAAAAGGAATAAACGGAACCCTTATAAGATCACTTTGTTGTCCGTCCGTCCGTCCGTCTGTCAAGACCGTCTTTCTCAGGAACGCGTGTAGGTATCAAACTGAAATTCATATCTAATACTCAGGTCTACTGCTCTTTGGAGCTGTGAAAAAATCTAACTTCTAAGCCAAATCAATCAAAAGATACAGCCGTTTATGCCGCAAATTTTCGGAACTCGCACGGGAATCAAAACCTACAGGTTACTTCCCGTAAACTTAGAATCTTGAAATTTGGTACGAAGTAACGTCTTATAGTACAGATAAAGGAAAATTTTCGAAAACCGTATATTTTTAGTAAAATCATATAAAAAAAATGAGAATTTTAAATTTAGTAGTCTAATATTATTTATCTTTAAAAGATATCTACAATACATACTTATGTGACGCAAAACTTTTTGTTTTACAATCTTGCTATCTTTATGACTTTGAATATATAATTTTAATGGTGTAATTATCCGTACATAATAGTTAATAATAAATAAAGACATGTCATTTGGTCAAAATTATTGATGACCTATAGCTAAAAGGAAAATAGAAAAAAATCGTTAACTAATTTTGACCTTTTTATATTTTTATTTTAAAAATTAAACTACTAGATGTTTATATCTAAAGAAAATATTGTTTTTTCTAGCACTTTCTTGTAGGGTTTACCAACTGATTGGATTTTCTTCATTTGTAGTCACTCAACAGAACTCAAATTTTTAAACGTAGTCCTACAAATTACTATCTAAATATTACCATTTATCAAATTGAATTAAATTGATCAGATACAGTAATATGAAAATGGAGAAAATGGAGAGTAAATAACGTAATGGTAATTAATATAAAAATGTTATTTCTCTTAGTTGTGTAGTTTTATTTGACTGTATATTTATGTAACAAAACACAAACTAGAAAAATAAGCTATCTAGTCTAGTAGTTGACGATCCAGTTATTATTTCATGAGGTCAAATAAAGAATTAATAATTTTGCTATCTTAGGCATATAGCGATGTAATCAATAAAAAATCGAGACGAAATTTCTTGTAGTCATTTTGCGATGTAGTCATTAATAGGGGTAAGTCACACTGCGACTAGACAATCTGAGATCAACCTCTTTAGTAGTTATAGTTTGTCCATGGGTACGAGACTCTGAAGGTCCTTTTAAGTTTTTATTTAAAAAATCGATTAATTTTTTGGTATTCCGTCCAGTTTTCGAGACAATTAAATTTATATAGATATAAAAAAAACCTTTTTCTATCGCACTGCTGCAATCGGTAAATATTTTAATTACGCCATACTTACTTCTTTGGGGAATTTTGAAATGAGACACTGATATTACTTTGAAAATGCCAAGATGGAGTCGTAAAATCTTTAACTTTTATGATATTAGTTTTATTTTTTTAGGGTCTTTGTTGGTTGTTTTTATGCGTCCTTTATAATTTCGGCAAACTTTTATCGCGCAACTCGGCATTTTTAAGTAATTATTTCAACACGAAACTCGGAAGTTGACGTGCGTTTTGCTCAGCGGTACATGTGTTCACACTAAGTGACGGGCAACGACTTAGACCCCACCAGATAGGAGATATTTTTTTCAACGCGTTTGCGCTGCGCCGCTTTATCTAAAGAGTAAATAATCAAAGGAACGCAATAAATATTACTGATCTACTTCTAAATTAGGTTATATTCTACCAGAAGAAATAGATATAGAAGAAAAAGAAGATTTTGTGTTCATCCATTTATTACGATTATGAACGCTTCTTGCGGTGCAATCGTGTGAGCTCGCATATATTTGGGATGCGATGCGTTTTCACAGTTATGCGTGGGAGCACTAACTGTTAAAAAACAAAGAGCAAATCACAATTTGATGTCATTATGACGTACCCTTAAGATACATATTGCAAACAAAATACAAATATATTAGGTAAAAATTAATTCATAGCAGTAATCGTCAATAAATTTGTTGTTTTTTGCTTCAGGTCACCAGAAGTAACTAATAACATACCGAGACCTAACTTGATACCATTTACTGAACCATATGCAGAAGGGGGCTCTATGCACCCTGGAACCAGACTGAAAGCTTTGCAAGGTACAACTATAAGGAAACATCCAGCTATAAAACCGACGAGCTCTACTAATGAAGGTAAAGATTAGCTACAATAAAAAATATTTGGATACAACTCGAATAATAAAGCAATTCATTAATAGGATTTTATATAAAGTTGTTCTAGGTAGTAAGGCGTTTGAATGCACTGTGTGTGGAAAAGGGCTGGCACGTAAAGACAAATTGACGATACATATGAGAATTCATACCGGTAAGTACGAATTTTAGAGCGTAGTTTACTGGTATCACAGAAGCATTCAATTTACTAACTTCCTATTAACTATCCTTTGTATTCTATTTTTCTTTGATTACTTTCTTTCGACTTAAGTTCTTATATAAAATTTTAAGAAAATCAGTGCAAAATTTTCCCCATTTGATTCAAATTGAATGATATTTTTCCACAGGAGAGAAGCCATACGTTTGTGAAGTGTGTAATAAAGCTTTTGCTCGACGAGATAAGCTGGTGCTTCATATGAACAAATTGAAACACGTCACTCCCTCAAACATAGCGCCTCTTGGTAAAAGAACTATATCAATACCACGTGAGTGTCAAATAGATAACAAATTGTAAATTGTTATACCAGAGTCGTATTTCAAATTAGTTTATTTATTTATCCTAAAACTTTATTATCTCGATGACAGTCACTTTAGATATTAGCTAAATATCTTACTGATGCTTGTTCTCCTTTAAGGTTTACCCATAAGTTACATTTGTAACTCACTATTTTTTTTTCTGTAAGTTAGAAGTTAAAAAATTACCTTTTTAATTAAAATGCAGCTTTGAAACTAGACGACGTAAAGCCGCAACTGCCGAAGCAAGAAGACACGAAACCAAGTCAAGCGGAGATTGCTGCGGTGGCGCAGCAGCAACAACAGCAGCAGCAGCAACAACAACAACAACAGCAGCAGCAGCAGCAACAACAACAACAGCAGCATTCCCATCAGCAGTCGATACAGGTGTGCCAGGTACCCGGACACACCTTTACGGTAAATCCCTATGAGAATACGAGGCATGTCATGTGTACGTAGCTCGTCGATGTGTTAGTTGCGTATATTTTACGATTTATTATTTATCTTCCAGTGTAGCAATCTGGGTTTCTGAAATAATGATGTCAAATACAGACAAACTTCAGTCTATTAGATTTTTTCTGATCATTTTTAGAATGGTTGGCATATTTTTGTTTCTTCTATTTTATTCTTAGCTGTTTGTATTTCGTGTATAAATTAAAAAAAAACGTGAAAGTTGTTCTGAATGTCCAGTTGTAATGTCTTGTATTATAGGTCCACTTGCTAATTCTTAATTCAACTAGAACTAGATTTAGTCTATACAATAATGTCAAATTGACATTGACGTTTTGCGTTTTTCATGAGACATTACTCAGGAAACTCCACAAGTGTGGATTTAGAGATACCAATCTGGATCTTATTGCATCATATCTAGAGGGATAGGATTCAGAGGATTGACATTAACGGCAATAAGTCTCCGGGTTCGCCGGTTAGGATGGGTGTTCCGCAGGGCTCAATCCTTGATCCTTTCTTATTCTTAGTGTATATTAATGACTTACCTTACTATGTAACAGATAACCATCGGATAGTATTGTTCGCGGATGATTCATCACTTTTATTTAAACAAATGCAAGGAAACAGTTATTGACGACGTGAACAATTGTATCTCTAAGGTTCAATGTTAATAATTCTGTTCACTGATACACTCTAATTGTGTTCACTGGTTCAATGCTAATAATATATTACATAATGAAGGAAAAACGAAATGTATGAAATTTGTATTACCTTATGTAAAACAGGTAAAAACCAGTGTGAATGTAAAGGAATATGGGCATTATAGACACCACATTATTCTTAGGAATTACATTAGATTTTTAAGCTTCAATGAGGCACACATATTGTATAGACTTTGCTCTGCAGCATATGCCGTAATGAAGATATCCCTGTTAACGAATGTAGTTGCGGCCAGATTAGTATACTTTAGTTATTTCCATAGTGTATTGTCGTACGGAATTTTATTGTGGGGAAACGCCGCCGACATTCAAACTATTTTTGTGTTGCAGAAGAGAGCTATTAGATCAATTTATAATCTTAAAGTTAAAGAATTCTTAAAAGATAAGTTTGAAGAATTGGCATAATGCGGGTTGCATCACAATACATATACGAAATTTTATTACTTGTAAGAATAAATATTAATTTGTTTCTTAAAAACAGTGATGTTCACACACTTAATACAAGAAACCAAAATAAACTAACTTTTCCTGCTACTAGGCTTCACAAAATCAATAATTCATTTAAAGGTATTTGTGTTCGCTTATACAATAAAGTCCCAAGCAATATCCAAGAGTTAAGCATAAATAAATTCAAAGATAGTATAAAAAAGCACTTATTAAAAAAGCTTATTACAAAGTGTCTCATTATATTACAGACAAAAATGCTTGGGTTTGAACTGTTCCAATCATTCCAACAGGTTTTCTATATTAAATAAATCATGATTGTATTGAAGTTGTAACAACATAATGATTTGTAAATGTTGTTACATTATGCTTTTAAGGTTGTGGTGTTTTTTTCGCTCGTTTTTCTCCGCAGCTAAAAAATATGTCCAATAACGAGTGGTAGGGAAAAAAATGTTTGGACGATTCAAAAGAGTTATATTATACATCTAACAAATAATGAAATTACGTCCAACAATATTGAATTCTGATTTTAATGGAATATATCTGGTTTTAGTTGAATCGAGGTTTAGCAAATTTGCTGCAAGTGGGCTTTAGTCGATGTTGTTTCTAAATCGTGTTTCTTTTCTTAGTTTTTTAGCATTTTTTTATTAGAAGAAAGTAGTACCTACTGTGATCAAACTATTTAAAGACAAATTAAATTGTTTTTAATGTAAATATAGTATTTTCATGCGTTGACTGTACTGTCGTTGACTAATCAATTGGTTGTAGTTTTCCTGCCGATTTCTGAACTAAGAATATTAATTGCTTGCAAAATTTAAAGTCCGTCAACACATGCCTTACTGCTTCAAGATAGACAGACCTAGCAAGGCAGACACCTTATTATTTTAGAGCCTAAAAATATGCAAAAAATAATGTCTTAGCTTCTCAATTCAATACTGTTTTGTCCGATATACCTACACTACAATAAGTAAATTCATTGTTTATTGCAATATAACGTTATCGTTCATACTAATACAAAGAATATCAAGTGTGTGTCTACGATAAAATTCAAAAGTAATTAGAGAATTTTATGCAAACACAAATTCTTCTTCATTTCTCTGCTTGTGCCACAACATGAAACTATATCAAAGAAAGCTGTAATTTTTTAGTTAAAATAGTTGGAGTTATAACTATAGTTTTGTTGACGAAATCTGTACTGAGTACTACAGATCTCAAATATGGCGAAGTTGAAGGTATGTTTTTCTCCTTCGATATTCTACCAACTTCGCAAGGTCTATATTTCATGAACATAAGTATTTACGTACGAAATGTCTACAGAATACTAACCTGGTCCACACGAGTGCTGCGTCAGCTGCGGTGGCGGCTGCAACAGCGGGAATGGTGGTATCGTGGTCGTGCGAACTGTGCGGTCGACTGTTTGCTACGAGAGACGAATGGAGCGCACACGCCAAGAGCCATCTACCGGACAACAAGCTGCTACAAGACAAGATGCAGCAGGCAACGCAACATCAGGTACTTGCCATTTGATAAGAACCTTATGTGGTGACTATCGTTCAGTGTTGGTATCCCAAATAATTATTCATTTCCATGATCAAGTGTTTAGTGGAAAAAACCGTTGATGTATAGATAAGTCAAAATTCAATATTTCTCCCACGGACTGAGATGAAAACTGTTTATTAAAAAAATTACAATTTATTGGCAATTTTTTACAGTTTGTGGCAAATTTACATACGTCAATTAAATAAATAAATGAAATAACCTAATATTTAACTTGTTACAGCAACAAGAGAAAGTGCATCTATCCAACCAAGAGAAACTGCAACTGCTACACCATCACAACCAGAACCAGCAGATCTTGAACGGGCACGGAATCGCCACCGCGTCGGTGTCTACCGCCACCGTCGTAAACGAAGGCGGTGGCGGTGGCGGCGCGTACTTCACGCACGGACACACGCACTACGCACCGGAGCGACAACATACGCACGCACACCACCTGTGTCTTATGTGCCGGCAGGAGTTCGCGGGAAAAGCGGAATTCATGTTCCACGTCAGAGGACATTTCGAAGGTACGTTTGCTTCTTTCAGGAACAGCTTCCAGAAGTGCGTCGCCAATTCTTCGGCAGTCTATAGCCACTGCGTCGGTATCCACCGCCACCGTCGTGAACGACGGCGCGGTGTTAGTGGCGGCGCGTACTTCACGCACGGACACACGCACTACGCGCCGGCGCCGGGGCGGCAACATACGCACGCGCACTACCTGTGTGGCAAGAGTTCGTGGGAAAAGCGGACTTCATGTTTTACGTCAATGGACACTTCGAAGGTACGTTTGCATCATCTTGGGCAGTGTGTGTCGCCAGTGTGTTGACGGTGGCGGTGACGCGCGTACTTCACGCACGGACACACGCACTACGCACCGGAGCGGCAACATATGCATGCGCACCACCTGTGTCTTATGTGCCGGCAGGAGTCAATAGTCAATCGTTAATTGCAAAGTAGGAGTTCGCGGGCAAGGCAAAGTTCATGTTCCACGTCAGAGGACATTTCGAAGGTACGTTGTCTTATAGGAACACGCGTGATCCAAACATTAAGTACTTCACGCACGGAGACACGCACTCCGTGCCGGAGCGACAGAACACGCACGCACACCACCTGTGTCTTATGAGCCGGCAGGAGTTCGCGGGTAAAGCGGAGTTCATGTTCCACATTAGAGGACGCTTCCAAGGTACGTTTGCATCTTTTAGCAATGCATACTTGCCGGAACAGGGGGCTCTACCGGTACGAGAACACATGACACTTGGCTATCAAGTCATTCATCCATGCGGACGCATGTCCTACTGAGCAAATCAAATCCTCGATCCACTCTCTACTTCCAAATATGACCGCGAAGTCTCATTGTAAACATGTGGAGATATATGTAGAATGGTTTTAAAGATTTCGAATATAAAAATATTATCTTGAATACACTTCCCACTTGAATACAACTGCACTCAAAATAAAATAAACTTATTTTATTTTTCTTAGGTAAAGTAAGCGATATCGCAGCAGCTGACGTCCTAGCGAGATCTCTAGTAGACAACTCTGGATTGTGTACCTGAGCCACGCCCACGCCCATCAGCTACGACGCCTGCTGCTTTCAAGACGACACTATCATGCTGAAGTTTTGAGCACGGATGGGTGACCAAATTAGAGTAGGTAGGTAGGTTACGGCAAAGACTAAGTACCCCCCTGACAGCGTGCAATGGTTTCAGTTCGTAAACAATAATATAATTGGGTGCGTGCTGCAAAGTAAATGTTCTTATGAAGTACGATTTTGTGCGATATTGTAATTCTGGGGCGACACTAACGAAAATGCCATTAATTATTGCGATCTTGGACATTTAAGCAGGAATGTGCTAGTGCTCGGAAACACAGCTTGAATTAATAGACTGCGGGCGTGCGAAACGCCGAAGTGTAAGTCCCCAACCTCATACACCGACTGCACTCAGATCACGCATGTACTTTAACGTCCATCATCGCGGTAAATTAACGGCATTTCCCGGCGCCCCCCACGATAACGGCTAACTAGAGCCGAGGTCCGTGTCTCAGCTGCACTCTAGTTGAGCCGATCCCCTCAGGTTCGAGTGGTCTAGCTAGACTCCAGACTGAGAGGAGACTCCCCCCGAGGGTAGATGCCATCCACCTGGAATACCCTACGCTGCGACCAACAGCATACACACTAAAAAAAAGGCATTTCCCGTTAGTGTGGTCCCAGCATAACTGCGAACTATTATTTACATCGGGGCAACAATTATATCGACTTCCACATTGTACTTGGCGACTGTGGATGCTTCGACGCCAATAGATGGCACCTTTTCGAAAATCTAAATTATAAAATGTTTAATTAAAACACAGAAGTTTTTTGAAGTAGAATCATACAATACAAACAGAAAAAAAGAAAGGATTGCCTAAGAAATTACTGTATTTGAAGTGGATCGAAAATAATCTTTATCTGAAAAAGGCATCGAATTTCTGTTAGTGATCCGCTATCTCCAAAATGGGGCTTTGATAGAGGTGGAACTATTACTGTGGTGGATCTCTATCAAAGTGCCATTTTGGAGGTGTAGTTTTACTAACGTGTAATCAATGTATTGCGTAAAAATAAAAGTTTGTAAAAAGGGGGTACACTTTTAGAATTAAAAGATAAGGTACCTTATGTGCTTATGATTGAAGTTTTTTAGCGTTAAGTAAATGTGAAAAATTAAATACCAATCCACATGCTTCCACAGAAATCATTTTAGCAACTAAATGGTAACTTAATTATAGTGATATTTTTTTAATGTGATAATTACACATCCATTTTAAATTTGGTTTCTCATACCGCCTATTAAATATTCTTTGCTATGCAGACAATGCGACATGCCAATAGAGTAGTATCAGAGCTTTTATATAACATTATAATAATAGGTGTTATAGTAAAGCTAGATCTTTGTATAAATGTATATAAAAAAATAAAGGCGCACGCGTCACATTATGGAATATAGGTATACAAGGAAATGTTTAATAGAATCCTGTAACACCGCTTTATATCAAACAATTTTATCTAGCTTTTAAGATGTAAATACTTAATGTCAATGGAGATGAGTGAATCTAGTCATTTTTGTAACGGACCTAGTCAGTCCATAATCTAGTCCTGTATTAGTGTAGGCTAACTCTTATTTTACTTAACAGCTTCATTTTGTTAATGATGAAAAGAGTACTGGACGTCCATATAAATATTTAGTATTTAAGCAGTTGTAGCAGTTATAACTATTTAGATTTCCGCCCCTTGACATACTAGTGACCAACATAATAAAATATATCAACTATTTTTTTGTATCAGATTACCTTAAAATGCAAATTTCTATAAAATCCGATGATTATTGTTGCAAGACTTTAGCACAGGCCGGAAAAGATAAAAAAAACTATTTCCGTTAAAGAAATCGATCTTCTTTACTATTCCTTCTGTAGTGGAGAGACGATACAGTCAGCACGTTAGCAGCAATGCAGCAATACAATAAAATCAGGCAGTATTTTTTTTCTTTTATTACTAAACAAATGTCAATACCGTGACAAGAGTCACGCAAAGAGAATCAAAAAATAATAGATCACGTTTATCTTAGGTCATTTCAATGTCCCTGGACTAAAATATACAGTATATTACTTGTAACATCTGCATAATCTGACCATAAATACTGTTACGATTAAAAACAGAAGTAAACAAATATACCATGCATAATCCTTAACGCGCTCTATGATAAGATAATTATGTACCCGGTGGACAGACCTAAGTCTCCTCCGCTTATTAATAAACACAAAATAAGCTTGTATTAGTTACTTCATGTTTTGTCTTTGTTCATTGAATGACAATAGTAGATTTTATGACAAGGGAGCAAAATAGTATTTTTATGGCGAGGGAGCTACTTTGAAGCACGAGCGAGGCGAAGGATTCTTATTCTTATTTAACGCGGGCACAGAATATATATGTTACGCTCAAAGATCGAAAACGCTCAGTGAGCGGAAAAATAGCTCACAACGCATTGTGTTCACAGTAAAACATCCACATCGCAAATTCGTGTTATGGCTCTAATGAAAATACGCACGACGCGTTGTGGCAATCACAGAAAGACCAAAAAGCGAAATTCGTGTCGTGGCTGACATGCTATTCGATATCAACGGGTTGTGGCAATGAAGAAAAGCCATGACGCGTTCTGAGCATTCATTGTTTTAACCATATAACGACGGACAGGTTATAAGTTGATAGAGGACTTGCAGCACCCAGGAATGTTATGTGTGTTGTTATGAGCATTAATCCATCAGGTCTCTACCAGTTAGAAAACAAGGAAGGTACATTCGATAGACTTTATGCACGTAATGAGTTTACACTTTCTGAAACCAACTTTATTAACATTTGTGATGTGCCCTCAACTTCGTCATTAACACTTCGCTCAGCATCTATGTTATCATCTGGAAGTAAGCAAGGGTTTATAAAGTGCCACTGAAAAAGATACCGTATTGATAAAAAGTGCAAGTGTCACTCCAAGAATATAAAATGCAACTCAAAATTCCACAGTAATAGTTCCTGTAAAAATAAACAGCAATCAAATAGTTATGCTTTTATTTATTTTTTAAGCATTTAACTGCTAGATGTTTAAATCTAAAGAAAAGTTTACTAGAAAGCCTTGCAGCTTAAGGCTAGGAAAATTTCGACGCGGCTAATAGGGCCGTGGTAGCATAATGGTCAGTGCATTCGCCCGGATAGCGAAGGATGCGGGTTCGAGTCCCGTCCGCTGCCTGGTCCGCGTGGATTTTTTTCTAGTAAACTTTTCTTTAGATTTAAACATCTAGCAGTTAAATGCTTAAAAAATAAATAAAATCATAACTATAATTGCTATTTCTTCTTTCAAATGTTTAATACTTGAAAAAGTATTCATTTGACATTGTGGGTTACCTACAATGCGAAGAGATGGCGCTGCCTTGCAGCTTAAGGTTAGGAAAATTTCGACGCGGCTAATAGGGCCGTGGTAGCATAATGGTCAGTGCATTCGCCCGGATAGCGAAGGATGCGGGTTCGAGTCCCATCCGCTGCCTGGTCCGCGTGGATTTTTTTCTAGTAAACTTTTCTTTACAGCAATCATATACTTATTTTTCACAATTATAGTAATTTCTAATTTATAAGTAATTGATTTATGTACATTGTTGTTGTTTATTGGTGATCAATAAACATTTATGATTGTGTTAAATATTTTTATTACTTGAAAGAATTTTAAATTGTCATAAAAAAATTAAAATCCCTAATTATTTGAAGTGAATTATAAGTAATTTACAAATGATTAATATTTTGTGTTCAGTAATTTATTACTTAATACGTTGATTTTTTTTAAATATAATGTAATCTCAATAAATAAAAATATCGTTTTATTTAAATTTATATAATTATATAACATATTTGATAATGATAAACACGTTATGCAGTGATTTTATAAAATAAAAAATATTTCCTATTACCAGAACGTTTCCAGCCTAGGCCTAGTAGGATCCATATCGGAAAGTAGTGTGCGTCGTAATCAAATAATATCCATACGCGTCATGGCTTTTCTTCATTGCCACAAAGCGTTGAGATCGAATAGCATGTCAGCCACGATACGAATTTCGCTATTTGGTCTTTCTGTGATTGCCACAACGCGTCGTGCGCGTTTTCATTAGAGCGATAACACGAATTTCGCGATGTGGATGTTTTACTGTGACCACAACGCGTTGTGAGCTATTTTTCCGCTCACTGAGCGTTTTCGATCTTTGAGCGTAACATATACACTACGCGAAAAGTGTGCTCGTAAAATCACCCGCGGCTATGTGAGGTATGGGAGGTGCGCGGGGGCGTTGCGCGGCGCGCGGGGCGCGGAGAGGGCAGTCGCCGACTGCCTCGACCGAAGGCATGGCAGTAGCGAAATAGTAAAATTATAGCGTTGCACTGCATTGCACGCACAGACTGACTACGCTACGCAATCTTATTATTATTTAGATAATAATAAGAATTATAAAACGAATCGAAAAAGGAGAAAATATATAAAAGTTAGCAATTTGTTAAAGTACCTACATTAAAAGATTAAAAATTGATTATAAAATCATACCTATCCTTCATTATTTACCCCAGTATCCTTGAATCAGTTTACATTTAATAACTTACTATGCTAAAATATTCATTGGCACAAGTCTAAATTCCAAGTTCAACCCTAGCGCACACACGCTCCTGCTCAAGGTCACTGACGCTGGAACTCTCACGTACAGAGAGTGTCACCGCTGTGACGCGGGTCCGTGCCGTGCAGCCAACACGTACCAGCCAGTAATTCATACAATTTGCGTTCGATTTCTATGAATAATATATGTTCTAAATTCAAATCTCTTTTAAGCCCGCTAAAAAGTTCTTATCGGAAAAGAACTATTTTGTTCCCACTTATAGAGAAACAAAACGACACTTTTCGAATAGAAGGGATGAAAATGTCATTTGAGTGATATAGAAGAAAGTAAAATCATTTATTGGCCTAAAAACACAAGTAGGTAATAATAAGAAATTATATAACGATAAAAATAAAACACAAACAGAACAACAATATGCAGAGAAATGAAAGGCCAATCAAGACCAAAACACGGCGAAACTAGTCGAAGCTTATTCCTCTTTTATAAATAAGGGGGGGTAAATGTATATTTTGGCTCCAAAACATTCAAGTTTTACAATTTGTCTTTTGTGCAAAGTCATGTAAACGTAATAAAAAGCAATATAACCGTAACAATATTTATGGCAAGGCTAGGTACATTATCAGTTTAGGTTGGCGTAGATATAGATAAAGTTTGACTATTGCGGATGGAATTTGGTTCGTATTGTTCTACTAGTGCTACTATTATTATTGTAATATGATATCCAGTTGTAGAAACCCGATTTCTAATTATTCATTTAAATAATTTATTATTATTGTTTACTTACAGTAAGCCTTTAAGCAGAAAAACCTTTTTTAATGTCTTGTATCTAAGGCTAAGCTCACTTTAAAAGAAACCTTGGAGACAAGCCTCTATGAAATGAATGGAAATTATTTTGTAAATGCACGTCACTCAAGTAAGCAATATCAGCAACGATTAATGCAGTTCCTTGTAATTCGATGGTAATTTTGAGGATGTGCAGACGAGGTGCTTAGGACATTTTCTGCAGCTGGTTCATATTGAGATGATAAACAAATACTTAGTAATAGTAGCATCGTATTAAAGAATTAAGTAGGAAATAGAATGTAGGTTAATGAATGGTCCGACGTCCTATCCACATTGGTATCAAAGTTTATTCAACATATTTAATATTTCAGATGAGCCAAAAATATTGCAGCGTGAATGTCACGCCCCTTAATGCAGCGTTTCCTCTTATTGCCCAGAACAATGCTGAGCGCGCGAACATTTCTCGCTCGGTAAATGGAAACACAGGAGCGAGCGAACGAGATCGTTTAACAACGTTTGAATGGAATCAGTGAAAGAATGCTCTCTTGTTCAGTCATCAATAGAACAACGCAACGGAGATCGAACACTTGCTCTGTGTGTCGATTCTGCTACGCTAACTTATAAAAATAAATCAAAACATGCATATAGATAACAATACGGAATAAACAACTAGATATATTTGTGATTTTGTGTATTAGTAACAACAGCTGTATCAAAAATTTAAACTACCGAATTCTAATAAATTAACTGTTCTGAGCTTAAGTGGAAACGCAGCTTTAAAAATACCGATGCCGTCAGTCTTTATGAGACAGATTAGATAAATAGTGATGCCTTAGTCTTTATTAGGGCTCTATCTGACTCTATGATGGTAAACGGTAACATTATCCCACATTACATTGTATCATATCATTCTTCTCATGAAATTAGATCTACTGAAATGACGTTGTGAGTACGTAGTACCCTTTCATTACGAAAATCAGGTGAATTTTCCTTGGAAACCAATCGAAGTAAATAAGCTACTATATGTGGATAGAACTAGGAATGATTTCGTTTGAAGCGAATCAGAGCACGATGGAAGTTACAAATTGCTTAGGATAGTGTTGAAAATGATAGTGGGTAAGGGATCGCCACGAAAGGTATGTAGGTGGGACATTTATGCAATAAACATAGGTTATTTGTAGTATATTTACGAATGATTTATTTTATGAATACTTACTGTTTTTTTTTTTGTAATATTTTAACTGTATTTGAGTTGGAGAATAAATTAACAAGGACCTGCGTGGTAAGCAATGCAATATAAATACGTAGGTACACTTCTGAACCAAAACACTGAAGGGACACTGAGGTGTTACATTGCTTTATTCTGTGTCTTATGAACACCTGCCCATTGTTTACACCATGGAATACATGTATTTAACAAAATTTATACAATGTCTAAATTTCTTGTACACACTTATGTACATGTATAAAACTTAAAGTATTCAATACTTGCATCAAACTTTTTTTTTCGAAATGGCTTCAGACGTCTTGTGCATTTAGCCAACGTCAAGTGTTAAATGTAGGTATACAAATACTTTAGCACTCGTGGTCAAAGTAATAAGTCAAGTCAAATAAGTGGCAGTCAAGTCAATCCCCCTTTCCCCATGTTTCAGTAAAAGTGTGGGGATTTACTGGAACCTCCCCGTGGACTTCTTGAGGGAACGTCGAAAGACACTTTCTGCTATTTTGTTTCACTTGCTAACAATTGTACATGTTCCCGAACACTAAGTGGTTAATAATCCACCATTATTAGACACTAACATCCGCCACAACACAATTTTTAACAAGAAAAACAAAACTGCTAAAGTGACGCTTCCCGATCCCGCCAAAAAGTCCTGGATCGAACTTGATCAATGACAGAATAAGTAAAGTAAATAAGTGATTTATACTTGTAAGATACTAGTTGTCTATGCAGTGCAAACAAAAGAATGTTTTAAACAGCCACAACAAGTATTCTACAAGTTTTGTTTAAAACTAGTATATGACTTTGGTGGAAACGAGGGGTGAGAATAAAGTATTTCCCACTTTCTTGCTGTCAATAAAAAAAAATATACTTAAAGCCTTAAATTTCACTCAGTTATAAAAAGTGACAAACTTCTAAAGCAAACCCATAGGCAATCAAACTTACGCAGTTTTGTATGTAAAATTGTTACTGCGCAGGCATGCTTGTCTATGAAATTGCTCAAGAAGTTCACAGGGATCTATGACAGACAATAAAGACCTGAAAATATTTAACTATAAATTGATATTACTTGTTTACACACTTAGGCCCGTTAATTACACTTAGGCTTATTACGAAGGTTTTAGATTCAGATGACAGATCAAAACAAACATGGCTATTGAACAACAATTAAATGAAATCTTTATGACCGCGTAATATAAGTACTTAGCTAGATTATAGTTAAAACACGTGTTAGTGTTATCATGATTCATACATGACAAACGGCAACACAAAACAACACGGACGAGGTCCGTGCACGGAGCGGTTGACCGTGTTGACGTTATGATATTTTTGGCAAATCTTTTCTGATAATTTTGACAAAGACAGAAATTTAATACTTACTAATATCACATAAAACTATAAATTTTAATCTATAAATTCTTTGAACAACAAAGCAAACTGCGCTCTATTTTATAAATAATTATCTACAGAAACTCCATTTTATTTTACGTTAAGATTTTTTGGAAAAACAGCTAAATATTTTTAGTATGAGAATGATGGTGTGTCCCCGCGGAAAATCGAAAATTTACTTGAAGAATTTTCCTTGTTATTTATTCCTTTAAAATTGGAAATAAGTGGGTCCTAATTAGTCTTGATAATTTGCAATGTTAATAACTTAATTAATGAGAATTTCGGATTTTCCCAGAGGCACGTTTGTGAGTGTGATGTACCCATGAAATCCAGATGTTTAATCAATATTGTATATTACCATGTTAATCTTTAAGAAATCATTGAAATCGCATGATTGGCTTTCAACATGATCTCAAGAAACTAGTCGTAGGGTAATACCACAAATTTGTTCATTATTATTTAGAAGTGATTAGAGTATAATTAAGATAACGTAAGCATTACCTTAGAACAGAAATTGTCTTTGCTTTTGGTACGCAAAACATAAAGTGCAAAATCCGAATAACGAAGGTTTAATTTGTCTATGCTGTTTACCTATGGTAAAGTTTTTGCTTAAAAATATTTTTTGGCCAAAGATATTATATATTTGAGGCCATGAGAACCATAGTGGCCTATCTTACTTAGGCCAATATGGCACCTCAAATTTCGATCACAGACTAAAAACCGTAACAGTGATTATACGGCCATCTAGTGAATATTCGTTGTATCACTTTTAGACCACTCTGGTTCTATCAAAATGATCAATTTGAATTGGAAAAAACATACACTCAATATTGTAAAAAAAATAGTTATGCCACTATGGTTCTCATGGCTTCATTTAGGCCACCACATTTATTACTTTAAAGGAATTTTAGTAATTATACGTACGTAACCTATAGAAATAATAATAAATCGAACCGTTATGAAAGTCCTTTTAAGAATAATGTTATACAACTATCATTTTCTAGTCATTGTAATTTGCAGATTATAAGTATAAAATCAATTAATTCATTATAAAAGCGTTTACATAATCGGCTAACAAAATTCTCTTAAAGTTGTTGTATGTTTGAAAATAACATAAATAACTACACGGTCGAGTTGAAAACGTCCTTTCTTTGAAGACGATTAATAAAACAGTTGCTGTCTTAATGAGACATGTAAACAAAAAGTATAAAATATGTACTTCTTACATTATCTTATGACTTACTTTTTTATTTTTAACGCACTCTGATTAATTGCGACAAGTATAACAGGAATGTACGAAAATTTTCTGAAAACTGTTGATCAATATCAAATTGTTTACAACCGCTCAAATATAAGTTAATGTATATAGCCTTAAAATTATTATCATTATAAAAAAAGTGAGGTACAATGAGAACACGTCGATAAAAAAAACTTGAATATCTTTTCTAATAATGTAAGTATAAATAACTTTAAAAAACTTTATAGTTTTTTAATTTTGTACAAATTTATTAATTACCTAAGTATTTGAAAAGGCAAATGCTGAGTAGTATTTAATTTTACATCTAAATTTTATTAAATGTAGGTATTTATGATCACAAATATTTTTACCATGATTGACTGTGATTGCGTTTCGTTTGGCACAAGGGCGTTTTATAAATTTTACATGTAAAGAAAAAATATGTAAAATATTGCTGCCGTTAAACAAACTTATCTTGCAGTGTAAAAATTAAGTGAACAAATTTATTTGTAATTTTAGGAGCAATAAATCAGTCGCATATCGGAAATTGACGCTGGATTTGTAAATAGTTTATATATGAATACTTAAGTGTATAATAGTGACTTATGTAATATAGTAATTAGAATGAGTTTGGGAATAAAAGAAGATAATGCCAACAATCTATATTTTATTTTGGAATTTGTATTATTATGTATTTTTTTATAGCTGCTATCCCCGTTTTGTCTTTCCCAAGTACTTTAGTACGATCAACGAAACCAGAGACTAAATAGTCTAACGAAATCTGAGACTCAATAGAAAATATTTTTTTCCAGTTCAACATGACTGTTCAATACATTGTTGAACACCATGTTGAAAAAGATAATTTATTTTCTATAATTCCGTACAGCGGGAGGTGCAGGTTAAAATTCTGTCTGATGCTTAGATTGAGTAGATTTTATTCTAGTAAAATTTTGTTAGATTTGTATAATTTATATTCTTGTCATTTTATTATTTAAGGGGCTACTACTCTTGGCGCTTGGGCGCTAATTAACCATATGTATTAAAAATGTAAAAATTAGTTTCCCATACAAACTTACACCCCGTTTTCACCCCCTTAAAGGGTGATTTAAAATATAAAAACCATCCTAAGTTGTTTCCCGGGACTCAAACTATCTGTTAACCAAATTTTACAGATTTGGTTCAGCGTTTTAAGCTTGAAGAGGTAACAGACAGATAGACAGACAAACCCACTTTCGCAGTTATAATATTAGTATGCATATACATTAGTATGGATTATAATAAGTCGTATGTTTCATAGATTTCATAATTATATTGTTTTTATTGATTATTTTTATACTTTAAAGTTATCGTAGTTCACTTATCGTGGTTAGCTATGTAGTTAAGCCCACCTTTATGTGAAAAAAAAACAGATCAAACTAATTAAAAATTATATTCACTGAAGAAGAACAAAGGGCGGACCTCAATCACAGAAAAAGATATACAACTTCACGGTCACGGATCACGAACAATAAAAAAAAATCGACCGTTGACACTTTACACCATAGAGAAAGTAATCTGGTTGACACCGCCAAAGTCAAATTCGTAGTCACACTTTTTAACACCTCAAAATTCTTGTTGATAATTATTATTTATTTACAGCAAAATTATGTGTATAAAATATATCTACTAAAAATAATTTTATCTTATATTTATATCCTGTAAAATCGAGTGTGAGGTAAGTGTTTTGACAATCCAACATTTTAAGAGATCGTTGCGAGAAGTTAATGTCCTTCCTTTGCCTTGCCTTCACCATTCAAATATATGACGCCCACTGCTGAACATAGGGCTCTTCATTATTTATTTGCCTTACGATACTCTTATTATAAAATTTTATTTTAATTTCTGTAACATTGTTTTATTTTATTTTATTTTTTAGTGTAAATTATTCTATTGAATGTACATATGAAATGGAAACTGCATATTTAAAGTTAAAGTTTACACCACTATTTCAAAATCTACAGCAAGATACAAAACACTGTTTAGAAATAATACCTGAAATAAAGCATGTTGAAAATCTGGATAAAATCAAATGGAAGAAAGAAAAAAGTTACATAGAGTACACTGTGCCAGTCACCTACAGGATAATTCTTAGAAAAAACGATTTTAAAACTAATGAAGATTTAAACCGAACATATTATTCATGTGTAGATTTTTTACCGCCGTCTTTAGATGAACACGTAGAATCTAGTGATATTAAAAGAATACAAAGCGATACCATTATATTAACCAGTATCCCAAGAGACACAGAAAGAAGTAGTTTAACTTTAAAGCCTCCCAAAAGAGATAAAGAAAATGACATTTACATACAAAACGGAGTTGAAGTACAAACGGAAATTAACAGATATACTTCCATTACACTTCAAAATCCTAAAATAAAAGGATTCGATAATAAAGATGAATCAAGTGTAGTAAAAAGAATGAAAGGTAATCATGCTCATCATACACACTGTAACACAAAGATCATTTAAACTTTTTTATGGGTCTCAAAGACGGAATTCATAAATCATTATTGGTTAGGACAGATAGTAAAGATGAATGTGGGCTGATTGGATGATTTTTTATAGAAGAAAGATGTGTGGGACGTGTGTGTGAAAAACTTCAAATTAAAACACCGTAAAATTGTTAAGACCATTACATTAGAATCTATCTCGATTGTAAACTGTCGAAAGATTGTGAACCGTAACATACTGCTTAGAATTTACCGCATTACTTTTCAGTTGATTATAATCTATCGAAGTAAAACCATCTAATTGTGAAATGGCAACGCACCTCAAAATAATTTTTAAGAACACAAAAATTCAGAACAGTATGAAGCCTATTTCAAAAGAAAGAAAACACATAAAAACTTCATCACGATTTTAGAGAAACTACAATTTCTATTGGGAAAAATTAAATGGCAAAGTTGTAGGTAATTAAAAGATCTACAAATTTTGTATTCACCTATTTTTCACATTTCCTAAAAATATCTGCGATCCCAATTACGCTCTGTTTTCTTTTATTCAAAATATTTAATTTTATTCCTTACTTTGATATTAATAGATCTTTAACATCTAAAGAAAAGTTTACAAAAGTATTAAACATTTGAAAGAAGAAATAGCAATTATAGTTATGATTTTATTTATTTTTTAAGCATTTAACTGCTAGATGTTTAAATCTAAAGAAAAGTTTACTGCTATTTCTTCTTTCAAATGTTTAATACTTGAAAAAGTATTCATTTGACATTGTGGGTTACCTACAATGCGAAGAGATGGCGCTGCCTTGCAGCTTAAGGCTAGGAAAATTTCGACGCGGCTAATAGGGCCGTGGTAGCATAATGGTTAGTGCATTCGCCCGGATAGCGAAGGATGCGGGTTCGAGTCCCGTCCGCTGCCTGGTCCGCGTGGTTTTTTTTTCTAGTAAACTTTTCTTTAGATTTAAACATCTAGCAGTTAAATGCTTAAAAAAATAAATAAAATCATAACTATAATTGCTATTTCCTCTTTCAAATGTTTAATACTTGAAAAAGTATTCATTTGACATTGTGGGTTACCTACAATGCGAAGAGATCTTGCAGCTTAAGGCTAGGAAAATTTCGACGCGGCTAATAGGGCCGTGGTAGCATAATGGTTAGTGCATTCGCCCGGATAGCGAAGGATGCGGGTTCGAGTCCCGTCCGCTGCCTGGTCCGCGTGGATTTTTTTTCTAGAAAATTTTTCTTTAGATTTAAACATCTAGCAGTTAAATGCTTAAAAAATAAATAAAATCAGGTCTTTAACACTTAACCTATGAATTTGCCGTTCTGCCGTACTGGCTATTTTAAGTTCATTCAAAAGTAGAGACTTAAACATGGTAAAACCTCACTTCCTTTCCTCAAATCGACCGTAAATAATTTTTCGTCTATTTTATTGTGTGTTCTCTTCCTTATGAAACGAATTTCATCCTGTTCAGATTTTTTTGCATGTTTACCATTTCAAACGCATCCACCCTGGCCTATATTGGATTTTTTTACCGTGACTTCATATGAAGTGTCGGGCAATATTATTGAATTGAATATTCGGTTTTTTTTATAGAAAATATCGTTGGATCATATCTCATCCCCTCTATAGATGTTGATGAACCTATAAGTAAAAACACTGTCAAGACTCAAATAACTAAGATAACTTTACCTTATATAAATGAAGCTGAAACTGAATATATCAATTTTGAAACAAGTCCCCAATTTCCGACTAATGGAAGTAAAACTGATGGAAAATATAAACTATGCATGTCACCTATATGTTCTATTTACACAAATGATGGAAATATTATAAACTCAAATCCCGTGTTGAACCAAGCAATAGATACGCTGAAGAGTTTCGTTGAAAATGATACTAAAGGTACAGAGTACCACACAATCTTTAATGACTCTTTTTACTATGATATTTTTAACATCACAACTAGACCATGCAAATCAATTGAATTGCAACCACTAGACAATATCAATAGACGCAGAATTCTTCCAGAAGAGAGAGTTGCGAGAATTGTTCAAGAAATGGAAAGAGAAATCACACCATTAAAAATTATGCTAAGTGACATCATTTATAAATGCTCTTCGTTTGGATTCATTAAAAAGAATTTTCAACAATCGTTCCTATTGAATACTGAAAAACAAAGCAATAATTATAATGACATTTTAAAGAAGACAAAAACTAACCGTGTTGTCTACTCAATTGTGTTCGACGGCTAAGCGTTCTCGTTTTAATAAATATATGGACTTAACGTTTCTTTTCATTTGTTTTTTTTATTGGTTTTTGTTTTCAATTTCAATTGTCTTGGTACATTCATACTTATCTGGAACATCTGCTTCCATAATAATAAACGAAAAATAAGTTCGCAAGAACAAAAAAAGCATTTCCCCTCTTAATTAAATAACTTATAGTACGGGAGCTCAAATGGGGATCTTAGGATTTACTCGAGTGCGACATAATAACATACGGGGGGCAACCTTCTACATTGTGAAATACTGCCACCATACCTGAGCTCTTTATGGGATCGAATTTGTAGGACAGTAATTTTATTTTAAAAATCGGCCATGACTTTTTTTCGCGACCAAATCGTCAGACTTGAGGGTTCACGTTACGTTTCCCACGACAAAAAAATATTAATCTGCTGCTTTGAATGCGGGTGGCCGTACAAAGGGGGTGGAAATAGGAAAAAAAATATTCGAGCGCGTCAGACATTGAGAAAGGATGTTATTAGTAACGTAGTAACTTCAAGGAAAAAAAAAGTAAGTAGTAAACGGCACAGCACAGTGTACAGCCCCAACGATTGAATAAATAAATAAATAATAATAAATAAATATTTCCAACACTCACACCAATTAGCCTAGCCCCAAGCTAAGCAGTAAAAGGCTTGTGTTATGGGATACTAGGGTAACGGATAGAATACATATACTGTACATATATAAGTATATTTATATAGAAATGCATATTAAACATCCATGACTGGAGTACAAATGCTCGTATTCATCACACAAACATCTGCCCCCACCGGGATTCGAACCCGGGACCTCTCGAGTCGGCGACACCATGAAACCCGGCGTACAAACCACTCGGCCAAGGAGGTCGTCAATTCAATTATTTATTTACCCACGTTCTGTC